AACTGCAGTAACTAAACATGATAGAACAATAAACCGATGAGCTCTAAAATTCTCAAGTCATTTTAAACACAAAAGTTCTAAACCAACTGATGGACCTATCTATTATGAAAAAAACGCAAAAGAAAATATTTTATCGATTTCGTTAAGTGCTTGATATGGGTCTAATCATAAACGTTATATCATTAGATAATCGGCAAGTCATGCACCTCGTGATTATAATTGTATACGTATAAAAAGACTACATATACGGAATATACTGCAGTGGATAGGTCATCGTCCGTATGATGGCCTGGCCACTGCTTTTAAGTGTCAATAGACCCGCAAAATGAATGGAAGTCAGTACCTCAGTTACCTTTGTTCTGGAAATGGTTGCCTTTTGCCGTGGTATCCTATCGACCTGCGAAGACAGTAATGTTCGTTGACCCCGGTTGACTTCGCCCCGAGGAAATCAATACTAGCACACTGTCAAAAGCCAGTATGCATTATATGGAACTCTTTTTATATTAAAAATACCGAATTAAATAAGATCTCGATTTATTGATAGGTTGATTCGCTTCAGCATTATTGTTATCCGATTCGTATATTAATGAAATGCTCTGTAAGGTGACGCTATTTACTTAACTGGAAAAACTTTATGTATTCTAATATATTTTTTTCCTGTTCACTCTTTGATATATTGGCTCAAAACCTCCATTGTACCTATATCTCCCCTATGCCCGCATCTCAGCCTTAAAGAAAGAGAAAGGTATAGCCATGAGTAACTTTTTATCGCCAATCCTGTAAAATCGTTCACGAAGTTTTGTGATGGCTCAGACTATAATGTACATTTACTACGTCAATAAAAGTATTAATAGCAAGCAATCTTCCTAGAGAATTAGCTGTTAATATAGTGACCCTTCCTAATTTTATTTATATCCGTGTCTCGTAAAATCGGATAACAACATCAGTTTAGTCACTGTGGCGTTCTACCTTAAAGTGAAAATGAGGCAGCTTAATATTCCTAACCGAGATTTATAATTGGTCGTATTTAACTTTTAACTTCTTTTTCACCTTCAAAATCTCAAGATGTACAATTTCTTGGCGCCATTAGCAACATTTCGGTCTACAATACAAATAACCTCAGTTTGAAACAGACAAAAGTTTTTACTCAAAAGAAGTTAGAATAAGATATTCCGGGTGAATTTCTGTACTTTGTCTGTCTACGAATAAAACTACATACAAGATGCAATATCGTTTAAGTTCTGAAGTGAGCTGCATTTCATACTTGCAATTCAATAATAAGGCTCCAAACAAGTATGTATGTCTAGCCACCACGGGTGAACAAACTCGAGACAGCTTGGTCGATATAGCTCACTCCAACAAGCATATAGCTGTGTTTTTTCAGTACACGATGAAAAACAATTACTTTGATTGGTCTATTACTGTGAAAGCTATATACCTTTTAGGTCGATCTCTAATAATAGTCGCGAAAAATGAAAATAGTAGTACCGAAAACGAATGGAATTTTACCGATAAACAAACTAAAAGTCAATATTTTTAATCCGAATAGTTTTTAGCTTTTATTGGCTGTAGGTAGCTGTAGGATATCGATGACGTTAGAGATGATATCAATGACGTTAGACTCACATTAAAGTAATTTCAAATTGCGCCAATATTATTTTAGGAAAAAGCTTTTGTCATTTGATAAGTTGTATTATGTAAACTTTGTAGGTACGCAACATTTTAATGGATTTTTTTAAACCAGAAGACTCAAAGACATTTGCAACTGCCTCTGATGTACATATTTTATTATTTACAACAATAATTCCTATTAAGTTATGAACAGGACAAGTCTAGCGTGTTGTGTTATGTAGTGATAATAGTAAAAGTACAATTGAAGGCTAATCGGGACAATTAAGTCTGTATGTGTGTGCAGTCCAAGGCTCTTAATTGTCGCAATTTAATAATTGTACCTGCATGAATATGCTAAAAACTATACTTTTTTGTAATTTATTCCAGTTCGTGACAAAGGTTTCTAATTGCCAGAAAGTAGAGGTTTAGCGTGCGAGGCTATTGAAACACAAGTAATAAACGGCTTGCTAGGGCTCCGCTCGCTTTGTGACGTCATAATGTTTCAGCTAAAGGTCACCCGCTACACTCGGTTCCGGGTTTCTTGAATACTGGGAATGTTTATGGCACAAACAATGGTGGAACCCCTCATTATCGAATGTTTTATCCAAGCCGTAATAAGGATATTAAGGTTGTTGTGCGTACAAGCGGCGGAAAAAGATCAAGTTTTGGGTTGAATAACTTTGTTAACTGTTCTTATTTTTACAAAACTTGAGTAAAGAGAGAGCTCGTAAACTGGTGCTAAAGTACTGTAGCCGACCAACTGAAAAAGGCAGCGATTCGTTGTATCAGTCTAAAAACAAAATTCAATTTATTTTCTTTCCTTTTCCACTTAGTGAAGAGCTACAGCCCACAGCTGTCAACTGCAAAGCTGCCAAATATAGCGTCTACAGACCAATTTAGAAAGCCAAACCACATATCTAATAAAATATGGCTAAAAGTTGAGGCTAACAACTTATTTTAGTTTGCCATTTCTGCGACAGTTTCTGTTTATTCGATAACGACAAATAGAGTATAGTTAGAATTACGCAGGCTTTCATTAGACAAAGCAAGACGCAATAAACATCGTTAACTCGCAAAATGCCAGAGGGTAGTTAAAGATTAATTAGGCACTACCTATTTTCATAAAACAATACCTACTTTCGTATTTTAAGCGTGCCTAAAAGTACACCCAACAAAGTTTTCTCTTCGTAGAAATATACTGACCTTTTCGATCGATGCACAAAAACCGTTTCTGTGTGACTCACTAACTCTACGCTGACCGAATCCTAATATTTCGCCAAAACAATGGCTAGTCAAATGTAGGAGTGAGGCAAGCTTCATTCAGAATCGGATTGCGACAGCTGAATAGCGGCCAGGCGCACAGATAGACGCAGCGTCGCCTTGTCACTGATATTTTCATATTCTATGAGAAAATACGGAAAATGGCAGACTCGTCGTCGCCCCGAGCTGAATGGCTCACCCGCGTATAATGCCGCCCGTCTGAAGATTGTGGCGATTCACTGGGTTCCATTTTAAAATTACCCGTATCTGTCTTGAAATACAATGACACTTGAAATTGGATAGCCATGTGGAACGACTAGTCTGGTTTGTTTTATGAATAATAAGCTGAAAGTATCTCTTTAGATTTTATAAGCTTTGGTTAGCAACACGAGTCTCGTGGTTGAATAGTTCATTAGTATAAATAGTTATGAAATTCATTAATTCAATACATTAAAGATATTTTGATAAGTAATTTTGAAAAGCAATCCAATTAAGACACCATTAATCATCTTGCTCCCTTAATTTTCTTTCATCAGTCTTCGAAGGCATATAATGCCTTTTTATTATTTTCTTTACTTTAATTAGACGTATTGAATGATCTTTAGGGTAGGTATGGTTTATCACCAATTGACCATATCTGTATTCAGACTGAAAATAAGTCCAAGTCCAAAATTGCTTTACCGTAGGTACTTACCTACCTAACAATATGATTAATTTTATTACGACAATAAATTATATCGTATTTTGTCAGCTCTACCTAAATACCGCGATACCGAGTAACAACGCGAGCAAACACTACCGTAACGATGTCAAAGGCGGAAGCCTACGCGCCGCTTTGAGCCCAATGTAATTAAAATGTTTGTCATAGATTAGCTCGATATTAACGCCGCGTGCCGCGATGTGTAAAATAACACTATGTTCACTGAATCGTGAAGCTTTCAGGTTATCTACATGAAAATGACTGATTACTATCGCAGTTATTATCATAATACTCGTATTTATGTTTATTAACTACGCTTTCAATTAATAATGCTTTCAATTGATTCTTTTGCTCATATTTGAATTTTATTGTATCCAAAGCAACACGAAATCATATTTCATTTTTGAAAAATCAGGTTGATTCAAGCAATGTTTTAACCAAATTGGGTACAAATACACAATCGATTTTAGTGTCAGTGTGTCCCACAGGCATCGACCTAGAATCAATATAGCCTGTAGAGCAAATCTGTAACGTAAAAATAACTCTAAGTTCACTCAACCGTTATGCTTTCACGTTACACATGCAAATTAAAATACTATCCGTAGTCATTACCATACGATGTACTTAGTACACATACACAGTTTGTTTTTGGTAATTCAAGCTTATTTTAATTTAGAATGATTGCGAACTTACCTACTTACTGAAGACCGGTGCTTATCTGTAAAAAAAACAAACGAGTTAACTTTTATTTTCATTGACAACTAAATAAAATCGAAAAGTGGGTCTGTTAATGTTTTAATAGACGGTCCAAATAGCCAACATAACGTTAAACTTGTACAGGTACGAGTAATATGTGGGCTAGTGGAGAAACTAAATATAGTGGATGTTTATTTTTCAGAGATCAAAGTTTTCCGAATTTTATTTCAAACTGGTATTTTCTTGTCTCCTTTTGTATTGAAATTGAATTTAGTTGATTTAAATGGACGTCTGTTTGGTTTTATAAACAGTGTTCTGGACTGAAAGCCAGCTGCTTCGACTTTAAAACCTTTCAGCTACATGCACTTACCAAAACCGTTACTGGATATTTATGACAAATTTCGAAGTAGCTTTTTCCCACGGCTCTCCTACGTGAATTTCGGTCTGTCACAGAAAATCGTTATTCCGCACTTTTTTACCCATTCTAAAAACCGTGATAAATGTGACATATATTTCTTCCTGGGTCTCAAACTATCTTTATACCAAAAGTAATCTTACCGCATCAGTGGTTTAAGATTGAAGAGTAACAACCATCCATCCACCCTCACAAACTTTCACGTTTACAAAATTAGTGGGATGTTCATCAGCTCTTACGAGTGGTTAGTCGATTATGTAGAGTTTATGATATTATCGTTGGATAATTTTTTATCAATTATTTTTATCCTTTGTTTCAGGCTCGGCTATTGCGCTGAATCAGATGTTGCGCGCGCGCCGAAACTGGAGAGAGGAGCGCATGAGGCCTGCGGGCGACGCGGCCATCCCACCGCGCGCCCTCTAGACACCACCCTACACACAGCACTATATACGGTAACCATCACCATCATAATTTAGCCAAAAGCATTAGCGAATCTAGAGTTATTTTTCAGGGGGGGCTGGTCTCTATGTCTGAATAACTGTGAATACTGGGGGGTGCGATTAGTATCATAGTTCGGTTTAAAGAATCTTTATTCTCATAAGAACAGGGTAGTTCACTTACATGAGATTATAATAATTTACAACAATTGTCTTGTGACGAAGCATGCGCAAAGCCCACAAACAAAAAATAATGTAGGTACATAAATAAATTATTAACATTATTTCGAATATCTGCAAATCCGTTGACACAGAAATAATGGCCCTCAAACTAACTATCATTTACTCAGTCAGGACTAGGTAGGTGTGACTAGGTATAGTGAGTAAGTATCCACCTACCAAATAAATAAGATTGTAAAAGAATACGAGATTTTTTTTTTATTTTTACTGTTCGGGTACTCGTAGAAAACTGTGCGGGAGGGATAGTGTTTGGTTCGCCCAAGTTGGCAAGTTAACAGTGAGCATTGGAGTTGTGTAGTGTAGGAGACAGTGTACCAAAATTCATATTTACAAATAGTTGTTTAGTTATTATATTTTTGTAGTTTATATTTCAAAATAAGTTTATGTATTTAATTTATTAATTTATTTATTTATTTATTTAATGTATTTTATGAGTCTTTCTACAGATGAAAGTTTCATAATTAGATTGCAAAAAATAATAGAGGATTATGTATTTTAATTTATTGTTTTACGTTTTATTCACTTTATAAGTAGGTGTAAGATTTAGTTTTTAAATTAATTTGTCATTCAAGTAATAGTTAATATATGTTCTTTGAGTTTTCGTTTGTAGATTTGTATACTTTCACTATTTTTGATTGAATCCGGAAGTTTATTATATAGTTGAACACCTTCATATATTATATTCTTTTTTCCATACCTTGTTGTTCTCGGTTGACGAAGAAATAATTTGTTTGTGTTTCTTAAACTGTGTGTGAATGTTTTTTTAGTAAGAGTTATATTTGTTTGAATAGTGTTTTCCAGAATTTTTTTGATCAATAAACACAAGTTGTAAGTGTATAGTTGTGTTATATCGAAAAAGTTTGTTTTTGTATAAAGCTGTTTTGTAGTTCATGACTAGTATCAACTATGATATTCAAATCGGTAGTCCAACATTCTGTGGTGGATACGCCCCTACTCCCCATATACGTGTACCATGGCCAAAGGACGTCCACTGCTGGAAAAAAGCCTCAAGGATTTCTAAGCCGACGTTCTTGCGCTGTCCGCATCCAGATGTATTCCGCGACCTTCACCAGATGGTCGCGTAAAACAACCAACGAGCTTGTAGTGGTACTTATTCAGAAGAGTTGGAAGATTATAACGACCCTCGCCTGTTGTTTCGCTAAAAATCAATGTTTCCAGCCACCCTCTGTTTAACGTCTCTAAATTATTTTTCGTTCCACAATTTCAGCAAAAAAAAGTAAACTTAAGTTGTTGTTAAAAGTGTGTCCGCTTTTGAAATCTCGACGGAGCTTAAGGCATTAACGGGAAATTAACAAACAATTGTTTGAAAATAAACTTTTTTCTTTTGTTCCAGGTCGGTCATGAAAAATCTTGCCAATTTGCTGGCTGTCCCGATCAGCGAACACGTGGTAACTTTCATCTCCTCGGTAGCCGCGGCCACACTGCACGCGTGGACGACAGGTGAGCAAGTTTAGGCGCAGACCACCGACTTTTAGTTGGCCGATAGTTGGGCCCGATTGTAATTTGTGTGAAGAACCGGCCGATACCAAATCGGTGTAATGTGCGCACTTTCATACATCTCCATATAATATTAATTAACAGCCCGACCCAACTTTCGGCCATATAAAAATCTGTGGTCTGCACCTAGGCTAAACAAGAAAGCAAATGCGTAAAAATAAGCAAGTGCGTAATCAAGAACAAAAGCAAGTATGCAAGCAAAAACGGAATAGTTAGTTGTTAGTAAAACTTTCATCAAGTAGGTATGCTGCTGAAAACTCACCTACATTATTATCTTCTTTCTGTTACTAAAATAACTAACAATTGTTTGATCGTTTATTTCGATAGACGGATTTAATAGTAGAAGCAAATAACCAACGTCTACACGATTCCTTTGTTGAACAAACTACTCGTAGAACTTCAAAACTTTGCGACATTCTTTTTATTGGTCATAAATTAACTTTACAACTTCTGTGCGAGGCAAACTTTCATCGCTGGCAATACTTGTCTGTCTGTAGTTAATATTTGTCTGTCATCAAAGACAATAACTGTATAGCAGGCTGTAGGACTTAAGTTTGCAAACATAAGAAGACTCTTATGTTTGCTAAGTTACGAGACCGTAATGATAAATCGGTTCAATTTGCCTTTGACTTTCGGTATCCATAAATAAATCCTAGTTTTGTATTGTATTCTACAAATATGACAAGTAAAATAGTAAGTCGCCTCTGAACGCTATAACTGCATGTCGTTTAGCCTTTGACTTGCACAATCACTCTCACGTCTATGTGTCACGGAGTACTAAATGAGAACCGTATTGTTTACAAATAATACGGCACGTACGACGGTAATCCGCCCCGAGCTTCCGCGCTACGATAAAGCCTTACTTAGGCCATAGATATACGAGCAAAATGTACTTAGGATAGGACTGTTGTGATACCGTTAATTAGTTTTGCGATGACATGTGTTAAACAAAATACTAAGTTTTGTACTGTTTACTTAATTAATATCAGTATTACCTAAAGGTAATTCTCACTTAAATCGCGCTACGGTGCGATGGCACTCAGCCTTCTGCGGTCACCGTGTTCGCCGAGCCGTAGCATATAGGGTAAGATAGGGCACTGATTCAATAATGTCAATTAGCCTTTGAATGGCACAACCATTCATCTGGCTATGGATAACAAGAGACACATTTAATTCTCATACGCATTGACCTACTAAGAATGAAGTATTCGTTCGTTCGTTTCAGCCAAATGACGTCCACTGCTGGACAAGGGCCTCCCCCAAGGCTTTCCATAGTGAACGGTCCTGCGCTGCCCGCATACAGGTTCTTCCCGCGACCTTTACTAGATCGTCGGTATATACGAACGTCGGAATAGATACGAATGAAGTATGTTGGACGATAATCCGCTGCGAGCTTTCATGGTACGACCGTGGTTCTAAGCTCCGATCACCATGCCCTTTTAATCATGATACGGGATTAGCGGGCTATTAAGCTGTCATTCTGAGACGGCGCGGCGTCTTGTTTACTCCTCGGCAATAAATTTAACGAGACATTTAATTATTTGATGTTATGTTTACTACGAATGCGGTACGTAAGATGATTAATCCGCCCCCGAACTTCCGAGGCTGTCCTCAGCCCTTGGGTCATCGTGCCCGCCCGCCCATGGCACAGGATTAGCACGGGCCCGTCAGTCAAAGGCTGCTGATTTACTCTCTGTCACTCTATTACGTGGTATTGAATGCCGGAGCTTAATTATGTAATCGAATTTTAGCAATCTATCGCTGCGTTGAATAATATTTTTAATAGTTACCGGGAAACAAATGAATGTAAACGGGATACGAATGAATGCGGAATCTAGCTTTTAGGCGGAATAACAATAAAATACCTAGTCCCTGACGAACGTGAGACGTGATTCTGCAGTATGACTAGATAAAATCAGCCGTTACGTACCTAAAATTTATTCAAGAAGCAGACTTACATAACATTTTTACTTGTCAGATTTGTAGAGTGATTTATGTTCACGAATTGGCAATCAAACCGTCTCTATTTTGATGACTCGGCAGAATAACTTATTTATCTTTTAAGTACTTACCTCTCAACGATAGCGAATCAAATAATTTTAATAAAAATGTAGAGTTGTAGCTTTCATTAAAAAAACTAACTTTAATTTCCATTTCCAGCCATTTCTTAATGAATGTTTGTACTAATGACATCATGTAACCCGTGTGTTGATTGCAGAGGGGCGTAGCGGCCGTTGGTGGTCGGTGGGAGGTCGCGGGCGCAAAGCGTGCGGCCGCGCTCGTTTCCCCCACCACACACACCCACCCATTCACTGTTAGCAGGTAACACACACTACGGTAATTAGTCTGCTCTCTACTGCTCTTCATTCGCACCCTCCCCCACAGTTTATTATCGGAAGTTTTTGCAAGAGAAAAAGCCGGAGTATAAAGTTGTCGGCGATGGGTTAATCTTCTCTAGAGCTGAATAATATTTACTCATACTAACTTTTGACTTTTTGCAGTGTTTCAAGGTGATAAGACTTTCGCCTTGAAACACTACAAAATACTGTGGGAAATTGGAGGACACTTCTAATTCCTATATTTCCTTTAAAAGGCTATTTTGACAGTTTTTTAACCAGCCACCAATTAAGTGAAGATGAATTCGCTTTGTTTAATAAATCTTTCAATAATGTTACGGAATTATGTAGAATGGTGATTACCTAAAACTGTTACTTACTTGAATATTCAGCCCTTGCTAAAAAGGATCTTAAATTCTGCTCACATAGTAGGTAGTAAAAAGACTTGTATCTTCGAATACTTTTTAAACACCCTTGGGAAAACATTCAATAGGGTTCTGTCCGCACTCCGCCCTAATCTGAGATTTGCTCTTACAGAATTTGTGTACCCTTGAGAGGATTATTTATTATACTGTAAGAACGTACCATTTAATAAATAAACACGACCTAAATAACATCGAAATTATTGCAAAGTCAAAACATCTGTTAACATTATAAGATTTTTGATACTACTACATACTAAATATTATGGTAAGGTGTACTCTTTTACAGTAAGAGTCGTTCAAGATCCAGATGATATCAATCAAAATACTATGTATTGAATGGAATTTTTGTTTCACAATCTCATTCAGTAATAAAACAAAAGCAGAACTTCGGAAAATAAAGGGAGCATTCGATGCCGGAAATGTCGTTAGTAAACACGCAAATACAACGCTCAACCAACATCCCCGGAAAAGAGAATAAATGACTAGATTCGTATATCGTAGTACGAAGCCTTGACCTACTTTCCTTAAACAAGAAATTCTTATATTCTTGCGTAATCGTGCTGCAGATGAAACATTACAGTAAATCCATCGAATCGCTTTTATTGTCAGCTGCCACTTTATTTGGTATAGATTACGTAAATAAGGGCTTATTTCCACCTTCTGTTAGGAATTACTAATCTAACATACATGTTTCTGTTCCATGCAGTAGGCAGTTCACTCGGGGGGAGTTCGATAGACAATGTCCGAGGACTTGGACTCGATTAGCGAGGAAGAACGAAGCTTGTTCCGACCCTTCACAAGAGAGTCACTAGCCGCTATCGAAGCCCGCATAGCAGAGGAGCATGCCAAGCAAAAGGAACTCGAGAAAAAACGAGCGGAAGGCGAGGTCAGTACGCGTACACTACACGCACAAATGAGTGATTTGTGTCTAGAAACGAACACCAACAAACATTATTACAAGTAACAACTGTTACTTCATTGGCAACTCGAGTGTGTATAAGCCGATTTGGAGTTGTTTCACATTATGTAATCCGATAACAAGAACGCACTCTTGTGAATTCTCACTTAGAAGTACCTACAGTGTGGCACCTACTTGATTTAGTGACACGTTTGATTACTCTGACGGATAATTTTTAAACTATTCCAGAACGATTTGGGGCGGCCGAAAAAGAAAAAAGAAGTAAGATTGCTTGCTTGCCCCTTTTACCTTTTTACGGCTCATTTTTATTAGAGACTTTGATCAGCAAGTTATCGCTAGTAACTTCAAAATTGATTATGATTGGGTGTTTACAACACCGAGTATATTGGCGCCACAATTGTTCGATTGCGATAACTTGTGCTGCATTCTGATTTATGCATATTGACCGCATTTAAAGCATTCTCCTCGAACACATCGCTTTGTCGGCCAAGTATTACGACGTTCGCAAGCTTAGCTGTTACTCGAGCACGGAGTGGTAACAACACTGCGTAACAGCTAATCTTACTCGTAGTTAATTAAAAGAAGGCTTGTCATGTTTATTTGCAAATCGACAACGTAAAAGTGAAGATTCCTCCACCACCAATCCAAGTAATAGGATCCGTAGATATCAGACATCGTTAGTAAATACACAACCAGTAATTGTCAGATCTGTAATTTTTATAAGCGTGTAATTAAGAATTGTAATTTTATCACATTCCTTAGTTATCCCGGGAACCCAAAAAATCATAGTCAATATTAGTAAAAGAACCAAATCCAATTAGGAACCCGTTTAGCATTAAACCATAATCGACCTAACGAAGCAACCATAAGCCGAAATACTAGGACCTTTAGCTGTATAAGCGTTTTTCAGTACACTCAGCACATTACATTCACCATCAAGCATTGCACAGGACTGGCTCATGTTCGCCATCATCTTGGATGCTGTCATTTAGGTCTAGCATGGTGACAACACCTAGCTAGCGATTAGTGCATATTGAATCTTATTAGCAAACAGTTATTCAACAAAAAATAAGAATGAATATCATACAATTTCGTTGGTTATGATTCGTATTTTTGTAACATTTTTCTGAAGCTTGCGCTACACACCTCCTATTTTGGAACCGATTTCGAATTCGAGTTAAATCAATAAGTAGAATTTTAAAAAATACGCCAACTAACCGTCAATAGAGACTACCGAAATTAAAGTTTTGATACAAATAAAGTTTCAAAAATCAGTAGTGAATAGTTTCGAAGAATGAATAGTCGAAAACAAAAAAGAAAAGATTGGAGAAGCATTGAAAAGAGCCAAATTAGCGTCGCATTCAATTGAAGTGGCCTTGATGAGCATTCGGAATGGTAACACAATAGCGAGGACAAACTCGAACGCTTCTAGTTCCGCCAGATACGCATCATAGTCACAGACAGCACTACACGAGTTGAATAAGCTTAATAAACGCCTTCACCAGACATGCTGACTTGACAACTTTGTAACAATACATCAATCTATGCCCGAACCTGAACATGACCAAATAATAACCCTAAAAGGCGAAATTCATCAATTGACTATTCCATTCTAATGATGAGTTTCATAAGCCGCCAATCCAACACTTTAACAAATTGACACAGTATTGTTGCAAAGTCATATCAGAATACGATGATCTTTTGATAGGCTTGCTCTAGTAGGCTAGCTTGTCATGGATCGAACTTTAGCATTATTTTACAAATTAACAAATTAACGTTCACTTTGGAAATACATCGAGGTTTTAATAGATGGCATGCGTCATTTGCTCATTTTCAAACATGGATGTAATTTCAAATACGAACATCGTAGGGAGTTCAGAATTGGTGATGAAGTAAATGCTAAAGATGAAGAAGAATGAATTTGTGATGACAACTATGGTGATGCTATTAATGGTGTGTAGGTGCGATACGATGACGAAGACGAGGACGAAGGCCCTCAGCCGGACGCGACCCTGGAGCAGGGCTTGCCCTTGCCGGTGCGAATGCAGGGCTCCTTCCCTCTGGAACTCGCCTCCACACCCCTAGAGGATATTGACCCTTTCTACCATAACCAGACAGTAAGTAGCAACATTTTTACGTTCTTAGAAATGTTTATTACGCTTTGATACTAGAAGATTTTAGAATCTGAATAAGCAGTTATGAGAATGATATTAACATTCATGAATTTAGTTCAACTACCTTCAGAAGGCTTAATATATTTCTGTTTTTTTACAGACCTTCGTAGTTATAAGCAAGGGTAAAGATATCTTCAGATTTTCGGCAACGAACGCCCTATGGATACTTAACCCGTTCAATCCAATAAGAAGAGTGGCGATATACATATTAGTGCATCCTTTGTTCTCTTTGTTTATCATTACGACGATCTTAGTGAACTGCATACTTATGATAATGCCGACGACACCGACTGTTGAAAGTACTGAGTAAGTACATTCTACCAATTAATTCCCATTACATCCTAGTTCATAACATACTCGATTAATACTATCAAACTACAACGCAAAGTATACCATTGGATAAATCCGAACATATTTTATAGGTCTTAGAAAATTTTGTAGAGTGCACGTTAGTTTCAAAATTGTTAGTATTCAGCTAGTTTTCGAATTAAATTTATTAATACTTAGATTTATCGGAAGTACATTTTATATTAGCATTGAATATAATCGAAGTACATAGTTAATCTGATAATAGTAATGTTTATTCATAGAAAACCTATTGAAATTATAGATGGAAAATCCTTTCATATTTTTGACAATTCAATTTCGCAATGCTGAACAGACAGAAGAATTTGTACATAATAATGAGTTAGGTAGGTTTTGTGTTTCTCTTTATTGTGTCACGATTCCCTGTATCAAATTAATTAACCATATACCTGGTTAATTGGTCTACTTTAATAAGTTTCTGACAATCACGATAGCCATTAAAACTCTGTTCATAGTCTGGCTCCGTGCATTGGAAATATGATTATTAACATCGTTCCATCATTTTGTCACTAAAGCATTTCTTTAATTGTTATTAATGGTATTATTTGTACATATTACATACCTACATTGCTACATCTTTTATCATTAATCATTAGTTAAAGTCCCCATGTGTGTGACATCGACCTGTAAGATGATTGCTTAGTTGTTTTGTTAATATCATACCAACAAGTTCAAATACAGAACTTTTTTGATTTCACCATATAACAATGGATTTATTTGATTTGAGATTATTGTCTATTTTGTTGAGCGGAGTTCCTCAGAGCCGGTGAATTTTTGCAGAGTTATCTTTACCGGGATCTACACGTTTGAATCAGCGGTGAAAGTAATGGCCCGGGGTTTCATACTACAGCCATTCACATACCTTAGAGATGCATGGAATTGGCTTGACTTCGTAGTAATAGCTTTAGCGTGAGTAGTAGACAATTTTATTGATATACGTAGAAAGTTACTTATTGAAAAATGTTTATAAGTAGATTTTATAGTTAAAGATTCATTAATAGTTGTTTTATAGAACAATATTTGTTGTTGATTACTTAGAAAGTTTACTTCGAAAGTGTAAAATAAATAAGTGATTCAATGTGAATTTCGAGATAGGGAAGAGTAAACTTTGACTCGGCTTTTTGTCATAAACATTTTGTCTGATGAATTAGAGTTTATAGTAGTTTGTAGTGATGTGTATTAACTTAGATTTTGTGGTTGTGGGTATCTGTTTTCAGTTATGTGACGATGGGCATAGATCTTGGAAACTTGGCCGCGCTAAGAACGTTCAGGGTACTGCGAGCGTTGAAGACTGTGGCCATTGTACCGGGTAATTTATATAATGATGTTAATTAGAATACTTTAGACGCTGTAGTAATTTGTAGCCGAGTCCTTTTATCTCACTTTATTAATTAGTTAGAGTAATAAACAGGGACAGAAACCACAAGTGATTAAAAACTTGGGTACTGATTTCAAAACTAAGGCTGGGTTGCACCATCTTACTTTAGCAAACGACAGAAATCTGTCAAACTCCCACTGGTTATCATTATTTACGGTTAAAGATAGACGGTGCAACTCAGCCTAAATTTATCAATGTAATTCTTGTATAATCATTATTATCTTTTACCCTTTACATTTTTGCGTGTGCCTTACTTTCATCCCATAAACCCAGAGGTAAGCAATCAGCTCACCTATCACATTCCTTTCTCACTATAGCCTCCCCAATTTTGACTTGATATCTGATGTCAGGTTTGAAGACCATCGTCGGAGCCGTGATAGAGTCCGTGAAGAATCTGCGGGACGTGATCATCCTGACCATGTTCTCTCTATCCGTGTTCGCACTGATGGGGCTGCAAATCTACATGGGTGTGCTCACTCAGAAGTGCGTCAAGGTGTTCCCGGAAGACGGCTCGTGGGGGAACCTCACCGATGAGAACTGGGAGAGGTTTTGTCAGAACGAAAGTAAGAGTTTTCAATATTGCATTTCGTAAAAAATGATTTTAAACACAAACATAATAGTAGTCAGACAGCTTATAAATAGTGTCAAAGACACGCTCTAAGTCCTTGTTACCTAACCCTAACGTTACGTATAAATGTATTGTATTTGTTTACTAAGTAGGCCAGGAATCTATTGGTCGCCCAAATAATCGAAGTTTAAATTAGTTAACCCATAACTTTAATGTGGTCCTGCCCGTTGAACACTTAAACTTCCATCTAGTACAAGAATTTGGTGTAAACTTACTGAAACTTTTGTTTTTAGCGAACTGGTACGAAGAAGGAGGTGAATATCCGCTATGTGGAAACTCATCAGGGGCAGGGTAAGTTATAATAACTTCAGCAACATAATGATCATTTGTTAGGCTTACAAGAAGCCCTAAGAGCTTGTTCCCACAAAGACACAGAAATATGCGTTCACACGAGGGTTTAATTTGCGGGATCATGCATTACTAAATCTGACACTCAAGATAGAAATATTTTTTGAATTGCTTCCTATGAACTTTTTTTGTAATGATTCATTATTTTTGTCCTCAGGCAATGCGAGCCGGGCTACGTGTGTCTGCAGGGCTTCGGGCCAAACCCGAACTACGGATACACGAGCTTCGACACCTTCGGCTGGGCTTTTTTGTCCGCTTTCCGTCTGATGACCCAGGACTATTGGGAGAATCTCTACCAATTGGTAAGTTACCCTTTGAACACGTCATTTAAGATAGATAGACATTTTTAGAGGTTTAAACTGGTAACCGGACAAAAAATTCTTGTGTATAAGAACATAATGTTGCTACCAGACTTATTCAAAAGTTGTTACCAAACAAATTCGAGCGAAAAAAATAGGGTTTCCGTGTGGAAACTATATTTGCAGCTGGATCTTTAACGTTTATTTTCACAAATAGCTCAGATTTGGCGTGGAAAATACCTATTGTAACGATGTGAAGGTCATAGAACATTCATTTCCATATTCGATATGAAGCCGATTGGAGTGTAGCGTCGACAAACTGTATGACACTCATTTGTGTCAATATTTAATGAGTGTAGGCTTACGAGGTTACATCGTCAGGAAAGGGCTAATCGGACATTCCCGTTTCTATATGAACGTACGACATAAACGTGACAAAAACTCTACTAATATTATGAATGCGAAAGTAACTCTATCTGTTCCCTTTCACCCTTAAAACATTAAAACTATTTTTTTTTATGCAAGTAGTATTAACCCGTGCTGGGAAGAAGCAGTGCAAGAAACTCAGTCACTATTGACCCGTTATGAAAATTGTATCATAGAGAGCTTGAGACCTAGGGAAACACAATATATTTTATTTTATTTTTTATTTTATTTTATTAGGGACAACAAACAATTGTACAAACGGTTTTACAAAAAGTCTTACAGATATATCTTAAATAAATGCACAACCAGCACCGTTATCCACGAAAATAACAAATAGAACAGCTACTACGGTCGCACACGTTTGAAGAAATTATTTAACTAATTTTAAGTTTCTGACAATAAATTCCATGCAAATTTTAAGTTTGGTAAGTTAAAATTGACAAGTTCTAAGACAAAAGTCAGGAAACAACCGTATTACCAATCATTTAAGTTGGCTTAGTGCAGTTATACATTACATATTATACCTACAGTCAAGGCCATACGGCAAGCACCGATCACACAACAGAAAACGAAAACGGCAGACAAGGGGAATGCAAGGTGTACATTGTACAAGTTAAAGGAAAATAAAATACGGCAAAGATTTAAGGATTTAAATAATTGTATCCAACAATAATATAACATTACTCTTAAATTTACTAGGCGATAAAGCAAATAGATCCAGATTAAAAAAGTATTGATTGTATGATTTCATAATTCTCCTCAAAGGAGCCCGCTCTCCGGCGTGTGTTCTTGCGAATTTAGGTTCAAACAGACGAAGGTTTAATGTACTACAAGAACGGCCTATACGGCTCGGTACTCTGTATTGAATTTGATTGATAATGTCAGTACAATCAAATTTATGGTGGCAAATATTGTATAATATCATTTGATCCAAGAGCAATCTCCTCTTAAATAGCGACTGAAGTGAGTACTTACTAATGAGATTATTATATGAGAGTTTTCTGTGGAAACATTTGTATTCAACGACACGTAAAAACTTTCGCTGAACGAGCTCTAAGCGGTCACTGTACTTGGCGTAAAATGGGTTCCATATAATTGTGGCATATTCCAATTGAGATCTAATGAGAGATTTGAACAAGAGTAGATAGGACTGAGGACGTTTAAAACAGACACCTGTCCTTATGACAAATCCGTATATTTGAAATGCTTTGTTGGTAATGTATTCAATATGATCTTCGAAGTGCAACTTAGAATCAAAAACAATACCCAAGTCTTTCATCACCGAGACATGTTCCAAAGGTGCACCACACAATCTATACTGACATTTAACAACATTGGCCTTTTTTGTGAAAGTGATGCTCTTACACTTGTTAAGACTAAGACAAAGCTTGTTTTTAATACAATATTCAGAAAGCCGGTTAAGGTCCTCTTGCAATTTATTACAGTCATCAATATTAACTATACTATGATAGACCTTTAGGTCATCTGCGTATAAAAGAAAATTTGAGTTTAAGAAACAGTTACCAATGTCATTAACAAACAACACAAAGAGCAATGGTCCAAGAATCGAGCCCTGAGGAACGCCGGAAGTCACCATTATTGAGTTTGAAGCGAAACCATTTACAACGACCCTTTGGGTCCTATTCATGACATATGAAGCAAACCAACGTAGTAAATTTTGAAGCCAATAAAGCAGTAAAAAATAAACAAACGACTTTATTTATACAAAAATAAGCCTTTCATGGAGAGACTGAAAGAGATTCCAAATTATTTGTTTATTATTTGCTTAAAACCCGGTATCATAGATCTTTTTATCTCAAAATATACCCTAAATGCATATACGGCATATTTTTTACCAAGACCAAAACTTTCCGTGACCTTAAACCCCACTTATTCTTAATCAATATCTTATGGAAAATCCCCTAATGCTCATTTCACCTTTGACCTAAATCTAAAACCAACACATCGGGTCCCTCATCCTCTTAAGCCGTGCGAAAATATATCTTATGTAAAAATTGAGCAGAACCCAATAAGTAACCTTTCATGTGAGAGTTTCTATAGCAATTTTTTGCTCGTGTTACGTTGTAAATTGATTCTTCTGCGACAAAGGAAATTATGTTACGAAGAGACATACTATTTTTTTTAGAAAATACGCGGATCGGGAACGTAATTGAACCGCTTGAACTCGAAGATTATTTTATCGAGAGCAATGAATTCGGCTTACTTAGAAAAAGCCTATTAAAGTTTATCGTTGGGAGTTGCCAATACAATGATGAGCTCGGATTTTAATATCATTAACTCTCAAGACTGAATTATTTTGATGATGAGATGGACTTATATTCTTCTTGTTACTGAATAAATAATAAATAAATAAATATAAATAAATATCCTTGGACATTTTACACTGGGCTTCTAGTCCCAAACTAAGCAAAGCTTGTACTATGGGTACTAGACAACGGATATAAACATACTTAAATACTTTTTTTTTTTGTAAATACATACTTATTATACATAGAAAACACCCAGTCCAATACAAACAAATATGTTCATGCACACAAATGTTTGTACTGTGCGGGAATCGATCCCGCTACCTCCGGAATAGTAGTCCGTTTCGAACCACTACACCAAACGGCCGACACTGAATGAATCAATGAAACTAGTCTTAAGAATGGATCGAGATTAATTTTGATTTGATTACCAATTTATTTACATTCAGAGTGTGATTGTTTTTGTAGGTATTTTTCAGATTGTAAAATTGTGTAAAAATATGGTCTTCATTCATCATCATTTCAGCCATAGGACGTCCACTGCTGAACATAGGCCTCCCCCAATGACTTCCACATCGCACGGTTGGTAGCGGCCTGCATCCAGCGCCTTCCTGCTACCTTTATCAGGTCGTCGGTCCACCTTGTGGGTGGACGTCCCACGCTGCGTTTTCCGGTACGCGGCCTCCATTCCAGAACCTTTCTGCCCCATCGGCCGTCGGCAAAAATATTGTCGCCGATGTGTAAAGTAATTTTAAGTAAAAATACTTAATTTTCGTTTTTTTTTCAGGACCTGAAGAACCAAAGGCTGGACGAGTGCTCAAGCCCGAGTGACAGTAGTATTGTGACTAAAACCATTTAGTGCAAAACCCGCCTCTAGTGAAATTACACCAAAGACTATGATACTAGCTGTAAGGACAATCTAGAGTTGTATTTCTAGGAAATTCTCCGAAAAAACCAATCAAAAGTGAACGGATAGACACGTTTTTGAACAGAAAACTTTATGTATACGCAAGAAAGTAGCTTAATTTTTATTATTTAAGTGAAATATTGTTTACTAACTTAATGTTAGCCTCGTGCAACGGGTTTATATTCAAATCAAAAGACCAGAAAAGAGAATAGTGTTCAATCATTTATTTATGGGCTACACTGACAACACAACGATTATTATGAATTAAAGGGGAATAAAAAACTCTGTCATTTTACAGTGAAGATGTATTCAGGTGTGAATACAAAAAAAACTAGAAAATAGGATGTTTATTTCAAACCAGGCACATTTTAGTACTTATTTATTATTAAAATTGTGTGTTCGATCACATTTTCAAGTCATATTAAACTTTACATAATACCAAAGTTCTCCAAAAAAATAATAAATGGTATTTGAAATACGCATTTCAGCGCACTTTGCTCTACATTACTCTGGCAAGTGTCTTAAAAAATCATTTTAAAATGCTTGTGCATTGGTAATGTCTCTGTTCTCCATTTTGCCTGTCATTTTGTGTGAGGTTTGGGCTGTAATATTGACTAATAATAACTAATTTAATGTCATAATGCACTATTATGAGTTGACTTATCAAATTGTAATAATAAGCTAGTTCATTTTCTATTATCTTCAAGTATGCCAGATTATAAAATAACTAGACAACATAAGGTTTGCCAATAAATAATTTAAGGATAAGTCTAAATTAGTGATGTAATCGCTAAACGACTAGAATAGTAATAATAATATAGTAAAATAAAATTAAATGTTGTAAAAGATAGCTAAATAAATGTATTAATTTAAGTTTCGTATTCCCAGATGTGCCTATATGTCTAGTATATAAATGCTGATTGACCGCATATAAATAAATTTCCCTTATAAATAATACCAGTGCTTTATAATGAACTTGATTGGTTTCGGAATGAAACGTCACAGTTGACGTAGCAATATTTTCAGCTTCCAATTATAAAAACCCGTTCGTTTTGTCGTACTTTTGATAATAATTGAGACTACGCGGTTGGTAAGGAAATTGTTACACGATTTCATAAATTTCTGTGGATATTTAAATAATGAACTGACTTTTTTCCTTTATTTGTTCAAGAACAAATATTGCACGTAATTTATTTTCGATTCATTCGAATGGTTTCAGTGTTTCCATTCGACGATAAATAAAAAAGTAAGTTTAGTAAAATACTTACACGCGTAGTTGGAAGTCGTGATGGGCTGTATCAACCTATCATACATAAACATTTATAATATTTATTCCGGTGTGTCCCAATCATTGTATCATTTCCCCAAACAAAAATATAACAATACTGTAGATGCTTCGAAAGATATTTTACGTAGGTATTTATGTTCTTCATAACTCGCCTCTTGCCTAATACCTGATTTACTTTGTAAATGAAAATCACGAGGATTCTTCCCTGCATTTTGGCTGCGAGCCAGAAAATATTTTCCAGCGCAGCCTGAGGGCACTCCGCACAATCGTATGAATTTCTAAGAATCCTATTTGCATCTTACATCGGCAAAAATTACATTTCAGCTCGAAAAACGTCTACTCGGTCAAATAATGAAAAGTTGCAATTCAAATGCATTCATATTTAAATTATTTTAAAAGATTTATTTGATTAAGCCGTAATAGGAAATCAAAGCTTCAACGTTTACCCAAATAACTGCCTTTGGGTAAACGGGTTGCACCATTTTACTTTAACTTTAACTAACGTAGAAAGTCTGTCAAACTCCATACAAAACACTGGTAATTGTTACAGTTACTGTTAAAGTAAGGTGGTACAACTCAGCCTAAAAATATTCAAGTTCTACCTGGATTGATCAATCTGTTTGTTAAAGTTATCGAAAACCTCTACAAGGAAAAATTATAAGGCACTTTTTTTGGGCATAATTTATCTGAGGTCTATTACAATGTTTTTGCCGAATTTCAGGTATATCCAACTTGTTTCGATCGATCACTTAGTTCTGTTTTCCATTCTGATCCCATTTAACTTAATTTCACAGTAAATACAGTTTCAAATAATGAAATTTAAGTACCTATTGCAAAAGAAAATATACGAGTTGTTAAAAAAAATTCATACTAAGTTAGCAATCGAATCTCGAATTCTCGATCATATTAGAACTCTCGGTTATACTCAAAATAGACTTCCCTATACCAAAATCACTCCAATGATTTACGAATAATTAATTGTACATAATAGTGTAGTTTTACTGTTGTTGAATTCAGACTGATAGCGATTTTAAATAGTTTAGTATTGTATAAATAAAATAGGTCTTTCCTAACGTTTCAAGTTTTGTATTGGTTTTAGCATTGCATTCAAAATAATAATGTAAAATAACGAATGTATGAATTAAATGTAAAATGATGAAAATATGAATATTAGGTAATGAAAAGACTTCATGTCCTGTATATGAATAGATCTGTTTGTTGTAGATAGAAAAATAACGAACATTTTGTAAATTAATGTCCTTGAGAAAATAATTATTAAAAAACAGTGTTGGATTTGCAGATTTGTTTTTATTTATAAAAGTTACTAACATAATATTTTAGAAAATATAAAATTCGGTAAATTTTTCGTTTGTTTTATTGTCAAAATTTTAAATAACATTGTTAATCATTACATGAAAAGTCTTTCATAGTTTTCACGCTAAAACAGTTTTGTTTTATTATTTTAAAATCAGCTTATGAAAAATAATGAATGTGTTGATTATTTTAGAGTTATACCTACATTCGCCCGTATTTATATGTAGATAGTTAGTGATTTTTTACATTTTATTTTTGTACCCTTAATTGTAAGCATAATTTATATTATTGTCAATTAATGTGTATTGATTGAGAATAGCGAAAAGCATAGCTACCACACTCGAGTTAATAAAAAATAAATACGCGTGATTTATGTTTTTTATTTAAACCTGCAAATTATTCTACTTCGAGTTTTTGTCAAAGGAAACATACTGATTACACACAACACATAAGACATTTTAAAAGTACACAATTGTAACGTAAACTCTACATTATTAAATTCAATCACGTAATGCCTAAAACAACTATTACGAAAACCTTTTAAGCAGTCTATGATAGTAGTTTTCAGCTATTCAGCAGTAGGTATTCGTAGGAGTCGAACGTGACCTTTTCACTACATAAAATACAAACAGATACAAACACATACTATTATGAAATCGAAACCTAAAGCAAATATTATTACATAAAGAAAGATATAAATAGAAAGTCATTAATTTGTACAATCAAAATAGGTAATTAGGTAGGTGGGTCTGTGTTAAAATTCATGTTTACAAAAAACACTAAGGTTGAGTTGCACCATCCTACTTGAACTAATAACAAACGTCTAAAATATGTAAAACTCCATACAAAATACACCGAATTATCGTTACAGTTAACGTTCAAAGTTGGGTGGTGCAACTCAGCCTTAGTACTTTATGTTTTAACTATATTTTTGACTTAATAAGCAACATAGTTCATAAACCAGCAAAGATTAACCGTCACTAATCGCACTAACTACACGTCCGCTCATTCATAATTCACTCTACACGTCAGCAAATCCGTCCTAAGTACTACGAAGCCCAAATAACTATCACTCACGCTATGCAAATGCCACACCGCGGGTAATAAAAGCCTATGAAATCCGCATAATCCACCCCGGACGGCGATTAACGTGATTCAGGCGGGAATCGAACGCGTGACCCACGCCAGTTAGGGATAGGCGCGGCTAAAGGGCGTGGAAGATAGTAAATTAATATATAGTTATTGCCTGCACGAGCCCAATTTTCGCTGAGAGATTAGTCGAAATGATAATTGCTTAGTAACTATCATTTTCATACAGAGAGTCAATTTGTATTTTGGTCTGACCCTTCCAAAAATAGATTGCAAGCGAAGATTGCAATCTCTATTGATCGTGGATACATTATTGGGAAGCATGTAACACTAACCCAGATGGAAAGACACTTCGCACCCTTAATAATATAGGGGCACAACTCAAAATTTTTGGTTTTTTACTTTTTGTACTAGAGAGGCATATTTTCGTCAGTTCTACAAGATGGCTTTCACAGAAATCTAAAACAATGATCAGATTAAAAGTTCTACATTTTGTGCCCCTTCCATACTTTCATCTATCTTCCCGCTAGAAGGGCTGAATCAGAGACATGCCGATATTTGTCGAATCCGGCCCCCGCGACTGTGGTCCAATTTGGAGTTGTGCCCTTGTATNAGTAGCAGCAAATGATCCACCTTGTCAAAGGCCTTGCAGAAATCAGTGTAGACTGCATCTACTTGTCCATGCGTTCAAAAAGAAAGTTTGTGTAAATCAGTAAATTACTAATAGTTGATCTCTTCTTTACGAATCCGTGTTGTTCGGGAATTATTAAACGATGCACAATCGGGTACACCATGTTATGCACCAGGCGTTCAAGGACCTTAGACAGAACAGACAATAAGGAGATAGGTCGGTAATTAGAAACATCTCGCTTACTACCGCTTTTAAAAACTGGTGTAATATTAGCAGTCTTCCAGGCAAGTGGAATTATACCCTCAAGCAGAGTCAAGTTATACAATACAAATAGTGGTTTACAGATGTATATATATATATATAATAGTTTCATACCGGTTTTTGAAATAGGTAGGAACAACATAGTGACAAACCAAAAAACATGCGAAGCGGCAGGCAAAAGTATGATATATTTTAAAATGCTCACCAGGTGTTGCGGTCAGCGGGGTCCTGGCACGTGCTGTTCTTCGTGGTGATCATCTTCTTGGGCTCGTTCTACCTCGTGAACTTGATCTTGGCCATCGTCGCCATGTCCTACGACGAGTTGCAGAAGAAGGCCGAGGAGGAGGAACAGGCTGAGGAAGAAGCGTTGAGGGTGAGAACATTGATTTTAGATTATAAGTTTTTTGAGTATGCCTTCTTCTTCTTTTCGTGTCGACAACAAACCTACACAGTGTCAGCCCAAAACTCCGCCACAAGAGTGGCGTTGTCAGTAGCACTCATCAAATCCTCCTGAGTGCAGTTGCCTGAAAATCATTATATTAAGCTTACTAGCGGCCACCCGCGACTTTGTGCGTGTGGATTCTGTTTTACCCCCTTAAGGGATTTAAGTTTATTTATAAAATAAAACATTTTCATTTTTATTAAGGGATGAATTTTGCAAAATCCCGTCTTAATGAACACCTACGTTCTAAAAGGAACCCCCATGCAAAATTTGAGACTCCTAGCCAGTGCTACAGCGCTCAGAAACTACAGTTAGTTTCTGAGTGAGTGAGTCAGTCAGTCAATAACTCAGTGACCTTTCGCTTTTATAGATATAAATATAGATAGATAGATTGTACATATCGAGTTAGAAATAGAAATTACCTGCTCTATTATGATAATGATGGTTGAACTCTCCTGATATGGAGGTCATTCCTATCCTAGGTATCTATAGATTCCCATAGATGTGACTCACGATTCATAAAACCACTTTGTTTAATTATTCACAGTCTGTTTAGGATAGTAGGCTTGAATCAACCTGACTGTCCAAAAAGAATCATGACTCAGTGCTCTAGAATAAAGGGCAAGTTAATTCGGTCCGATTGAGTCATATTAAACGCCTATTATGATTCATAAATTCTGACATTAGGGGATGTGACCCCCTGTTATTACAACCCACACGACAGAAGAAAACTTGTTAGTTATATTACACAAGTTGTAAATTACTTACAATTGAGTAATTGCCACTTTTCGACAGAATACTGCATCCCCAGTAATGATAGTTTTTGTTTTTATACGTAACAGTTGGCACCACTGGTCAATGTCAGGATTTTACTCTACAGTGACGCAAGCCTGACGAGTGCAAATGTGATAGTCCACTTACCGCTTCAGTTCAGAGCTCACCAGTTAACGACACTGCCTTAGCCAATAGTGAGTGACAGGACCTTAGTCTACAGTTGCGTTAACTGGTGAGGGCAAATACGATATATCCCTCGTCACATGATTAAGCAAAACCACGTCTCTCTTCAGGAAGCGGAGCAGAAAGCAGCAGCGAGAGCGGACAAGCAGGAAGCGAGGGAAGCTCACGCCCGAGAGCAGGCGGCGGCGGCCGAGGCGGCGGCCTACGCGGAGGCGCATCCCGCCAAGTCGCCCTCCGAATTCTCCTGCCACAGCTACGAGCTCTTCGTCAACCAGGAGCGCGGCAACCAGGACGACAATACGCGCGAGCGCATGTCCCTCCGTAGCGACCCGTTCCAGGACTCGGTGAGCACTCAGCCCACGCAAAGGCCCGCCGACCAGCACCACGAATCACGCCGCCCGAGGAAGGTTAGCATGGTGAGTACTGCTGCGCCCACAGTCTTCGAGCCGACAATGATTCAACTTGTGATCTTTACACGTAGAACAGTGACATTACCATTCAGTTGTACATAACCGAATACATCGATTACATACTCGTACAGTATACTTACAGCATTTTGTAAACTAGACAGCTTATTTAAAACTAGTTTGATTATTTACTTAGATAAGTCAGGTACTTTGATTACAACAATCTTAACAAAATTACCTTTAAATTAAGGAGGAATTGTTTTAAATTGTTTCAATTTGAGTAAATGAACCATGTCACGATTTCTTTCAGGTGCTACATGGTCCGTTATTTGAAAGTTAGCACGGTTAAATGTTTATTGAATCATTGATGGCTGAGTACGATCATTCTTTTCAACTTGACCTCAATCACGCTGCTTTACACTCGGGCCGAGATAACTGAAGCCTGGTTATCGAGCTTTGAATTATAGATATTACGTCACACTTAAAACTTCCACTCCGTCACTTTCTTCATCCTCATACCAGCACAGTTCAAGTTGAAAAGAACGTTTATATTATGTGTCTTAATTGCTGTGAGCTTAAAGGTCTTGTCCTGTGTTTCTATTGTGACTGCGAACATCATACCCATATTTTTATGTCCCTACTTTCATATCAATGACGTATTTTCAGAAGTCTATTCTAAATCTTGTCTGATATTTGCAGTCCACAATTCCTTTTCTTTTTCCTGAATTTTAATTTGATTATTTCAATGTGATTCCTCTGTTCAAACTATCGGCTTTGCCTATTGGCATGCAAATAGTATTTCCTGTGTCGTTTACCCTGTGTTGCGATGCCTTGTTAACTATAATTCTTCAACTTCATTTGAATTATAAACCATACATAAGCATTATTCAATTTATTATTCAACAACCGTTCATTTTAGTTTTAGAATATCATTTCCTCAATTAGATCTAGCTAGTACTTTTCTTTTAAACATACTTGAGCACGAATACAACTTTACTTTTCCTCTGTTATTTTTAATCGTTATTGTAACACAAAAACAAATTAATTTCATTTTATGGAACGATGATTACTTACCTGAATATTTCTTTATAATCGCATGAACCTTATTAAACACTGTAGTAACTCGTAATCCTTTAAAGTCTCCAATAATATTTCTTGATAAATTAAAATATTAAGGGGAACTGTTTTTATGTGAAGGGTAACTTTTGGAATGAATTCAAACAATTGCTTCAATAGAAGTCCTAACAATATAAGGAATACTATTGGAGAGAAAGAATCTATTGTCATGGTAGATTGTTTCTTTTGCAATGTGAGTGTTAAACAACGGGCCGGGATGAATCTGAACGTATCAACGATGACGAGGTAGGTTCAGTCAACCTTTTTTAATTAAGAATTGGTAATAAAGTTAACAATAAACTAAGGAAGTAAACTTAACTAATTAGATTCCTCAATTTCGATTTAGTGACGTGCGGAGGCTTCAATTTAATCGGACATACAAAGGAACAGTCCTCATGACTATAGATGTAGATTGAAAGAAAAAAAATAGTGATAGGATTAGCAGTTTGCAGATATGCATGAAATTACCCCATGATTACTTCATGTGTTTATAAACAAAGTTACCTGACTAACCGTTGCTTTCATTCATCCATCGCTAGTCGTTTCATCATCTTTATTCTTACAATAAGAGTTTTATTGGTTGCATCCTTATCAAACAGTTTCCGCTATAGTGCCATTCATTTGGATGCTCAAAAGTTCTTATTGTATGGGCAAATTCTTTAGATCTTTAATCTGAACTGCCATCTGCGACTGGACACATTCATACATTTGATCAAATACATCACAAATCAGAAGTAATATTTTTTCTTCACACTCTGCTTCAAAGCTGCAATTGTTTTGTAACATGCCTGATTTGATTTTGTTTTTGTTTATTCTGTGTTGATATGGCAGTACCTCTCCATCCTTATCCTATTGGTCGATGTCTAGATATTTGGTCGATATTAATTTATCATATCAATTGATTAAATTCAAAATTTTCTTTGTGTATTGAAGGTCCCTCACCCTGAACGCATAAATAAATACGGACAGTTATCATATGGGCCACTGCGCGAGGGCTCACAGGTTTGTCCATCTCTCCTCATTGGTGTTTGTGCTCCCCTTCCTCTTCTTTTACAGTATTATCCATATCTCCTCTATTTTTGTCTTCTTACTTTCTTATTTTACTGCTTCCAGTCTATACTGTTTCTATCGCGTCTATTTGCAGCAATTCATTACAATGAAATTTATTGTCACTCAACGTGAAATGTGTTGATGCAAGCAGACGGTCACGAGCACTTATCATTTTCTCTGACTTCATTATATTAATTTCTATTACTTCTTTCCATTTCCTCTTGGCGTGCCTTTTCTTTTGACACTTTTGTTTATCAGCACATGAAAGTAAAATAACCATTAGGTATTATCAGATTCTAAAAATTAGGATTACATTAAAACGCTAAAGCCTCTGCAACCGGTTCCATAAGAATATGAAGTTGATAAAATGTATTAGAGATTTGCTTACTACTCGATCTGAATTGAGGAAAGATTTGAAAAGAAAATTTTTGAAATGAACAAGACCTAAATATTTGAATTGAATTTGAAAGTTTAAGAGAGTAGACTGTAGATGCTGAGTAATGGGTATGATGCAGGCGTCGTTATCTCTGCCGGGGTCGCCGTTCAACTTGCGGCGGGGTTCGCGGGGCTCGCACCAGATGGCGCTGCGGCCGAACGGGCGGAACCGATACCCGCCGGGCGCGGACCGCAAGCCGCTGGTGCTGTCGACGTACCTGGATGCGCAGGAGCATCTGCCCTACGCCGACGACTCTAACGCTGTCACACCTATGTCTGAAGAAAACGGTGCTATCATCATTCCTGTATACTACGCTAATTTAGGTGAGTTTAATATAACTAACCTCGATCTTCTGTGACGTAGTCAATCAATATTGGGTTCTACAGAGTTGATGGCTTATGATGAAACTGACCTGCATCCCAAACCTGTTACAGGCTCTCGCCATTCCTCGTACACGTCGCATCAATCGCGGTTATCGTATACGTCGCACGGAGACTTGCTCGGCGGCAAGGTGCAGACGAAGGAGCAGCGGCTGCGTGGACGCTCAGCCTCGCGCAACCACAGCGTCACGTCGCAGCCGCACGCCTACCCGCTGCCGAGGCAGGACTCCTCGCTTGCGTCCAGGCCGCTACGGGAGTATGTGAGTATCCAGACACTATGCTAAGTCTAAGGCACGCCACTTGTACGGAGACCTGCTGGGCGACAAGGTGCAAACGAAGAAGCAGCGACAGCGTCACGTCGCAGCCGCACGCCTACCCGCTGCCGAGGCAGGACTCCTCGCTCGCGTCCAGACCTCTACGGGAGTATGTGAGTATCCAGACACTATGCTAAGTCTAAGGCACGCCACCTGTCGTATGGAGACCTGCTGGGCGGCAAGGTGCAAACGAAGGAGCAGCGTCAGCGTCACGTCGCAGCCGCACGCCTACCCGCTGCCGAGGCAGGACTCCTCGCTCGCGTCCAGGCCGCTACGGGAGTATGTGAGTATCCAGACACTATGCTAAGTCTAAGGCACGCCACTGGTCGCACGGAGACCTGCAGGGCGGCAAGGTGCAGACGAAGGAGCAGCGACAGCGTCACGTCGCAGCCGCACGCCTACCCGCTGCCGAGACAGGACTCCTCGCTCGCGTCCAGGCCGCTACGGGAGTATGTGAGTATCCAAACACTATGCTAAGTCTAAAGCACGCCACTTGTACGGAGACCTGCTGGGCGGCAAGGTGCAAACGAAGAAGCAGCGACAGCGTCACGTTGCAGCCGCACGCCTACCCGCTGCCAAGGCAGGACTCCTCGCTTGCGTCCAGGCCACTACGGGAGTATGTGAGTATCCAGACACTATGCTAAGTCTACGGCACGCCACTCGTTGTACAAGTTGCACGGAGACTTGATGAGCGGCAGGGTGCAGACGAAAAGCAGCGGCTGCGCGCCCACCCGCTGCCACGGCAAGACTCCTTGCTCTCTTCCAGGCCGCTGTGGGAGTATGTGAGTATCCAGAGACCTCTATGCTCAGTCTACAGTAACTCGTTGTACATGTTGCACGGAGACTTGGTGGGCGGCAGCCATTACCATTTCATTTGCTGATTGAAAATATGGAGTACTTTTTGATATTGGGTTTGATGAAGTTATGTATGCTCTCAGCTTTTATTATACTTTTGATTACACTCTTTAAAGCTCCTGAAAAAGATCTAAATCTGATTTAGTTATTTACTAAGAGGAGGAATAAGGAATTTTATACCTTCATCTTCTAAATAGTCTTGAGTTCAGTTGAATTTATTAGACAATTGTGCTTTTCAGGAGATGAGCACGACTGAATGCACGGACGAGGCCGGGAAAGTGTTGAAGCCATCCAACGACAACCCTTTTATAGAAAATTCGCAACAGCCTAATGTCGTTGATATGAGAGGTAATCATAATAATAAATACAGGGTGATAGGTAAATGGGTATATGAGCCGACACTTGCCCATGTTAACATGGCCATATAAATGGTATGGTGAAGTTAGAAAATTGATATCTTCATTTTAATTATTTAAATTTTCATACAAATCGGATTTTATAACATTTATTTTGTATGACAATTAAAAAAAATTAAATGATGATATCAAATTTCTGACTTCACCATACCATTTATATGCCCATGTTAACATGGGCTAGTGTCGGCTCATATACCCATTTACCTAACACCCTGTATTTAGTGGACAAATAATGAAAAGATTATCAATTGAACAATAACCATCATTTAACATTATTTTCTTACAGCGCAGTGATAAACTTTAATATGTTTTATAGTGTTACTATACATTGCTATAACTTTCAATTTCAGACGTAATGGTACTAAACGAAATCATCGAACAAGCGGGAAGGCAAAGCAGAGCAAGCGATCAGAACGGTATGAAGATTTCTCACGTTAGATGTTGTTGCCTCCGTAACAACGCTGTCTTGTGCATTCTTTTTTTTTTCGATATCGATGTCCGTTACTTTAATGTGTTTTAAATTTACGCTTCTTTAAATTTACTGAACAGAAACACCCTCAATTTTCTTACTAAACAAAACTCTTACATCGACTCTAACACACATTTCGACACGCATATCGGTATTTGCTCATTATGCGACCAAAAAGCATAATTGGCAAAAGAAAATACAATTGTGGATGTCATTTATAGTCGTTTTCATTTGTGTGAATGTCTGCTCCAAAGTACTTTGAAGAAAAAACGGTGTGAAACACTCAGTAATAGACAGTAGTCTCTAAAATTAAAGAATTATTTTGAGAAACAATTTAATTGCAATTCAAGGAGCATAAAACAGACAATATTAAAGTTAGTTTCAAAAGTTTTTTCTCCTGAAGTAATTACACATTGCCTTGCACTTCCTATGTTGCACTCACAAGTCGCTGAAACATGCAAGCACTAACCATAATACAGACACCAACGCAAAATCAAAACATTAATTTTACTGTCACTTTTGTGGTTTGCAAAATCAGACTTTGCGACAATTCCAGAAAAACAAAACAATCTGGCGAATGTCTTTTAACGCTATTGAGCGGAAGTAAAGAAAAACAAATGCTTGTGATTTTGTTATATCTGCTCGAATGAGCAAAAGACATTCTTTAAATAATTCGCATTGCCTGTTGAAAGCACCTAGCCTAATTTAAACTTTTCACTGCCTTGCACCAAACACGATTGCAACAAATTTTATTATTTGCACTGCTTTATTAGAGCAATTATTTTTTGTGTGAAATATTGCATGTTGTGTTGTGTTTAGTAATTTGTCGTCTAACTTATTCTGTTTAGCCTATGTACAGCATTTTTTAAATTCATGATTAATAAAATAATTTTATACTTATGTCTTAATTGTAAGAATACCGCTGTAACGCCTTATTGTTGAAACGTCTAGCTACATTAATAAAGTTAGCTTTATTCATTTGTGATACGAAATTATCACGATATTCATATTTTTTGGCTCTGTAACATTAATGAAGTAAGTACTAACAACCATCGAGTCAGTGTCATACTTAAGTTGTGTAGTTAAGCGAATAAGCTTTGACGCAAGGATTGTCACTTCCAGTACTGGCTTGAGTTTGATTTGCACGATACCGACCAGCACAATCTGAACTCCCATTGGACACGAATCCACCTACAGATGTGGAATGTTCCTCACACGAGGCTTCGTTACCTCACCTCTGAGTGCCACAGACTGCCCATTTTAACTTCTGAACATAAATGACAGCCGGTCAAGTTACAAAAAATATGGATATTTGTGCTCCTAATTTAAATTTAATTGGAAATCATAGAGCCGAGGTGAAATTCTGATAAAAGATTGATGCAAATTGAGTCAAATTACATTCTTTATCATACTTTTATTGGAAGCACTCGGTCGAAAATTGTGAAAATAATGAGCGAATACTAACAAAATTATTTCTGTCTCTCTCTCTAACACACACACACGCACTCTGCTGGTAAACGGGACGCAACAGTGTCAGTGTACTACTTCCCAACAGCGGAAGACGACGAAGATGGCCCCACGTTTAAGGAGAAACTCCTGGAATGTCTGATGAAGGGGATAGACCTGTTCTGTGTTTGGGACTGCTGCTGGTTGTGGCTGGAGTTTCAGAAGTATGTCGCACTGCTGGTGTTCGATCCCTTCGTAGAGTTGTTTATCACGCTGTGTATCGTCGTCAATACGCTGTTCATGGCATTGGATCATCACGATATGGACAAAGATATGGAAAAGGCGCTCAAAAGCGGAAACTATGTAAGTTTTAATCCATGTCAAAACTTAATTTAGGACAATCTACCAATAGGAGTCTAACTAATCGTTTTCTGTTTCAGTTTTTCACCGCGACATTCGGTATTGAAGCTATGTTGAAATTAATAGCGATGAGTCCTAAATATTATTTTCAAGAAGGATGGAACATATTTGACTTTATCATAGTGGCCTTATCACTTTTGGAGTTGGGTTTGGAAGGCGTTCAGGGTTTGTCTGTTTTGCGTTCCTTTCGTTTGGTAAGTTTTCCATTTTAATAAATATTTTAACGTTTAAGCAATAATACATTTCTGGAATATACACACTGATAATTGTCATATTAATGAATAACTTTTTGACGTATAAAGTATTATCAGTATTTTAGAACAATATTGTGTGTTGATGTCTGATTTTAAACATGATAATAATCTAATTATTAAGTCAGTTATCGAAATAATTAATCACTTGTTTACTTTGAGTAATATTCTAATTACAACTTTAGAAAACTTGGTAAAATACATTTTACATTTTATTCGCTACTGTTTCAGAATCAGTAACTAAATGTATTAGTGTGTTGTTTGTTAATTATTTACCTTAAACTTGACGGTAACTTTTACCGATGTGTCATTTTATCTAAATTTTATATTTATTGTTGAGTCCTTTGAGAATAGAAAGAGATTTCGCGAACTTTTTGAATCTCCATTAAAATCTCTTGAGCAATAAACTCATGTGAGTATTACCAAAGTTTTTAAAGGTCCAATACAACCTATCCATTATCTTTACCTATTCTCCAAAGACAATTTATAACATTTACAAACTCAGGTGCGTATTTCAGGGGAAGCTCAAAGCTCTTATTTATTTCATGAACAGACTGCTGCTGTTAATTGGTTTAATTTCAATATTTAGACCAATTATGGGACAGAATCTATGACTGAGACTGAATTGAGTTCTGAGTGCTTTTTGTAATACGGACCTTAGTATTGTTCATGAAGTTTTCAACTGAATTTGGCCTTAAATTATTCTTATTAAAATCTATGAAAATTGCATAACCAAATACTGTTGAAAGTAGCTAACTGTCCTTGTCACACATAACATGAGCAAACATTGATGTGTACACTTCATTACATGCATCACACTACTCGTACGTTACCATTAATGTGAGTGTTCTATATGTAATGTGAACTATTTTCAGCTGCGTGTATTTAAACTGGCCAAGTCTTGGCCGGCGCTAAACCTTATTATATCCATAATGGGTAGGACGGTGGGAGCTTTAGGGAACTTGACATTTGTACTTTGCATCATTATATTCATATTCGCTGTGATGGGAATGCAGTTGTTTGGGAAGAACTACACAGGTTCTATTTGAAAGAAAATTTAGCATCTCTAAAGAACTAAGCTTCATTATTGATTCAGCTTCACACTCTCGAAATTTTTACACTGGGCTTTGATTTAATATTATTTTCATAAAGGACCGCGGTCCGCTGTGGCTTTATAACACGAGGCCTGAGGCGGACACGTTATAAAGCTATGCCACGCAGCTTCGATCATGATAAGCTTTGCATCGAGATACATTAGATTGACTTGCAGCTTTGCTTCAAAGAGGGTACTTGATGCCGAAGCTCTTAACTGATGGGATCTATGTCGTAACGTATTAGGCATACAAAAACTGGAACAAAATATACAAAAAACAAGAGATGATGTATAGAAATGAGAATCTGAATATTGGTGCAAAAGCTCTCACAAAATTTGATAACATATATCCCACTCATACAGACTGACAAAGTCTATGCACATCGATAGGTTACTCAAGCACACATTTGCTAATGTTAGTGGTAACGATGGTCCAGGATCACCCACACGGTACGAGTTGTGCGTGGTCGCGGGCCCGACCGAAGCAGTAGCATAGGTGAAGCGCCGATAAGCCAGCTTGTGTGACGCCTTGTTTCACAATTTGTACTTGCAGCTTCGAGTATTCAAATTGGCAAAGTCATGGCCGACACTTAATTTACTCATCTCTATAATGGGTAGGACAATGGGTGCCTTGGGCAACTTGACCTTCGTATTATGCATCATTATTTTCATATTCGCGGTGATGGGTATGCAACTGTTCGGAAAAAATTACGTTGGTAAGTGCATTGGTGGAAGTGTTGCATGTTCATTGGTGTTTGGAGGTGTTGACTGTTGATGGTGCGATGGGCAGCCGGTGAATGTGTTTCGGCACTAACGGCCGTTCCATTAGAGTTGGGAAGTATCGATTGAAAACCTTCAACGGGAGAACGAGAGTTTGCACAAAACTTTTGGATACCCGTTAATTTATTCAATTTATTCGTGCCAGCTCTAATGAAACTGTAGTGATTATATCCGAAATACATTCACTGTTTAGTGAAATTGCTTTAAGTGTGGGAGTAAACATTAAAACGATTTAAAAAAACTTACAATATCAATTACATATTTTCAAAAACTGGTAACTTCCACACTTCTGGCTATTTGTGTATGAATAGTGAGTATTGTGTTGATGTGCGTCACACTGTTGTGCTCAATGTCACAGGCGATTGGCAAGTTGTGTCGTGCCCCTTCCAAGTGAGCCTTATCCTAAAGTACTCGTGTAGTCTCTACCAGTAGACTTATAAACAACCACACCGAAGGCGCCTCACTTGTGAAACACTCATCGCCAGCTTTTCTATCTCTATCATATCTTCAAATTATTTCAAGCCGTTTCTTCATAATTGATTTACAGTTTAACTTTATTCTTTCTTTGGCCTTTCTAAATCTATGACCATTTGAACTACCCTTTATAGACTTTATTTAGCGGTACCTATCGTATGTATGTAGGTTTTTTTGCATGATTCTGTTATAAATATGCTTGATAATTACTGTACTGTCCAAACTGCTACTATCTTCTTAGATGCTTGAATGAAAATGTTATTGTCTTAGATGGTATGCTTTATAGATATTTAGTTAACAATATTGCTAAAAATGTGCGATAGATTAATGAAATTTAATGAGATATTAAATTTTGTGTTGAAAAAAACTGTTTTGTAAAAATATATCTTATGGTGTACAGATTATGTGGACCGCTTCCCTGACGGAGACCTCCCGAGATGGAACTTTACAGATTTCATGCACAGTTTCATGATTGTGTTCCGAGTACTCTGCGGAGAGTGGATAGAGAGCATGTGGGACTGTATGTTAGTGGGAGATGTCTCATGTATACCGTTCTTCTTGGCTACTGTCGTCATTGGCAATCTTGTGGTCAGTATATCTAAAATGTCTTGATTACCAAAAACGTTAAGACTCAATTTTGCTTAAAAAAAATATGCAATTTCAGGTTCTTAACCTTTTCTTGGCCCTGTTACTGTCAAATTTCGGTTCATCGAGTTTATCGACGCCTACCGCGGACCAGGACACGAATAAAATAGCAGAGGCCTTCAACAGAATATCCAGGTTTACAGAATGGGTCAAACGGAACGTGGCAGATTTTCTGAAGCTACTAAAGAACAAATTGACGAACCAGATAGCAATACACGCACCCGGTAAGATGTGTTATTTGTAAATGTGCTGTAGCATGTTTGTGTGTAAACCTGTTTCCGAAAATGTTTATAATGGTGTATTTATGTTTTTGCTACATGAAACAGTTATACTGGATTTACTAATGATATATTAGATCTCATTAGCATTTCCTCCTACATTCAAAATGTGGCATGATGTATCTACAAACCCGTAGCATGATCTGTTAATAAAAATGTCTATAAACCTATCTCTATGTTGTATTTTTGTAACACTGTGCGTTGCCTGCGTTCTAGCTCCAAGTGTAGAAATGACCCTGTAACTCTTTCTGTCGTGTGTTAGTTTGGATTCTTGTGAATATACTACTTTCTTGTGTAATTATTTCACCCTTCATCCACTGTGGTTCACATCCCTTCTTTTCGTCCCGGTAAGTATACGCTTGAGACATGTATTGTTTGCTTTATGTTGTTATTGAAGTCGTTACTGCATGTACCGTGTACACGTAAATTGTGTTAAGTGTGTTTACTTTGAGTGTTACATATTATAAAGACGTATACAGTTAAGTACATATTTGACAATATTTGTGTTGATTAATATTAACTAATAAATGACATATTTTATTAAGTTTCTAGTCAATGAAAGCTCGAAAGAAATTGATGCAACTATTCATTTTAAGATTTTGAATCAGTCAGAGTCACAACATCAGATCGATAAATGTACAGTCATTTCATTAAATGAACACTGTAGCCGATATTCACATGATTCATCGAAATTCGAAAATGTAAATTTGCTGTGATATATTCGCTCTAATAAGTACCTAATATAAAATCAATAAATTCGTACATACCTCGCGAAATGTTGGACAAATGTTAAATGTCATACTGGTCTGATTTCTATGCTTGGGCGCTGACGATGATGACGCACGGTGGGCGCGGGCGTTAGGCTTAAAAGCGGCTCTGTGTGGCCGCTGTGTGTCTTCAGAGCGCGTCGACAACGACCTGGAACTGGCCACGGACCTCGACGACGCCGTCCTGTACAAAGACAAAAAACTAAAGGATCAAGTCGAAGTAGCCATAGGAGACGGCATGGAATTCACGATACCAGGTAATGACGTCTGTCCAACTACACTTAAACACAAAACAGTCCATAAGAGCGTACTTTAACCGATAACAAAGTTAAAGATAATCTTAACGGCTTTCCAGGTGACAATAAATATAAAAAAGGGAAAATATTGATGAATAATATTAACGCTATGGATAGTAATCATAGAGACAATCGGTTAGACTGTGAACTAAATCATCACGGATATCCTATACAAGTAAATATGCCTGTAAATATTGTTCTTACATTACAAATTATCAAGTCAAAATCTTAACTAATTAATTCAATATTTTGTGTTTGTTCAGGACGACGATACAATAAGTCAGAAATCATATGGTAGTCATAAGATTAGATCATTTAAAGATGAAAGCCATAAAGGTTCGGCAGACACGATAGACGGTGAAGAGAAGAAAGACGCTAGTAAAGAGGAATTAGGACTCGAAGAGGGTATGTAGAGAACGTAATTTTAATTTGATTTATGTTAAACCATTACGTATGGAATTTAATGTGTTTGCAGAAATGATAGAAGAGGAAGAGGATGGCAAATTAGATGGATCGCTAGGCAAACAAGACATCATTGTAGCCGCAGACGAGGAAGTGGTTGATGACTCGCCAGCAGATTGTTGCCCGGAGCCTTGCTACCAGCGCTTCCCGTTCCTTGCCGGGGACGACGAGTCCCCATTCTGGCAGGGCTGGGGAATGCTCAGACTAAAGACTTTCAAACTCATAGAAAATACTTATTTTGAAACGGCTGTGATTACAATGATTTTACTCAGTAGTTTGGCCTTGGTAAGCTATTTTAATCAAAATAAATGTATTTTAAAAGTTTGGTGTCTGCCTACTTTAATAACTGTTTCCTTTGCAGGCGTTAGAAGATGTACATTTACCACATCGGCCAATCCTTCAAGACATTTTGTACTACATGGATCGTATATTCACCGTAATCTTCTTTATCGAGATGTTGATCAAGTGGCTCGCCCTCGGCTTCCAAAAGTATTTCACTAACGCCTGGTGTTGGCTCGACTTCATCATCGTCATGGTAAACACATCCATCTTATTTCTTATCATAAGTTACTTTACAGGAATCAAGATCATAATGTTAATAAGAGATAAATAGCACATTATGGTGATCTCAAGTTTTAATGAAATTGTATTAATTGAGTTGTTGGGTAATAAATAACATAGTCTTAACTTACTAAGTACTGAGTAATTGACGAGTGGTATCACGGTAGTTGTCGCTCGTAAACCACGGAGCTGTGATGGCGGGCGCGGACGACATCCCCGCCTTCCGCTCGATGCGCACGTTGCGCGCCCTGCGCCCGCTCCGCGCGGTCTCAAGATGGGAGGGCATGCGCGTGAGTACGCCGCAGCGCCGCCCCACCACGGCGCGACGCTATCGGTGTCGGTTTCGTTGTTACGCTGCTCATTGACAACAACACCCACAAAAATATTAACATTACAAACGTGCCTGCGACAACCCGTCCCCGTCAAAGGGCAGCGTGACGTAAAGCGTGTAGCTTTCTCTGTTCGATGTTTATCGGAGCGGGGACTCCGACTGGTCTCACTTCGCCTGGAGCTCTTTATGTCGTAACTTTGTCTGTCTGTGGATACTGCTTTTTACTCTCTTGCCCACGACTCCTGCTACTTAGCAAACTCTTGAACCGTACTACCGCTGGTGATTTACCCCCTGATATAGTGCAGTATAATTTGGTATCCCAATTTTCAAATGCATGATGCGGCACTACTATATCTTTGTGCTATATTTTGTAGATTGTGCCTTTTTCAAAAACCTGCAACTAAAAACAGATCAAATATATTTCAATAAATATGAAAATGGCACATGATCTATGTGAATGCTATTGGTGTCTAAAAGTGTGTTAATAGTATTGTAAGTATTTAAGACTATCGTTCAACCTTTAACTGTAGACACTCACGTTTTCTCCAGTCAAGTCTGCAACTAAGTAATCGATTCTTAATAATTCGTTTGGTTATTGACTAGGACAGTTAGTTTCTTCTTTCGGCTAATTTCAGCAAGCCTCATTCCAAACTCCTTTATAGCGGTTGTAAGTCTTCATCTACGGATAAGAGTTCTGATTAAACTACTGGCTTCAGGTATCTATTTCCATTATCTTGAAATTGTCACTTTCAGGAATTCTTTAATAATGTGTTACAATGTTACATGCCTATGATTTTCATGCCCATTAATGTGTCTCAAAATGCATTCGTTGATTTCATCAGGTCTCGCTTATAAACTTCGTAGCGGCGCTTTGTGGCGCCGGAGGCATTCAGGCGTTCAAAACGATGAGAACGCTTCGCGCTCTGCGACCGCTCAGGGCCATGAGTCGCATGCAGGGCATGAGGGTACGTACCACCCTGCCTTGCGAGCCACCATCATCCACCACACATTAGCTCCACACCCTAACACGTACATTTCTACCAACATCTGTAATATACAACTTCAACGATCTCATTCACACCAAGCCACAGCTACATAACATTCAAGTTTTCGATGATTTTCTCTATTAGCCACTCAAACTTCTTTGTTTAAATGCATTCATACTATTCCGATGAATTTATTTTAACTGTTACTCATTCGCAGTAGTCACTTATCGATTTAATTAGTCAATAACCATTTGATATCGACGGCAGCACCCTTGAATGGCTTAGTATCATCAAAGATCGTTACATCCTCTTTTTATTAGACATCGGTTAATTTGGGTTCAAGTCGGAACAGATGTTCATTGTCGTGTTTTGGTACTTTTTCTCTTCTCATTACTTGTTAGTTTAGATTTAATTAGTTTTCTTGGTACCTTATTTTAGATTCTGCACTTTAACTAGATTTATCTTCTTGTCTTCATCGTAAGTTGTTCTGGATCGCATGCGTTAGTATTGACTTATTGGACGATCTTTTATCGACGTGGTAAGTTTAAATTATTAGTGCATATTGTTTATGTGTTGTTATTATTTCGATGTTGCTTGTTGTATATTTTGTGCATGCTACATGTAGATTTATTCGTAAGCGCCAATTATGATTTTGCCTTCTATTGACTTATCATTTGTAGAATCACAATAATGGTTAAAGTGCAATCAAAGTTTTGCTGTATCGAATCATAATTTGCTCTAAACAAATGGAAAACATGTGTGTCACGATTATGTATCTTCTGGTACGAAGCACTAACAGTGTGTTGTTATGGTAGGTGGTGGTGAACGCGCTGGTTCAGGCGATACCTTCTATCTTCAACGTGCTGCTCGTGTGCCTCATCTTCTGGCTCATATTTGCCATCATGGGTGTGCAACTGTTTGCTGGAAAATACTTCAAGGTAATCATCGTTACTATCCTTGAACATCATCATCAGTAATGGAAACTCTTAGATGTGTGTATTCATTATCATGATTGTTTCAGTGCGTTGACCTAAACCATACAACTCTGAGCCATGAAATTATTCCGGACCGAAATGCTTGCATATTGGAAAATTATACTTGGGAAAACTCGCCTATGAACTTTGACCACGTCGGAAAAGCCTACCTATGTCTCTTCCAAGTGGCTACATTCAAAGGCTGGATTCAGATCATGAACGATGCTATCGATTCGAGAGAGGTAAATATGTGAATTTATGCCATCTTTGCTTCAAAATTGAAATATTAGAAAAAAATCTTAACACCCTATTTCTTTCCACAGGTGGGACGTCAACCAATCCGAGAGACTAACATATACATGTACTTGTACTTTGTATTCTTCATCATCTTCGGCTCGTTCTTCACTCTCAATCTATTCATCGGTGTGATCATCGACAACTTTAACGAGCAAAAGAAGAAAGCAGGCGGTAGCTTAGAGATGTTCATGACTGAAGATCAAAAGAAATATTACAACGCCATGAAGAAAATGGGTTCCAAGAAACCATTGAAGGCCATCCCAAGACCAAAGGTATAAAACAGCCAAAAAAGTGATGTCTTTAGTAAGAGAAGATCTGAAGAAGCTCTGAATCTAATTCCTTTATTTCTATTTCAGTGGCGTCCACAAGCAATAGTGTTCGAAATAGTTACAGATAAGAAGTTCGACATGATAATTATGTTGTTTATTGGTCTAAACATGTTGACCATGACGTTAGACCACTATCAACAAGCGGAAACGTTTAGCAACGTACTCGACTATCTAAATATGATATTCATCGTGATATTCAGTTCAGAGTGCCTGCTGAAAATATTCGCCTTACGGTACCATTATTTTGTTGAGCCGTGGAATCTATTCGATTTCGTCGTTGTAATGTTCTCTATTCTTAGTGAGTATTATTTCTTGGGATTAAACAAATCTGTATTCTTCATTGAAATATTAACTCAAAATACCGTTCACAGGTTTGGTGCTGAGTGATATAATAGAAAAATATTTTGTATCACCAACGTTATTGAGAGTAGTAAGAGTAGCAAAAGTGGGTCGAGTACTCCGATTAGTGAAAGGTGCGAAGGGTATCAGAACCCTGTTGTTCGCGCTAGCCATGTCACTGCCAGCTCTGTTCAACATCTGTCTACTGCTGTTCCTCGTCATGTTCATCTTCGCCATATTCGGCATGTCGTTCTTCATGCACGTCAAAAACAAAGGCGGCCTCGACGACGTGTACAACTTCAAGACTTTCGTGCAGAGCATGATATTGCTATTTCAAGTAAGTATAGTCTACTAACTCTACTACGATACTCATAAGGAAAACGCAGCGTGGGACGTCCAACCACAAGGTGTACTGACGACCTCATAAATGCAGGTCGCTACCAACCGGGCGATGTGAAAGTCATTGGGGGAGGCCTATGTTCAGCAGTGAACGTTCTTTGGCTGAAATGATGATGGTGATAGTCTACTATACTGAATGCTTGAATATCGGTAGGAAATCACTATTGGAAATTATTTAAATGCCCTGTTCAAAAGAACAAAAAAATCGAATTCGAAACCCAATAGAGTTACTGCAACAAAGATAATAGAATTGCAATTTCCGATTTCTAAAATCATAATCGTCAGTGAAGTTCTAACAATGCTTATGTGATTTTTGACGGTTGTAACATTTTGATGCCATATGATGAAGAAAGACCGCGTGCTTTTATCCGACCAATCTCCTGTAAAATACTCATTTTTGACTTACGTACATTTTGATGCCATTGGATAAAGAAAGACCGAGTGCTTTCATCCGACCAATCTCCTGTAAAATACTCATTTTTGACTTACGCACTTCACTGACGACATATTCATTGTACCTTTGTGTAGATGTCGACCTCCGCCGGCTGGGACGGCGTGCTGGACGGCATCATCAACGAGGAGGAGTGCAACCTGCCCGACAACGAGCGCGGCTACCCCGGCAACTGCGGCTCCGCCACCATCGGCATCACCTACCTGCTGTCCTACCTCGTCATCTCCTTCCTCATCGTCATCAACATGTACATCGCCGTCATCCTCGAGAACTACTCGCAGGTAATTACTGTTGAGGAGAAGAGAGCCTGAGCCTGAATTGATTTCGGGTTTTCTTACATCTGAAAAATAATGACTTGTTTTAATATTTGTCAATAATTTTGAAATAAATAATTATGTAAAGTAGGTATGAAGAGTTAAAGTAAAATGAAACTTACCAATATATTTCTGATTCACAGGCCACAGAAGACGTGCAGGAAGGTCTCACGGACGATGACTATGACATGTACTACGAAATCTGGCAACGGTTCGATCCGGATGGCACACAGTACATTCGCTACGATCAGCTGTCAGATTTCCTCGACGTGCTGGAGCCGCCCTTGCAGATTCACAAGCCGAACAAGTACAAGATCATATCGATGGACATTCCCATATGTCGCAACGACATGATGTTCTGCGTGGACATCCTGGACGCGCTGACGAAGGACTTCTTCGCGCGGAAAGGCAACCCGATCGAGGACCCCGGAGACCTCGAGGTCGGGCGGCCGGACGAGGTGGGCTACGAGCCCGTGTCGTCGACGCTGTGGCGGCAGCGCGAGGAGTACTGCGCGCGGCTGATCCAGCACGCGTGGCGGCGGCACCGGCGCGCGCACGGCGACGGCGACGAGGCGGAGGCGGGCGCGGGCGCGGGCGCGGGCGCGGCCACGGCCGTGCTGCTGGACGCCGTGACGCCCAACGGGCACCGCGTGGTGCTGCAGGCGGCGGCGGCGGCGGCGGCGCGCCCGCCCGACCCCGCGCCGCCGCCCGCGCCCGTCTGACCCGCGCTGGCGCTCGCGCTGCTGCCCGCGCTGGTCGACGACGCGCCGCTGCCGCTGCCCGCACCGCTGCCCGAGCTCCTGAGCCCACCCAAGCGCACTTAATTATTTTTTACGCTAGACGTTTCGCATTGTACATAAGTAGTGTGTCGGCGGGCCGCGGGCGAGCGACGCGACGCGCGCCGGCGCGACCTGCTGCGCGTCCGCGCCGATTGATTTCGTGGACGTTGTTCCTTCGCGTTCGGAGACGTTCGAGGTGACGACCGGAGTGTTTCGTATTCGCGTGGCCGAGCTTTGAGACCGTTTGTTTTGCGACCGACGTTCGCGCGTTCACCGTGTTCCGGTTCTGAGCGGCTCGCGCGGGCCCGCCCGGAGCGCCGCGGGCGGGGCCTCGCCGCGAGCGCGCCGTTTTGTTTCGTCACTAGTGATTTAATGTAAGGTATCGAATAAATTGAGGAAGCTGTAAAGGCTTATTTTTGTATTCGACGAATATCACTCTCTATTCTGTAAATTCTAAATCTGAACTTTTTTATGACTGTGAAAGTTGTTTAATCGCCGATTGTGAGATATCATTTTCCTTCCCCGAAATGGTGTCGAACAACAACATTGTAACTAGTGAATTAAGAGCGAGCCGGAGAAAGAAACCAGTCGCCTTTAGTGAATATATAGCAGATGTGTAAAAAGTATATTATGGATAATTAGTGGCGGTCAGCCAGCTGCGAGTGCAGGCGAGTGGCTTCTGTCTCGGGCCGCGGAGTGCGAGCGCATTCGCTTTGGGTTCGCTTGGCGCCTCCCGTGAGGTCACAGCGAGCAGATCGATGTAGCACTCGTCGTTTGGGATTCTTTATGTTTGTTTCATTCATTAAAACATGTAACGTCTTCGACTCGTCCATCGCATTCGGACGTTAGTGTAATCGTATCTAATAAACGCTTAGAGAAGCAATGGCTACGCCGATTCATATCAATTTTGTCCGTATAGTTTTTAATAGTTCCAATTTTTAAGCCTCTCAGTGTACCGCGATGACGCCACGGCGTCTTCAAGCGAGGTCGGCTCGCAGTCGGTCTCCTCGAAGTTAAGAGAGTTTAGAAAAATTTTTGCAAGTTATCTAAGTAAGCTTAACAAATCAGCTGTGAAATCGGTACCAGAATTCACTTCCGTCCTAATCAGTATGCATCATAGGAATCGAGCCATTTTATGTAACGCGCACTTTCCACGTACCTAGTTAATGTAATTTTCCTTCCCCTGGATTACATTAGCTGCCGGCTGAGGCGCGCCCGGCGTCCCCGGCCGGGTGCCCTCGCCCGTCGCCCGCGCCGAGGAGGATCGCTACCTCAGCTTATACACCCACACCTGTCTGTCCAACTTTCATCATCGACCAAATATAAGCCTTCGTTCAATCTTCTCACGTGCTACAGTCTCACCAAACCCTACGATAGTGTTCGGTCAAGCCGTAGCGCGCTAGTTCGTAGCTACAATCGTAGTTCGTAGCTCCGTAGCTACGTAGTGTACCTCGTGACGGGGCGTTTGTGAGACGTTACTACGTGATATCGCCAGGAAAGCGATTAGGATATCCTCGTGAACTGATATTTTAGAAGACTGACGTATCGATCCTCTGTAGACGTGACGCGATAAACATTTTATCTAATAATTGCGAGCGGGCTGGTACTGCTTCGAAAAATATTGCTCTTGCAGATTACATTATAACGTAACATTTGCAATCTTTCACGTCGTACAACCGATTCGGCTACATGAGAGATCACCGTATTTAGCAATAAGATTATTTATATACCTAAGTGATCGAACGTCCCTTACCGAGTAAGGTAGATATTACGAAGTGTTTTGTTTCGAGATCATCTCTGCCGAGGCAGCGCGGGCTCGCGCCTCCTTGCGCTCGAGTTTCGTGTCGACATTGTCTTTTTCTAGCACAACAAATTCATTAAATTTTGTAATCTAACTTTGGAAGTGGTCAATTTTCTACTACTCTGTAAATATTGAGAGCTTACCGCCGGGTAGATCCCAAAACGCACGTCGCAACACATAATTTATCATGTCTACTATCTATTGATATCAGCGAGTAACGCAGCGATACATAATAAGCTTGAAGCAATAAGGTAACGTGTGGTCGACGAAAAGATTTTCGCTTTTTATTGTATGGAACATGTCACCGAATAGTTGTGTGTCGGTTGTTTTCAATTCATTTCAAATAAAATGTAAAAAACAAAAGTGCAAGACAATCTAAGTGTTGCAAAGTTTAAAGAGTCGGTGTATCTAAACTAAATGAGACGCTTACCGTTTTGCACATATTTTGCAATAATTATGGTTACAGATAATGATTATGTAGATAATTTTGTAATGTAATGTGCGGGGCGTGTGCAAGAGAGATTCCCCGTCGCTTGCGCACTCTCCGCGCCCTGTACGCGTGACGTCACTGTTCCGTTGTTCTTGTGTTCACGTTATTTGCGTTGTCGTAAGCCCCGTGGAACGGTTTGAGCTCACGCACGGACCACTGCAATATGAATTCGATTGTAGACCAACATTCTGCTGACATGGCGCCAGGAACTCCATCGGAGAGCACCTCTGTGGTGTGAAAGTGAAACACCACGACAGTCCAAAGCAAATTATTAAAGTTAGCTCTAAGTCGGTAAGCTAAGAGACAATATTTATGCAGATATATTTTATAATGTGAATCAAATGTTACATAAACTTATTAAAATATTCGAATTATACAAGTATAAATACTAAGGAGTACAAAATTTAAATGTGGATGTAGTTATAAATTAAATTGGTCAGTAGCAGTGAGCTTGAATCGTTTCAATATGTATGACAGAAGGTGGTAAAATTTTAACTTTTGTTGGTCAAACCAAAAGTTGTACCTACTATTAGGCATATTTGCACAAAGAAGTTGTGTTTAATTAAGTTTAGACAATAAGTTATGATATCATTGTATTGTTTATTTAACTATACTTATGACAAAAAAGTGAGTTCAGTTTGCTGAGTGATAGAAATTTAATTGAATATTTATTATATATATTGTTGAAGTTTGTACAAAATAAATTAAGTAAACGATAAAATATAGAACTTGACTGCTTTAAAACTTGATTTTCATTTGATGCATAAAGAATACCCATAGGTTTTCGTGTCACTTACATTCACAATTTTGTAACACCATTTTTATGAAACCTTCAAGTATTCACGTGCATCAATATTTAATAATATTATACTGTAAGGCCGAGGCCGCACTCATCGCGATAACATTCGGGCGACAACCGAGCGAAGTTCTTGCGACTATGCAAAATAGGACCGAAGTATACGCGAATACTCGGCTACACACATCGCGATAGCTCGAATCTTAGTCCAGTCAATGAATGCCTTAACGACGGTGTAGAGAGAAATCCGTGGAACACAATTTCTGACCTCGGGACTTTATTTAGCCTAGTTAGGTGGTGAACATAGCAAAAGTCCCCGCCCTTAGCCCTTGAGCCGGCAGGGAGAGGGGGGTTTAAAGGTACCACTTTTCGGTTTTTCGCTTAATCCTCGGAAACTATGCGTCCTAGTGACATGACTACTATGAACCAAAAAAAGCTTATTCAATTTGCTACAGGCGAGACCGTCAAGTTTTTGTATATCTTGTATAGTTTTTGCGGCATCTGCTCTAGAAGGTCTGTAAAATTGGAAATTTAATTTTTGTCTTACATGTTCCTATCAGGAGAAAATCGACTAAATCAACATTGAGCAAACACTATAGACATGCAGGAGCATGTTAAGCCTAGTTCCAGGGAGGGGACTGCACTGTGCGTATATTTATACGAACCAATTGGAGCCACTTTTGACTCCTCATCATTCAAAAACTACTGTGCATTAACTCTTCAAATTTGGCTCATGTATTGAGACTTGCAAGATATACATCAGCTTTAAATTTCATAAATATACCTCAAACGGTTATTTAGGTATTGACGTTCAAAAATCGACATTTAGAACACTAAAATCTATCTATCACCTGTGAAATGTTAAAATTTACTGGTTTTTTATTTGTTCCTTTATATTTACATAACTACCTTTCTGGATGCCAAATTTGAACCTTCGAGGTCATCTGGAAGTGGTTAGAATTTGGTATATAGGTCAGACATGTAGATTTTTGGACGTCAATACCTAAAGAACCGTTTGAGGCATATTTATGAAATTTGAAGCTGATGTATATCTTGCAAGTCTCAACACATGAGCCAAATTTGAAGTGTTAATGCACAGTAGTTTTTTGAGTGATGAGGAGTCAATAGTGGCTCAAAGTGGTTCGTCTAAATATACGCATGGTGCAGTCCCCTCCCTGGAACTAGGCTTAACATGCTCCCGCATGTCTAGAATGATTGCTCAATGTTGATTTAGTCGATTTTCTCCTGATGGGAACATGTAAGACAAAAATAAAATTTCTAATATTACAGACCTTCTAGAGCAGATGCCGCGAAAACTATACAATTCATCAAAAAAGTTGACTATCTCACCTGTACCAAATTGAATATGCTTTTTTTGGTTCATAGTAGTCATGTCACTAGGACGCATAGTTTCCGAGGATTAAGCGAAAAACCGAAAAGTGGCACCTTTAAACCCCCCTCTCCCCGCCGGCTCAAGGGCTAAGGACGGGGACTTTTGCTATGTTCACCTCCTAACTAGTCTAAATAAAGTCCTGAAGTCAGAAATTGTGTTCTACAGTTTTCCATCTATAATGCTTTATTGACTGGACTATCTTCGGGTTATCGCGATGAGTGCGGCCTCGGTATAACTGGCACTAAACGCGAACTAATTTTTTTAAAGTTTTTTTTTAACTTTAGACGAAACTTCCAAAACCCTACTCGGACCATCCTGACAAGAAAAAAGTATTCAGAATGATAAGCCCCAGATATTGATAAGATAAAGAAATCATTTACCTATCTGCTCTAATCGTTGAGTCGAATCTAAACCCGAATGAAACATCATTGTCTATTTTTATTTAGGTTTTTATTTATGATAAAAAAAACTTTTCCTATACATTTTTATAAATTACATTATTTGAAGAGCTGATGGGATTCTATGTATGCCTTAACTAATCAATAAAATCGCATAGTCTTTATACACTTGTATGATTTAGATATATAAAAATAAATCCAATAAGTTTTTTGAGGCCTGTAAATAATAAAATGATTGTACAATTATTTAATAGTTTCTTAAAAATTACATTGTAAAGTTAAAGTAAAGACTAGGTACTTCTTTAGATGTGTAGAAGTGTGTACATAAGAGGTGGAGGCCACCATACTGCTTTGTTTTGGACTTTTCTTCGTTATAGCCTATCACGTCCATGGCAGCGCGCAGGCATCCCGAAAAATCTACGAGGAGAGAATTTGGTATTCAAAATAAAGCTAGAATCACGCAATTACGCAGTAAGTACCTATTCTATCTAGTTTTATCGAGTTTGTTTCTACTATCTGAAATTGACGAAGGGGGTAAAAATATACGACGGGGCTAACATTAAATTTACGAACGGGTCTTTATGAGAAAAGTTCCTACAAATTAACCCCCGTGTCCACAAAAACAATACTGCATCTAACGCCCTTCTAACTAAAACACTTTGTACGAAACACCACCGAAATCCTATTTACGAAATAGGTCCACGAGAACTACGAATACCCTATTGAAGGATAATACTATCGGCAACAGTGTTAACTGCCCATTGCCGGTCATGTCGTCTCGTTCTATCGCAAAGAATCACCATATGATGAGAGCGAGAGCAAAATGGATAGTTAACACTGTGGCAGATAGTACATAATACAAAAAAATAAAAAATAATACGTATACCGACTAAAACCAAAGCCGAATTAGATGTTCTACTCAACTCTACAAAGATATTATTGTCTGAAACATGCTACATAACGGTAAATATTTCACTTACCAATTTACTAAGCTTTACTAGGTCTCGTAGGAGAAGGCGCCAGCGCATCCCTGCGACAATAATGTTATTGTTACCACAGGTTTTTAATAAAGTTGTCATTTACACTACTTTTCCTATTCAGAGAACAGTCAAATGATATTTAGTTTCTCTTTCAATCCACCCTCAAGTATTTTTAAGTGTTTTTCATTACGAACTTATTAAAAAAATAATTCTTATTAAAATTATGAATCTTGTTTTAAATAATTTAAGGATTGGGACGAGGATAATTTAGGGGGATCTAATCGATATAAATAACACACTTCTTCTCGATGTTACTATTTTTATTTCCGTCTTAGTTTTAAGACATCTGTGTCCTCAGCATAGGCACACATACAAGATGCTCGTCAATACACAAGTATTGTGAAGTACACGTAATCATATAAATATCTATACAGCATCTATATGTACAATGTGTGTGTGCCGCCCGCGCGGCGCCGCCCACTATGTGAGCTCGCAAGCGTCGTACTTTAGAACATTACTGGCAGTGCAACCGACTTATGCACAATCCGTACCATTAATTATTATTATTAGATAATTATTAGAGACAGAGATATGTAGCGCGAGAATTATCATACAATAAGCGGATTTCGGCGATTTGAAAGGCCTTCAAAAGTACGAACTGGCATCGATTGTGGTGTCTAGGCAGGTCGCGTCTAAGTTTCTAGCCACATATCACTATCCTATCATTTAAAACTCAACTCTCGACACTCTAACTCTTAGTTAGTAAATACAACTTTACAATACCAGTCGTTAATTTTTATTGAGAATTTTAAATTACATTTTAATTATAGTTTTAACAACACAAGCGTGTCGAGTCGGCCACTAGATTGTTCAGTGATAATTTAGTTCTACCAACACCGAGAAAGCCTTCGAGGCATTAAATTATAAGTCGATCACAGAATAAAAAACACACTATATCCTGAACTAACAGCTTAATTAATCTTTATATCGTTAAACAGTACTCTAATAACAAAAATAGGATTTTTGGTAAAAATATTTTTCTTGCATCTTCTTAACCGATAAATCGATATTTTATTATGTTGTGCCACTATTTGACTCGTAAGATTCGATTTAAGGAAAAAATATTTAAGTAAGCAGATACAATGAGAACTCAAATACACCACAGTTTTATACAATACAAATGAAATGAGGTCATAGTAATACGAAGATTCAAACAAGCATCATCAAGAGGTTTAAAACGTTTAACTACACTAAGCGATTTACAAGAGGCTACATTAACATTAAAGTATCAAAATCATCAAATATATAAACTAAAACTAAAACGTTACAGTCGAAAAATAATGTCGACTCTATCTAACTAACGCTGTTGTGTAGCGGGAGATCTGAATGAAGGTTGTCGTTCGTGGGAAATCCACTCGGCACGGGATCTAGATTTTTTTGAATCATTCGTAAATTCGCATACGAATTCACGTAAATCGTAGGGAAGTTAATATACGATTAGAGATATTTCGTATGCCAATAAGAACTCCAATTCTTTTTCTTCTACTTCGCTTCTGACATCCCAGATCTTTCTTTTTTTGTCACGTCACACCGGTGCAAAGATGTGATGGAAGCAGATGTAAAACCCCAATTCTCAAAGGCAAGTTTTTGACCGCAACGAACCACTTGTTTCTATGTCCATGAATTGACACCGGCACCTCAACCTACCACAAAATTCCTCAATCAATTTCAAACTTTATTTCAAAGATATAAAGTTTAAATTCATTGAGGAAAATCGACCGTTTGCTGTAGGCTGACATGCTGGCAACTGTACTTTTATAAAATGACCTTCGAAAGCGACTGCACTGTCGCACTACACTGCAGGCTGTGGTTAGTGGTCGGTTTTGAAAGTCGTTTTATAAAAATGCATAGATCTAAAGATGCTGATAGATACGATGCAAACATGAGGTACCGCCGATTTGGTACTCACGCCTCAAAGGATCCCCTTTCGCAGTCGTAATACTAAACAATTCTCAAAATTCGAATTAAACTAAAAAAAATGGGAGATTGAATTTTAATATTTAGGACAGTGATGGCCAAGAGGTCGACCGCGGTCTATCGGTCGATGAAGACGATTTTGGTAGCCCGCGAGAGTTAAATAAACTGACCTTATTTTCTATTCGCGCCAAGAACACTGACTATCTATCTACCTATAAATATAGGTACTCACCTACTCATATGTTTCGGTCGGTCGTACCGTGGTAGTATTGTTGCTGCTAAAATGTTTTATTTCACTCTTCTAAACTCTACCTTGCAATCGACCGCAAGAAATATTTTCGAGCATAAGTAGACCTCACAGGTCAAAAGTTTGGCCACCACTGATTTAGGAATAGTTCATACTTGTCCATTTAAAATACGGGACCTGTGTGCATCATTTTACGGTATAGTGAAACTGGTGAGATTTTTCGTCAATGCGGCAATATGCCGAAACAGTCGTTAAAATTGATTGCTGCCGATGTTTTTCCTTATTTATACCTTATTCACGCAATATTGCTATGGAACAATAAAGAATATGACTACGAAATAAGGCGTATAAGAAGCGAAACGATGTCATTCCCGTGCCGAGTAGAATTCACACGGCAACGCGTGTCTCGTGAGGTTACCCCGGCCGTATCATCACTCGGTATGTGCAGAATTATTTATCGTGTTCACGTTAAAATTTCTTTATAATTAATATTGGTAATAAGATCAGAAGTTAAAGAATCGATTAATTGTACATGCTATAAATTGTAGAAACAGATTATCTTTATAGGTAAAAAATTTCCTTTATTTTCATTATGACCCCGGATGACGACGATATGATCTTAATAAAATTGTATACCTATTTTGTAAATAAAACAAGGGAAAACATATTATTTGAATTATTACGACCATAAGAAAGGCAAATGGTCAAGATGACATAAACATAAACTCAAGTTTTTGACTCTTTTAAAGAAAAGAAATGTCTAACCATATGTTGTCACATCACGAATTAATTGAACCAAATGATTCATTCTTCATTAGCTTTACAAAATAGTGTTAATTTAAATCATTTAGTAAGTTATTTCTTTACAAAACAAAAATATACATTGAGTATTTAAATGTTTGAAACAATATTTTTGAGAAATCATTTTTAACGTTATGAGATCGTACACTATACAATATACCTGCACATATTATTTTGGAAGTACATTTAATATGTTTGCAAATAAATCGTTCATTCACACAGGATGAGAATGCGCGGACAGAACGTGACCGCAACGGGACACAAGTCAATTCCAAATACAGCTCATATAAAGAATATCAACAACGCAAAATCTCAAGGGCTTATGAGAATTCGCAAAACATGCAAAACATCAAGTACGCCATGAAATTTCATACAAAAAGCAATACACCAGTAACTCATTCATTAATTATGCTAATTTACTAATTTTCAGGCCCATTAAAGCCTATAATCTGAATTAGATAAAACAAAACAATATTCCCTAAAAAACACAAACAGATGGTACGACTCGTTATATGGAATTTATTGCGCTTTTGTCAAAGTGTTTTGCAAGTTTCACGATATGCGTATATGGCATTCATCGTACGAGCGAATACTAAAGGACATAATTTGAGTGCATAAGAATAAATCCATTTTAATTGTGTAACATCCCCGACAAGCATGTCTATCGTCATGGTGAAGTTCAACTATAGTCGATACTCGAGTGTTTTCGTCGGAACCTTTCGGAGGGGCCGCGGTCAAACACTGTCATGTCGTCGACGTATACTTGTGAGTGTATGAGTGGTGCGGGTGTGGTGTGGGTGGCGTGGTGCAGGAGGCGATTACTCTGTGTAGTCCCAGCAGTCCTTCTCGTAGCCTTCGTGCACATGCTCCAGTAGCACCTTGCGCCGGCTGTCGCAGTATCTGCAACGACCAACACCCAAAATTATATTAATAATTTCAGATTCGATCTTCGGTATTCTCAGAAGATTTAATTGGGGAGATCCGTAGGAGAACTAAAGTAAGTGATATAGCCCGCAGAATTACCAACTGATGGCCGTTAAGCCTAGAATGCGCGCCCGATAAAATACACGATAACGGATTACACGATCGAAATACACAATCGGAAACGATAAGCGATCTCATTTGATTATTTCTAAACTATACAAGATATCGGAAAACTGATACTGATCCTGAAAGTGTTTCACGAGCTCTTCACGATATCAATCATAGGTTACAGAATAAACTAGATCTATCTGAAAATTCAATGTTTCCATCTTCACTTATCGTTTCCACCCTATATATCGAGGCATTATATCGATTTTGCACGATATATTCGCTGTCTAAAATCGTCGGTAAGATTTTAAAATTGATTTTGAAGACCCGGCTGGTGAAAAGTTCTCGAGTGGCGACCATGAACTGAAAACGCAATGTAGGCGGCCCTTCCACCGGCGGTACATCTAGATGAGGGTAACGCAGGATCGGTCGATGTGGAAATCTATGGGCGGTGCCTTCTTTATCCATCAGTGGACGGCATTACACTGAAACGAAGAAGAATATTTTCAGAAATACCACTGACCTGTACTTGTCCTGCACCTTCTGCTTGATATCGGCCAGGTTCTCGCTAGTGATGTCCCGCTCGAGGTACTCGGAGAGCGTCTCGGTGGCGGACTCGAGGTCGCGCTGGTTGTCCTCGAAGATGACCGACTGGTTGTTCTTGCGCAGGTAGTACGCGAACACGTAAGTGTACATGAGCGTCTGCCGGCACTGGCAGAGGATGTCCACGGCTTTCTTCAGGAATTGCACCTGGGGGTAGTTATTTGAAGAAGTGTAAATTATTTAAAAATACTTGACACAGACGATAGCATTGCCGTTCTTTCTTATAGGCTCGTAGAACTGAGGGCTTAGTGTGAGTTTATATCAAACGTCGTCACTAGCGAGTACGTTAAAAATATGAAAATTTTAGTTCTTGAATGTTTCCGCTAGGGGCGCTGTATAAACCGTCATACATTTAATTAGACTTTTTTATACAGTCGACATCGAATGCGTTTGACGTAAACTCACACTACGCCCACTGATGGCCGTTGCAACTTGCGTTACTAGTTCTCGAGTAGCAACTATGAAGCTTCCCGCGGGAAGCACCTGGATGAGGACAGCGCAGGGTCAGTCTTTTTGGAAATCCGTGGAGGAGGCATTTCTTTAGCAGTAGACGGGATTTAGTTTAAATTACGATTTGAGACATCTTTTTGTACCGCAATAGGCCTGACAACATTTTTACAAAATGTGACTCTGGCTTTAGTATGAAGTATGAATCCTAAAACGATAGAAAAAGAGTTACTTGACACTCCAGTAGAGTACATTATGTTATTAAGAGACTTTAGTTCATTCACTTGGAACAAGAAAGAAAGATCTATTTTACTGCTCTACTAACTTTTTTCTCCATACGTCACTTTTACATACGACAAAAGCCATGTATTCATTAGGCAACATTTGTTGATAAACTGTTTATGACTAGTGTGAAACAAGTTTACCATAAACACAGGTTTCTGAAACTTGGACGTCCACACTTGCTCTCCACTCATAGCGGGAAGCACGGCAACATGTATCATAAACAATGTTTCATCACCTATGTTTATGGACTGTTTATAAACTGTTTACAGAGATGATGAAACATTGTTTATGAACAGTTTATAAACAGTGATTATCAACTAATATTGCCTAATGAATACATGGCTTAATCCATATTCTTTGCCGTACGCATTATAATAAACCAGGCTTCAAAAATCCTATCTACCTCAATCCAGCTCATGTTGTGTTGCTGCATCTCCTCCATCTTCTCCTTAACCGACGCGTAGAGCTTGGACTCGAAGCGCAGCGACTGCATGTGGTTCATGTACCGGTTGCAGTAGAACAGGTAGCGCTGCAGCGCTGCACGCGAGCGCTCCTGCGCGTCGCGGGCCGCTTTCGCTTCGTCCTCGTCGTATCTATATCATCGGTAAGAGAGATGTGTTACAACTAATACCGAATAAAGTAGTATATTAAGCCTCAGTAGTCTAGTGGTAAGTGGTAAAACCATAGATCACAGAAACTAAAGGGAGATGTGAAAAGGGGGCGGGACTAGTGTCGCAGCAATATCCCCAAAAACAGAAAACATTGCTTGTGACAGCAATAATGACAGCAGCGACGTTATATGTGTAAACAGTTACTTGCGTAGTACTAAAGATTATTCGAACGTTGAGTACTGACACCGTAGTTATCCACTGCGGTGTCATAAGCACATTCAAAATAACAGAATACATTCAATCGCACGTCACTGCGTATGTAGTGCTGTATGCAACATTACTTGCAACCTAGTATGTGAAGGAATAGTCGCACTCAATTCAATGTGTGCATGACACACATTCTTCGCGACGTATTGTTTTTATTTACTTTGTGTGTGTAGGGATATTCCGATACTAATAAATACGAGTAGGTACTCGATACTTTTGATTCGATACCAAGTATTTATTGTATCGAATCAATTTTGCGATACATAATCGGTATCGAAACAAAAATACTTGGTATCGAATCGAATCAGCAAAACAACCGAAAACAATAAAAAAAACCGAGAACGCATCATACAGAACTGAAAGAGTAAAAACAGTCAGCTAATCAGCTTTAATCGGTTACCGAGTTACTAGAGCCCGAGCCGAAAGCGAGAGAAGGAGACACCCGCACCCGCCCGCAAATCATCTCGCCATTCCGCCATTGTGAAAGTGTTAAGTCACTATTTACAAGTAATTTTATTAATTGTAATCATCAAATTCATCGGTTTATTCCAATGTTATCATGGCATAAACCGATAAATAAATAGTTGTTTTCTTCTCAATTTTGTTTAAATTATTGTCCTTCAACGTTCATTGATAGCACCCTCAAAATAATAAAACAAAATAAAAGTTCCAAAAAGTATCGATATCAGTAGGTATCGATACTTTAGGAGTACTTATTTAAGTAGTATCGAAAAAAGATTTGAGTATTATCGAAATGAGTAGGTATCGATACTTAGGTGGTATCGGAACATCCCTATGTGTGTGTGAATTTCTGGAATTTCCACGGGCTGGAAGACGTAGCGAGGGCAGGCCTCCTACTAGGTGGACCGACGATCTGGTAAAGGTCGCGGGAAGAGCCTGGATGCGGGCAGCGCAGGACCGTGCATTGTGGAAAACCTTGGAGGAGGCCTTTGTCCAGCAGTGGACGTCATTTGGCTGAAACGACGACGCAATGTGTGAATTTCTAATGCGACACTGGGTTTCGAACTCAGCGCATTAGTTGGCATCTCTCTAGATCTCTATGGGTAAGACTAAAAGTAACTGTCACCAAGAGGTCCATTGTGTAGAGGGGGTGGGGGGCAAATACCTGTTGCAGTTATACCAGCTGCTGCCGTGCGGCTCCCAGGGCCCGAGGCAGACCCAGCAGAAGTCGGCCTTGCAGTTCTGATTCTTGCACACCATGTGGTTGCAGCCGCCGTCCTTCTCTATGGTCACGTTGCATTTCGGGCACTCCTTAGTGTTCGCCGCTATCCAGTTGGACGTCTCTGAGTCGTCGTCGCATTTCTGTAAAAAATATTGATTTGTAATTTTAAACAATTGATGTAAATACGTCACATCAAACTACACATTTTTGTAGCAATATCGAATCTGTTGCAACAGCATAAGATTTAAAGTGATAGTCTGTACATGAAGCAATCTAGGAGATAAAATAGAATTAATAGTTTTTGTCTAAAAAACAACTTTTATAAATAAGAATGGTAAGATAGGTTTTTATTGGCGGTCAAGTTGTATCTTGGCTTTACAGGAGTTGCAGCAGTGGGAACGAGAGGTGGGAATAGTCCCGTTGCGTTCACCAAAAGTCCAGGGGCGACCGGTTTCGAACCAACAGTCGCCTGAGCTATTATCGCCTCTATTGAATATAGTAATAAGACACCTTGATCCACTTCTTGAGCAGGCAGCAGCGCACGGGGTCGTACCAGTTCTCGCCGCACGCGAAGCAGAAGGTATTACGAGTGGGTTCACTAAAAGTCCAGGGGCGACCGGTTTCAAACCAACAGTTCCCACCAACCACATTCCCACAGAAAAAGATCCGAATAAATTCTGTTAAATGTAAATTTGATGACTGGGCTACAACTGGCATTCACAAGAGTAGAAATAAAATGTATGAATTATATAGTCTTAAAGCCGATACGCAAGATCTGAGTGTTATAGAATATGTTAAAAATTACTCAAAAATATTTAAAAAGGTTTGTTTGGCTGCTAAATCAAATCATCTTCGAAACATGATTTTAAATTCTAATAATAAAGCTAAGGCTACGTGGAACATAATAAATAAACAAACATGTAAAAATAAATCGAAGGATAACACTTTTTCACTGAAAATCGGAAACGAAATTATAAATTCCGATACAGAAGTTGCAACCACATTTGAGACATTCTTCTCCAATATTGCGTCTGAAACAACTAAAGAACTGAATTCATCACCAGTTCTTGCAGAGTCTCTTTTAAAATCTAATGTCACCGAGTGCCAGTGTCTGCTCCAGTTCAGGCATATAGATTGTAATACAATAATTAAAACCTTTAGAGAATTAAATATGAAAAAAACTGTTGGGTCTAATTCTCGTCACTACACTGCACAACTTAAAATAATTACGTTTTTTGTCGGTAAAAACGTCCTGGTGACGTCACTTAAGCATTTTTCTTATACTGCGTGCGGTCGTTGCGCGTGCGCACAAAGGAATGAGACCGCTCGGACACCGAGCCCACAGCGTGGTAGGGGTGGGGTTGCCCGCTCTTTTGTTTTTTACTACTACTACGCTGAATATTGTGTGCGGATTGGGTTGTCGTACAGGGGTACTACATGGTAAAATAAATCTCGGAGGCGAAAGCAGGATAATATAAAGTCGATGATTATTTAAAAGATAAAAATGTTTGGGATACGTTACTGCCTAGCTCGCATAAATATTTATAAGTTTGTACATTTTAAAGCATGTAAACCTTTGAAAAAGAGGCTGACAATAGTGACTGAGTTTCTTGCGCTGCTTCTTCTCAGCACTGGCCCATTTATTGTCCTGAAGCAGTGGTAGGGTTAATACTGGGACGTGTAAAAGTGCTTTTTTTAAGCCTATTTACAGAAATAAATGAGTTTTAATGAGTTTTTTTAGTCGCCTGAGCTATTATCGCCTCTATTGAATATAGTAATAAGACACACCTTGATCCACTTCTTGCGCAGGCAGCAGCNGTTTTTTTAGTCGCCTGAGCTATTATCGCCTCTATTGAATATAGTAATAAGACACACCTTGATCCACTTCTTGCGCAGGCAGCAGCGCACGGGGTCGTGCCAGTTCTCACCGAACGCGACGCAGAAGGTATTACGAGTGAGTTCACTAAAAGTCCAGGGACGACCGGTTTCGAACCAGCAATCCTCTGATCTCAAGTCTTTCAGTCCAACACCGACAACCGTTGAGCTATTTTCGCCTCTATTTATTACTAGCGGCCGCCTGCGACTGCGTACGCGTGGATCCCGTTTTACCCCCTTAGCGGTTGAATTTTGCAAAATCCCGTCTTAGTGAGCACCTACGTTCTAAAATGGAGGTTCCATAAAAGACTATAAAATGCTAATCCAACATGCTACAAAGGCAAATATCCTTGGTCTGAGTAGTGTAGTGTCGAAGTAAAGTCATGTCGATATTCAGTAGTGTCGGAGTAACGTAATATCGAAGTAACGTTTGTCGGAGTAGCATTTTATAGCCTCCATGAAAAATTTGAGACTCCTAGCACTTGTAGTTTCCTTTGACCTTTCGCTTTTATAAATATAGATAATAATACGACGTACCTTGATCCATTTCCTGAGCAGGCAGCAGCGCACGGGGTCGTGCCAGTTCTCGCCGCACGCGAAGCAGAAGGTATTACGAGTGGGCTCACTAAAAGCCCAGGGGCGGTTTCGAACCAACAGTCGCCTGAGCTATTATCGCCTCTATTGAATATAGTAATAAGACACACCTTGATCCACTTCCTGAGCAGGCAGCAGCGCACGGGGTCGTGCCAGTTCTCGCCGCACGCGAAGCAGAAGGTATTTATTAGTACGAAGGTAGTAGGAGTGGGTTCTAAAAGTCCAGCGGCGAGAGCGTGGATCCCGTTATACCCTCGTAGAGGTTGAATTTTGCAAAATTGCGTCTTAATGAGCACCTACGTTCAAAAAGGAACCCCCATGCAAAATTTGAGACTCCTAGCACTAGTAGTTTCTGAGATTTCGTGATGAGTGAGTCAGTCAATTCGAGCTTTATACAGGATGTTAGGTAAATGGGTATATGAGCCGACACTAGCCCATGTTAACATGGTCATATAAATGGTATGGTGAAGTCAGAAAATTGATATCTTCATTTTAATTATTTTAATTTTCATACAATTCGGATTTTATAAAATTTATTTTGTACGAAAATTAAAAAAAATAAAATGATGATATCAAATTTCTGACTTCACCATACCATTTATATGACCATGTTAACATGGGCTAGTGTCGGCTCATATACCCATATACCTAACACCCTGTATAATATAGCACACACCTTGATCCACTTCCTGAGCAGGCAGCAGCGCACGGGGTCGTGCCAGTTCTCGCCGCACGCGAAGCAGAAGGTGTGGCCGCAGCGGCAGGTGACCGGCGCCGCCTCCACGTACGCGACCTTGATCGCGTTACTGCAGTCCGGCGAGGGACACCACCGCAGCAGTCGGTTGCACTGTCGAACGATACATACGCCCGTATTAACAAACGATGCTTGCTTAAGTGAATCAGCAAATTGAACGCACAGCGTTGAATGGAGCTCTGTGATTGATTCGTGTGATACCCTGTGCGACCACGCGCACTGGGAGACCTCATAGTAATGTTTGCGAATACGGGCGACCATCAATCGATAAAATAAGTCAATATGGCCGCCTGGCAAATGGTGCGCGTACCGGACTACTCTGCCAATGAAGAGAATTTTAGAATTTTTAAACACAGTCTGGCACCCATAACACATATAAGCCATTATTAATTTATGAAATGGTATTTTAAAATAGTTGTCTTGATATTGGCCCCATTCATAGAATATACGTGAATGACCTGCAAACCCCAGGATGAATAAAATATACGATTTGTTTGTTAACAGGCGACAGTGGCCTCTTGCTTGGGTGACCGACCCCTTGCTTTCTCGTCAGCTTAGCTTGGTAGCTTGCCTTCTTGAATAGTGTAAATACTAATTTTTGGAAATAGTTTTAATTTGGATTCCCACAACTGAAGTAGGTACTTTTTATTAGTTGTCGTGATGAAACGCAATTTCCAATGGCTTTACCATTTGAAGCATAGCAAGGATATGTATGACTTTTTCAACCGACTTCAAAAAAGGAGGTGTTTAGGATTTCAAATAAGAGTCCTTTTTTACATAAGGATTAGTTTAATCTTCATATGTGCTGCGTTTACAATGGTAAAATGTAGAAAATATACGAGCTACGCGCTCGAGGATTCGATCCCAAAGGTAAAGATGGCCGGACGACGCGCTAGTGATGTTCTTTACTTCCTGTTTGGAGGCATTGGCGATAGTGACGTCCGGCGTGGGGTGAAAAAGGTTGTAAGCGCACTGCGCGAACAGGAGGAGGTTCTCAATTCGACCCGTATGTTTTTTTTTTTTCTATGTTTGTTACGCGATAACTCCGCCAATTATGAACCGATTTGAACAAATCTTTTTTCGGCGTATAGGTAATACCTCAAGGGTGGTCCCATTTAAATTTAATAATAGAAAAAACAACCCCCCAGGGTGGAAAATTGGGGATGAACTTTTTTATACGCAATATCTCCGCCGATTATAAATCAATTTGAACGATTATTCTTATATCTTATTCTTATTCTTAAAATTGGGGATGAACTTTTTTATACGCAATATTTTTAATTTTTAGTTTTTTTTGTGTTCACGCATTTGAAGTCGGTTTTATTTTTTTAAAAAGGTAATTTACAATAAACTATTGCAAAAATCTTATTTTTACTATTTGAGCTTTTGGGCTTATTGTGTTCTAGAGAAGTCGTGTCCCAGAATTGGTAATTGGTTAATGATATCAACTAACTACCCCATGGTAAGTAAATAGACATAGTATTCACCTCTACGAAGCTATTGGTGATGATGTGCTGGTACTTGAGCTTGACGCGCGGCTCGCGCACCAGGCGCATGACCGTCGCGTCGTCCACCAGGATGTCGCACGCGTGCGCCGCGCACGCTATCGTTTGACCCTGCGACACGAGTGTATAAATAACTAGCTGACTCAGCGAACAGCCTATATTCATTAGAAATAATGTAGGATTCTAATTTTTCAAATCGGTCCAGTAGTGGTAGTCGTGCGCCCGCTCAGGTCATACTTTTTTTTTAATCCACAACGAGGAAGCTCTTGGTCTGTATCTCACCTGATAGTAAGTGATGATCAGGCTGAAGGTGGAAGCGAGCTTCACCCGAAATCCTCAACCACAGAGGAACTGGCTCTTATCTTACCTCTAACATTGTTGTATGGCGACAGACTTAAGAAAGAAGGTGATAGCTAGCCAGGCGGACTTAGAACAAGCCCTACCACCAACCACACCAAACAGAAAAATCTGCCCCCACTGGGAATCGAACCCGGGACCTCTGCGTCTGAAGCAGGTGGTCTTACCACTAGACCACAGAGGCGGTTGCGTAGCGTAGGCCATACTAATAGTATAAACACGAAAGTAAACCTCTCCACTCTCTCTCTCTGTTAACATTTCTAAACCAGTGAACCAATAAATTAATTTTAGTACAGAGATGGATTGGACTTTGGAGCAGGACATAGGCTACTTTTTGTCACTAAAATAAAACTTGAACCAGTTAAAAAACAGGATGAATTTTTATGTTTGTAAAGATGTGTGATGAACAGAGGATACGCGCGCGCTTTTAAGACTTGTTACGCTCTCCATTGACTTCCTTTTATGTCATAGTTATTTCGACCGTTTGTAGTTTTTCACATTGTTACTAATTTGAATAAATAATAAAGTTTCAGAATAAAGTTTAAAAGCAAAATACTTACTAAGCCTTCTTCCATTATTTTAGTTGTTAAATATTCACACCAGCATTGTGTGCAAAACCTATGACCACATTCTAGACCTGTCATCATCTGGAAAAAACAACACATTGATTTTAATGTATAATTGTGTACGTAACAATTGGTTTTTATTTGTTCGGGATAACAAACAGTTACTAATCACATGTAAAACTAGTCCATCCATGAACCAAAAATTAATGTCATTCATTAACTATAATGTATTTTACTGATGTATTATTGTCAAATACAAGATATTTATATAAAAAATATAATGAATGTCACCTACCGAAGTTGGTAAGACTGAAAAGCATATTTCACATTCCTCCGTTCCTGATGTTGATATCCGTCTGGGTAACTGTAACAATAATAACTAAAACAAAGTTAGAAATTAATGATTAATAACTTTTGATAAACATTGACTGTTATCATTAACAATGTGGGTAAAGAGATAAAACTCAAAATATACTTACGAGCAAAAGTATGGAATTTTGTGTTTTGTTCCCAACGATCTGAAGAACTCAATGACTATCTATGGTATGAAGTTAAAGTTAGAAATGTAACCTTTAAACCAGTGCCATTTTTAATATAATCTTCATAGTTGTTTAGCTACAAAGATTCAAAACGAATGGGGTGATTGCATACTTTTGCTCGCGAGTGTAGTAAACCACACCAAAATGAGCAAATTCAGGAAATACAATAGGGTCAAATAGCTTTTATTATAAGAATAAACTGCTAATAATAATAATTTGCTCTACCCAATTTCACATAAATAATGAACAATCAAGAATAAAATGAGCAACAAATGAGATTATGCAACATTAAATCTGTGTCACTGAAAATAGTTTAGTAGGTCAACATTCTTTACAAAATGGCAAAAATGTTTCTGCATACTACAGCATTGTAAGAGTGTTTCAAAATGCAATTTTTAAAGTACACACCTTTGGCCTTTGTATGACTGGTTTTCTAAATGGATTTATGACTCTAGCTTCGGAGAACAACTGATCCTGGTCCCCATCGTAGAATCGTTCCATGAGCTTCTCTTTGTCCCATTTGAAATGGTTTAACAATATGCGAGTAGTTGTTGTAGGTATCTGAAAAACAAAAGAAATGATGTATGAAAACCTGTTAGATGTATTTTAACTTCTATAATAGTCAGTCTCAGTTTCAATTGATTCTTTGATTTAATAATACCAATCTTTTTCTAAGATTAGAGATTAGTGTTTAGTTAATAGGTTAAGGCTGAGTTGCACTATCTTACTTTAACCGTAACTGTAACAATAAACAGTGCTTTTTGTATGTAGTTTGACAGATTTTTGACATTTGTTAAAGTTAAAGTAAGGTGGTGCAACTCAGCCCTAGTTTATTAGGCATTAGTAGAAAGAATTATAATAACAATCATTGGTATAGATAGTTCTAATTTTTTTAAATGGATTTTCTCCAATTCAATTCAACTAATTGATATTTGCTATTAATCTTTCACCGCAATTTTGCCTCCGATACCTATTGCATCTAACCTCTTTGTTATGAATATTATCTGAAGATAAGATAATTATTTCAGCTTTTTTTGTTTATATTTAAGTAGTGCTCAACATTCAATACTTTTTTAGTTTAAATCTTAGACTAACCTAGACTTTAGAATATTGTTATTATTCTATTGTCCGTGATTAGGACACTCAATTAAACATTTCACATAAAATGCTTTGTTCTAAGAAACAAAAGGAATTTCATTTTTGCGTGGTGAATTACCTTGAAGAAACAATTAGCTGCTATCATAATCTCTTTGTTTACATTTTTTTACAATGTAGTAATCTATATTGAACAATCAGGTACCTAAATAATATAAAAGAATATTGCAACATTCTAAGGTAGAGTGAGTCAACACAAAACTCTTGTATCCTTTACAGTGACATCATGAAGACAGAATGTTTACTATCTAACTCAAGTAAATCAGGTTTATAGGCCACAAGCCACCACAGCACAATTTATTACGAGCGAAACGTTTTTATTATTGTCAGTATCATAGATACTCTGCGTCCAATTAAAAAAGCTAGTGCAACACAAAAGAACGTTGAAGTATTCCGATGTACGAGTAACCTCATTCAAGTGTTCATTGTTTACTACTAACATACTGACCTCGACAACAGTATTCACTTCTTTGATACAGTCAACCATGTGCTGAACGATTTCCTCCGTAGATAACACCTCGTATGGATATTCCTCAAGCTCCGTTTGTCGTTCCCTTGTACTGTGAGTCTCAACGTCCATTGCAAAGTCGACATCGTCTCCACTGGACTCATTCCCAGAATCCACATCATCCTTTGTATCATCTTCGGAGTCCATAGTCGAGACTTTGGCGAAATATGAATATTTGGTAATTAGTGTACAGCCAGAGTACGTCTAATGATGAAATAATTACACCTAAGATTTAGGAAAGGTCAACAATGAAGAAAATAGTTCACCCACGGGCTGCCAAAACCTCTGACGTATGGGATGGCAGTGTCTATGACGTCATTTTTTTTCTGTCTGATAATTTATTTGTCTATGCTACAATCAACGATGTTGCCAATTTAGAAAAATGTACAAGGACAAAAGTTTGTGAAATTACATAGCCGTAGCATTATAAATTAAGCGGGAAATTAAAATATTGTAGGATTTACTCAGAAGTTAGAATCAACATTGTAATCAAATAGTTTTTCAATTTATGAACAATAAGTATATTGATACTCATTCTTCTATTATTATAAAACCAGTTCCAGTAGAAGTAGTGTAGCAGTAAGCAGGCTAAACAACAACTTGAACTTTATTTATCGCGCGCGTCCCTGTTTCTAAAACCGTAATAAAAACTATCCTATGTCCTTTCCCGGGACTCAAACTATCTCTATGCCAAATTTCATCAAAATCGGTTCAGTGGTTTATGTGTGAAAGCAACAAGACAGACAAAGTTACTTTCGCATTTATAATATTAAGTATAGAATAAGTTTAAAATTACAATTACAGAAATAAATACCACTCTACAGAAACCAAATTTATATTCTTAACTTAAATAACGATGGAATATTGATTGCTTAGTTTAACAAATATTATTAACTATGTAATTTACCTTATATCAGTCTAATAAGTCTAATTATTACATTTTAAAACTTGAAATTATTTATAATAACAAAAATAATCTCAATAACATATAATGTGTATACTAAAGTATGTTATCCAACTCATTCTGAATTGATTCAAATTGAAGAAACACAGAGTAGAGTTCTGGATGAGTTAGTTCTAGTTCAAGATCTTTTTTCTCGCCAGTTAAAGATAAGTAGGCTTTTGGGACTTTGCATTTCTTGTGGTAGTCCGAGCTCAATTCAGCATTCAGTTTCCAGTTGAAATGTATTGCATCGTCAGATTCTTCCATCTCCTTGGTGCCCAATTCATCTAATGTAGTCCTTGTTTCTGTAGACCACACTTTCACAAAGATATCCGATTTGTCATTATTTAGGCCCAATGTTTTCAAATCTGTTTTTAAATCTGAAGGCATGAATATGAACTTCAACATTCGTTTGAATAAATATATCACTGTTTTTATGGCTAATTCCAAACTGTTATCATCAATTTTGAATATTTTCTCAAGCTTCTGCCTCTCATCTTGGGTGAAAATTTGTGCATCTTGAACTTTAAGTTTCGCCACAATCCGTCGTAGAAATTGCTCAAATTTGGATTCATCTAGTTCATTGATGACTTGAATGCCTTTATTTAAACTAAAACAAAAGGTTTAAAACGTTATTTTGTATTTTTTCTTGTAGCTAAAACTAAAAACATCAAACAGTAATGTAAATAGTAGATTACCTAGCAGATTGTTTTACCCATTGGCAATCCATTCCACTGAAGTAAATTAATAGATAAGAAAAGGCCTATTATTCTGGAAATAAAATACTTTTGAACTTTTACAAAACAAAAAGGATGACCAATCAGCTGTTTTTGACAATTGACATCAAGTTGACACAACACAAACATGTTGGTCGTTTCTAGGATATAATATAGTCTAGATAGAGCATAGGAACATGAAACGTGTATAGTTCGAGCCATGAAGCTATACAGAGCCCCGATTACGGTAACTTTTAACGTCAACAATCCAGACACGCTTCTCGATTCTGCAATACGATTGGTCAAAACAGCTGACGTACGCTGTTGAACGACCAATCGTATCGCAGAATCGAGAAGCGTGTCTGGATTGTTGACGTTAAAAATTACCGTAATCGGGGCTCAGTGTGAGTCACGTTAAAGTGGGGTTGCCATAAGTGTGGGGACTCAGACGGGGACATTTAAAGAAAAACTATTAAAGGTAGAAAAAAGGAGCTTTTATTACAACAATAGGTATTAATCAACATTAACCAAAGTATTAAGTATCTGTCAACATTTTTTAATTAGCACACGTTCCCCCTTAGTCTTACTAATATAATGGTTGTATAGCGGTGGTATAGCTATACAATCTTTTGACCTTATCTGTCATTGTGCCATTTGAATTTGACAGATAATGACAAAACATTGTATAGCTAGCCCACAGATATGGATTAGAGTAGATACAGCAAGTTGCTCGTCAAAGCGTGCCAATCCGATATGTCCAAATGGACATACATGGTCGAGTGATGTTCATCTAATCCGATTACAACAATCGGTTACGATGATTTTACGAGGACAGTAGTACGAACACGGTAGAAAGAAGAAATTATTTACGGATTGAGAATTATAATTAACAGCACAAGTAACAAATAGATCAATAAGTTAGGTCAGTGATCGCAGTACACGTCTATGTATACGACGGTACTGGATTTTGTCGTTAAGAATATCTTCAAAACTAGGCACCTGACTCATAGGTATGACTCATGACTAGGTAATGAAAGAAAACGTATTGGCAAAACTACGCATTCTTACATTTATTAAAAATAAAAAGCTTGAGTTAGTCTTTATTTTATGAAATTAGGTCAGGTACTAGGATATTTAAAAGTTTGAAATTATGTAGGTATGAATTACTAGTAGTATTATTTAACACACACAATGGAATAACGATCATTACTTTGATAAACATTCAATAAAAATATTATAATTGCAAATTAATAAGAAAATAAATAATATAGAATGACGTTTACCGCTACAAAATTATTTTAATCCACATTCAGACTAGCTACAAATTTAACAAAATATCAGTTTTATCGGAATTAATTAATTATCGAATCGAGTCACACGATATAATTCGATGACTTTGCGTTTGCAGTACGATGATACGATTATTTTTACGTTGCGGCAATCACTAAAATTCGCTAAAATGACACTAATGACGTTTAAAAAGTGGCACGCTCGGCTTCATACAATTTTTGACACATGCTGCATCTATCTTTATCTGTGAGCTAGCCTATACCGCCACTATACAACCATTATTAGTAAGGGGGTATGTAATTAACAAACATAAAATTATCACAATGTTATTTTTTTAATAAACACAAAATATAATCAACAACAAAATAAATATAACATTCTCAACTATGCATGGCATTGTTATTTTTTAAATTAACACAAAATAGAATCATCAAGACTAAGTGACAGCGCTTACGTCGTTCTATCAACGTACGATTAGCCTCATTAGCCTAGCTAGTTAGTCGCGTTTATTTCTACGTAGGTAGGTATATTACTGTTTACCAAGTCCAGCCCTCTAATAAATAACTATTATTTTTAAACGGGGACAATTTGCTTATCGGCCGGGACGCCAGGACACCATGCTTCAAACGGGGACATGTCCCGGCGTACGGGGACGTATGGCAACCCTACGTTAAAGTGTACATATGAAAATAGATGAAACTAGACCTATTTTTATCGACAAAAAAGAGGTCAAAAATTTTTTGAGATTTTTTTAAATATTTTATAGAATTTTTTTCTTCCAACTACTTATTGTAAAGAAAACGTAATAACTTTTAAACTAAGCTGTATATCCTGATAAAATAAAAACAATATTAATGCTAAATAACAGGAAATACTAAAAAAATACATAAAATACACAAAAAAGGCCAACAAATAATAAAAAATTATACTTTTTGTGTTTTTTTTGTTATTTGATAAATTTCTCCAAAAAATTCCCCTATAACTGGGGTTTTTATTACTTTGTATTATTCTCTATCATATTACCTTCGTAAAACCAAAAAACGCATGTCTCTATCCCTATTACAACGTTTGCAATGACGGATTGGGCCGATGTTGCCACATGGTACCGATTTCCCGAATTGGGATTGTAATTCCCTGATTTGCCAAGACATTAAGCCTAAACGGCCGACAATTTTGTGATTTTTAATTTAACTAGGTAATCGTAGTTCAAATATATTTAATTATTTATTTGTTTAACTTCTGATTTGGTTAGTGAATTGGCTATTTCGAAGAATTTACTAGGAGATTTCAATAAGGCAATACTACAGTCCACACTAAAAAAAGAGATCGGCCCACAGAGAGCGAGATAGAGATAAGTAGGTATTTGACTCAAGTTGTTGTTCCAAGTTTGGCCTCCATTTTTATCTTTAGCTTCATGGTTTGAGCCACGAGAGTAGAGCTGTTGCCGGGGCGACTGCTCTTCCAACTGAGCTACCTACTTAGACACTGGATTATAGCTCAGTTGGAAAAGCAGTCACCCGGCAAGCGGAAGGTCGTGAGTTCAATACCCGCCTTAGGCAGTTCGATTTTTCCAAGTTATTTATGATTTTCAAATTAGTTTGAGATGCGAAAAATTTAAAATTAAATAAATCTAAGATCTTTGGCAGTCAGCGCTAGTCATCATGATGACAGTTTGACATTGACAGATAAATTGTCCTGTCAAAAGTGTCATGTGTGATGGCGTGGAGAGTTGCGGATTACGAGTAAAATTTTAAATATTTCATCATGTCGGTGAAAGTTGAAAGGGTCCCGGAAAGTATTGACTTTCCAAAAGAAGAAGAGAAAATATTAAAATTTTGGAAAGAAATCGATGCTTTCCAAAGTTGTTTGAAGCAATCCAAAAATAAACCCCGGTAAGGTTATGTTAACTTACTAAAATTACACATTGCAGTCAATTTAATAAAGGATATACTTACTAAAACGTAATTTTGCTTTAATTATGTGTATTCTGTTATGCTTGTGATTTCCCGAATCTCAAAAATCACGTCTATAGTGGTGTACATCATCTACTAACAGATGGTCTTCCAAATTAGGTTTACATGCAGCTGATAAGCTGCGGTTAAAATCTAATAGTTGTTAAGTAATATAATATGCCTTATCTGACGATACTGAATGTGTTGGTACCAAACTTTGAACTCGTTCTAGAAAGTAAACTGTTGGTCCTAGAAAAAAGTTATCTATTTTATCTGTGCCTGTATAGAGACCCGTTTTCTATATTCCAACCAAGCTTTTATTCACATAACTACACTGGTCATCACAAAAATCGGCCCACCTACGTTTTACAGGAAAACTCGTTTCTACTGACACAATCATGGTACCCCAACAATATTGGTGTTATTTGAAAGCCCAATAAATATCCTTAAAGAAAAATACATTTAATTTCCTAATAAACGATTAACATATACAATAAATGTGACTTGAAAAACTTGAAAAAAGACCTCACTTTGGGCTCACCTCTGGGATCAATTAGACCAATTTTAATGGTTATAAAACCAAATAATGATCTCACGTGTCCTCTTTAACAGATGGATAGCGATTAATTCCAACTTAACAGTTTTATAGCCATAAAAGTTGGCTCAAGCGTAACTACCTATTTTTTGAAGAAGTGACTCTGGATTCTTCTACAGACACATTTTTGGGGTAAAAACCTTTCCCTTAATGAAATGAAGTTTAGAAGTAGGCTTTTAAATGGTAATATAGTATAGTAATATTGGTGGGAAGTGGGGGATGCATACGTTTGAAAGTGCTTGTCGCGGGTGGGTCGATTTTTATGAAGACCAGTGTATTTGCTATATTAAAGTCTCACCATGTATGATTGCACCTCAAGCATTTTATAAATATTTGTTGTTCTGCCTCAGGTATTCCTTTTACGATGGACCACCATTTGCAACAGGTCTGCCTCACTATGGCCACATTCTTGCTGGAACAATCAAAGATGTTGTTACCAGATATGCTCACCAACAGGTATGTAGACTTATCTAAATTAAGACAATTTACATTTAAATAAATCAAGTTAGTAGAAGACTGATTTTAGAAATAAGTCCCAAAGTAATATATAGCAATGAGCCAATGAATGTGCAAATAAAAATGATAAAAAACAATTTATTGATGTCCACAATTTACATTTTAGGGCTATCACGTAGAAAGGCGTTTTGGTTGGGATTGCCATGGCTTGCCTGTGGAATTTGAGATTGACAAAACTTTAGGCATAAAAGGTCCTGAAGATGTGGAAAAAATGGGCATTGATAAGTACAATGCTGAATGCCGTAAAATTGTGATGAAATATGCTGATGAATGGGAAACTATCATTACAAGAATGGGGCGCTGGATTGGTAAGAGAATTCAATAGTTTCATTTTACATAATAAACACTTCTACATAAAGTCACTACAAAGATCTAATAATGGTCTATGACAGTTCTTAAAGCTTAACATTTGTTTTCTCTTTTCAGATTTCAAAAATGACTACAAAACACTGTATCCTTGGTTCATGGAATCAATTTGGTGGGTATTCAAAGAACTTTTCAATAAGGGTTTGGTGTATCAAGGAGTAAAGGTCATGCCTTACTCTACAGCCTGCTCAACTCCTCTGTCCAACTTTGAGTCAGGACAGAATTACAAAGATGTTGTTGACCCAGCTGTCGTGGTCTCATTCCCAACTGCGGAAGGGTTTTCTTTGCTAGCTTGGACAACAACCCCATGGACACTCCCAAGCAACTTAGCTCTTTGTGTCAACCCCAAACTATTATACTTGAAGGTCAAGGAAAAATCAACTGGCACATGTTATGTTCTTCAAGAGTCCAGATTCCCGGTGATTTTCAAGAATGTCGACGATTTTGAAGTCCTTGACAAATTCCTGGGTGAAAAGTTAAAAGGTACAAAATACACACCCATTTTTGACTACTTTGTTAAACAATGTCCCAATGCTTACCGCGTTTTAGTAGATTCGTATGTCACTGATGATTCTGGTACTGGAGTGGTACACCAAGCACCATACTTTGGTGAAGATGATTTCAGAGTTTGTTTAGCTGCAGGAATTGTCACTAGAGATCAGGATATCATTTGCCCAGTTGATGCAAGTGGGAAATTTACTGCACCTGTGAATGACTTTTTGGGCCAGTATGTAAAAGATGCCGATAAAAATATTATAGCTAATATCAAAGCGCGCAACCGACTGGTACAACTTGGTCAGGTAAAGCACAGCTACCCATACTGTTGGCGATCGGAGACTCCTCTTATTTACAAGGCAGTGCCATCTTGGTTTGTAAGAGTTGAACAAATGAGTCAAGATCTTTTAAAGTCTAGTGAAGCTACTTATTGGGTACCCGAATACGTAAAAGAAAAGCGATTCGGCAATTGGCTAAAGGATGCCCGAGACTGGGCTATAAGCCGCAACCGATTTTGGGGAACTCCCATTCCCTTATGGATTTCTAGTGATAAACAGGAAGTAGTTTGTGTAGGCAGCATTGCTGAGTTAGCAGCCTTAACAGGAAAAGAGATAACTGACTTGCACAGGGAAAGCATTGACCATTTGGAAATTCCATCATCACGTCCTGGACAGCCGCCATTGAAGAGGGTAAGTGAAGTGTTTGATTGCTGGTTCGAATCTGGCTCCATGCCATATGCCCAGTGCCACTACCCATTTGAAAATAAAAAAGAATTTGAAGACGTGTTCCCAGCCAATTTTATTGCTGAAGGAATAGATCAAACAAGAGGTTGGTTTTATACATTGATTGTGCTATCGACTGCACTATTTAATAAACCACCTTTCAAAAACCTGATTGCCAATGGTCTGGTTCTGGCTGCAGATGGTCAGAAAATGTCTAAAAGAAAGAAGAATTATCCAGATCCTCTGGAAGTAGTTAAGAAATACGGAGCAGATTCTTTACGACTTTACCTGATTAATTCTCCTGTCGTTAAAGCCGAGAATCTTCGATTCAAAGAAGAAGGAGTCAGAGATGTCATCAAAGATGTATTCTTGCCTTGGTACAATGCATTCCGATTTTTAATGCAAAACGTTGAAAGAATTGTACAAGAAGATAAAGTAAGTTACAAGTTCAATGAAAATGCTGTGAGAGAAAATGTCATGGATAGGTGGATCACTTCATTTACGCAATCCTTGATCAATTTCGTGAAAACTGAAATGGCCGCATATCGCCTGTACACAGTGGTTCCGAGATTGACCAAATTCATTGATCATCTCACCAACTGGTATGTAAGAATGAACAGGAAGCGACTAAAGGGCGAAGGTGGAGTTAAAGATTGTCAGGTGGCATTAGATACTCTGTTTGGTGTCCTTTTCGATATGATCAGAGTTATGGCTCCTTTTACGCCTTTCTTAGCAGAGTTGATGTACAAAACCTTACGTCAACTATTGCCTGGCGACTCTCTTGAAAGTGTGCATTATAACATGATCCCTGACCCAAAGTTGGACTTAGTCGATACAGATATTGAAAGGGCGGTACAAAGAATGCAATCCGTCATTGAGTTGGGAAGAGTCTTACGAGACAGAAAGACTATTCCCATAAAATATCCATTGCCAGAAATGATCGTCATCCACCAGGATCAGACTTACTTGAATGACGTGAAGTCTTTAGAAAAGTATGTAGTTGAAGAAATGAATGTGAAAAAAGTACAATTTACTAGTGACAAAGAAAAGTATGGTATCACTTTGAGGGCTGAGCCTGACCATAAGATACTTGGTTTGCGATTAAAGGGTGATTTCAAAGCAGTTACTCAAGCACTCAAAGATCTCAACAACAGTCAGTGTGAAAAGCTTGTGGCGGATGGTTTTATTAATCTTGTCGGCCATCGCATTGATGTTTCTGAAGTGAGAATCATTTTCCAAGCAACAGGAAATGATCAATACGAAGCTCATAGCGATAATGACGTGTTGATTCTGTTAAATGTGACTCCAGATCAAGATATGTTAGATGAAGGATTTTCAAGAGAAATAATTAACAGAGTCCAGAAACTTCGAAAGAAAGCCCATTTGGTGCCTACCGATGAAGTGGATGTTTATTATTCGGTCAATAAAGCTAGTGACATTGTGCGCATCATAAATTCTCACCGAGATTTCATTGAAAGTACCGTAAAAGCACCATTGGTACCGATAGAAAAATTGACGAAATCCAAACCGGTGGTGATTGAAGAAACGCAAGAACTGAAAGGCTCGCAGTTAAAATTGGTAATTACATGGAGGAAGGAGGTTGAGTTGCCGGCGAACCCTTGGGCTAATATTGTTCTTCAAGATATAAGTCCTCGTTTCGGTGCGTCATCTAATCAAGCTAGTATTATCTTGAAAGATAAAGATAATAAATTTATTACCATCGATAAATTATATCGCGAAGTGGAAATACTGTTTGGACTTTATGGCATCAAATTTAATTTATGGTGCGCAGGAGCAGAAGTGAAGGACACGACTGGCTTGAATACTAAAACCATTGTAGTATCCCCATCTCAGCCAAAGAAATGTGAAGCAATTACCAGCCCTTACTGCAAGTTTATCAATGTTGCTAATGGGTCTAAGACTGTTACTGTATTTTTAGAAAATCCTTTAGGTAAAGCAACATTGGATAAAGAGGGTTCTTTAGAATATATTACCAACTATTTGGGATTGAAGCTTAAAGATGTTGATAAGAGTTTATTTAAAGTTTAACTTATTTATTGCTTGATTGTATTGCTAAATGGTTCCCCCGTTGGCAGTGAATTTGAATTATCTCAGACATTTTCTGGAAATCATAAGTATTATAAATCATTCTATGATAAGGGAGAGTCCGGCAATTTGGACCAGTTTTTTTCAATCCCATTTTACACATAGTTTTCTTTTGTTTTTGCTAATGTTCATGGTATATAATTAAAGAGAAATTATTCAACTTACTATTTCATAGGTATTAATCAACATAATTGTTGTATATTTAGCACAAATCAACAAAATACGAGGTCAGAGCTTCGGTACAATTTAGCCAACCGGTTCGATAATTTGTACCTCATGGTTACTAAATTGGATTTCAATAAATTTCAAGCCTTTAAAAAAACTATGGCAAAATATTATACCATACATTCTTAACAAATTAGGTAACGAAAAGGAGCAGTAGTTAATAACATAGACAATCGATATTGTTTTACACGTTATCACGATTTTGAGTAAAAGTTTTGTAATTTCAATTATCGAGACGCACACTTGCACCTAATCTACTTTGCTAGTCTTTTGCTTTCATTTATTGTTAGTCAAACATAACTACGCTATTATAACTTCAAAATATGATTAACTAAAAAAAAATTCAAAATCCTTTGGTAAAGTTCCATACAACTTGATGTGGTACAATTTAGCCGACTAGGTGTAAAAAATATAGCTTATAAATACCGAAAAATGTTTCAAATAATTGTAATCCACACTAATTTACGCTTCTAAATAATATATTAGAAACATCCTGTGATTAAATTTAACAAAATTACAAAGTAAACATGCATTGTCAAAAGTTACTTGAAAACAATGAAAAAATAATTTTCAAAATAAAACACACGTGTTCGTTGTCACGGCAAAAACCAATTGGCTGATATTAATTGAATTTAGTTGTGTATCGCTAAGTGTTGCAATTACAGACATTCAATAAATACTTTACGAAATATAAGGGTGGTACAATTTACCCGGCGGTACAATATACCGAACTCTCCCCTACAATAATAAGTCGCTATTAGACTCATTTACAAATAGTATTTCTTTCACTGCCAACTGCTCTCGTTGTTGTTTCTCTCGGTAGTTGAAACTTTTGTCCTAACTTAACTTATTGTATCTGTTTAGCATAACGTATTTTAAATTAGATATACTTCTTAATTAATATGCGTATTATGTTATGCGTCTACACAGATTAGACCATTAGCGGTAGCCACACTATTTACTGTGGCCGCAACCAATGGCCTAATAAGATTGTACTTTTTCATACCTGTTTTACATGTGATGTTTGTCATTTTATTAGGTAGGTAGGTACATGACATGTATTCTCACGACAAATAAAACGCCAAATTCAGAGTTAACTTTTATTTTAAATGTTTCCTTTCATAAATAAAACAAAATAAGCATTAAATATGAACATTATCGACAATGTATTTATTATGTAGGTGCAGTGTGGTTTTCAAATAATTACAATAATTTATTATCCATTGAAAATTGACTTACATTGTTCAGTGTCGGCTGCCATAATAGTTTATTGTACATAAATGTAATTCTTAATTTATTTAAAACAGCCCAAATATAATAAATCGATTAGATAAAGCCTCGTTCGCATTAGGGCACAATAGAACCGTAACATGTATCGGTAAAATTTGTCCAATACAAATAATCGCGAGATGTATTGCGACTTGGGCCTGAATGCAGACGCGGTTTCAAACATATACATCTTGATACTTTCCCTGGAGATTTGGATCCAGCCAACATAACAGCCTCGGATACACAAAAGGACATAATGAACGACACGCTCAATCTACGTGACACTGGAGCGTTGCCGAGTGTCTATCATCATTCCCGCAACATTTACCTACCTGGTGTGTAATATGTTACCCCCATATTGAGAGGAAGCACACATTTATACATTCATCGCCCGTCTACATTTTGTCCTCTAGTATTTTCAAGGCATGAAATAAAATAAATGAATAAACAGACCTACATTAACTAACGGGAGTACATCACAGCTTCCACGTAAGTGGTATGATGTGACAACGAAGAGAAAACAACATAACTGGCATTATTATTATACAGTTAACAAAACCAGGTATCAGTAGGAATAATTCAACCTATTTTGCTAATCAGTAAAATATTTATTAATAGATAATACATTTATTATCATCGTTTAATAACAAACCACGGGACCAGAAACAATCATACAATTGAATACCGGTTTATTGCTGATAATTATTTTCTTCTACTTGCTTGTAATAAACAATACGGTAACACATTCCATTTAAAAGATTTATTCAACAGTTTACGTATTTAGCTAATATTCTATAGTGGATTCCAAATACGTTTTATTAAGGGTACAATTTAAACTTTGGTGGTAAAACTATATTAACCTAAAGAAACTTACTACAAATAGTCAACCAACAAAAACAAGGGAACTGATGTCTTTTAACACAGGACAGGCATAAGTAAGTACTAGGATGTGCTTGTAAGAAAAGAAAATAATTTTAGTTATGTTATGCTTGTTAGTACTGAAAGTTAATATTTATGAATGGAACGTTAATTAGCACTAGCAAAGATTATATTGATGATGGTACGTGCGTTTATTATGAAATTAAACTATATTTCCATTACATTTACTATAAATAAAAATCTCAAAACATGGAATTGTAAAAGCGAAATAAGTCTTGGCCAAAAATTTTGTTACTAAATAAGTAAATAAAAAGAGTAACAATTTAGTCAAAATTGGAATATAAGGTTGGGTCAGCCCAGTTGCTAACCCAACTTAATGAATTTAAACCATTCATTCTTGTATTTCTGATACATACAAATAACAAACATTTCTTGCCTCCCAACATCGTCGATTAAATCTTCGAAAAATAAATATCGCAGCCTCAATTTATTATTTTACTTAATACTGTCTAGAAAAGAATAATTACATTATTGCTCCAATCTAAAGAAATGCTTCAAGTTTTAATAAATAAATCGAACGAGTAATCTCGAAACATCACATTGAGATAGAGAAACACTTACGACTAACTAATCGAACGAGGTGTGCGATATTTAGGGAATATAAATACACGATACACGAAGATACAACGCCGACGAAATGTTGCGTCTCACAGCGACGTGGGTATTATTTAAACATCGTTAAACAGTTAAGCCAACAAGATTAACACATGGTACGTGAAATATAGTATGCTCGATAAATTATTTATTATGCGTCAACAAGTTACACAATAAGAGTTATTTATGCACTCACATCGTAAGCTAAGTAGAGCGCGTGCTACACGTTATCTAGGTGAAGGCTTGACGTCGCCAGCAGTCGGATTCATAAGTAACCGATCGTGTTAGTAAGATTATTGCACTTTTACAATACTAATAAATATACACTCCACATCATACAATATTCATCTACCGTCGTCTGTTAACATCAGAACAATTTAGGCCAGCCACAGCGGTGGAACCAGCTCGACTAACAGCGAGTGCAAATAAATAATTTATTATATTTATATTCATTCAACTAGGAAGATTAGATAAAAATAGCGAAGATTTCACACTAAAAATAACTAAAGATTCTTTAACATTTTAAATACATACAATATAAGATACAACATGCGCTACTCAGTGACTAGTCTAACGGCGTATAATATCCATCAATCATACTCGTAACATTTGAATAGCAACAACGATAAATACATCACAAGGGGACCAAGCGGGCGCCCGTCCGGCATTATGCTCTCTCCCGTCTACTTCCCACCTACCTGCAAAATACATGATCAAGATTAATAATGTTGTAAAAAATAAAAAATAATTACTGTGACTACAGCGATGTATTTTATCTATTGTAAAATTTCCGAATTAGTAAATATCTGAACGTCTTCGCTCACGCTACAAATTCTTAATCCGATTTACCAACGGTCATCAAGTCTGTCTTTCTGTGACAAACTAAATTTCAATAAGGCGAAGCCGCGCGCGGGTAAATGTTGCTTTTACTTTTATTGTTCACCTTTTTTTAAGAGGAAATGCTTTGTGCATATCCCAGGCTGCAGGGGCAGCCAGGGGTTATGGTGGGACAGGGCGGGGTCTATCCACTAAAACCTCATGGAATCTTCTCCTAACGGTGCACACAGGGCTTAAAGACAACGGGTAAGAACAGTAATAACTCACGGTGCGTGCTCAATACTGCGCATGGTGTAGCGGCGGCGCGTCACGCTCAGGCAGCTTGCGCACCTTCATCGTGCCGTCCGCGCCACACGAGAACAGGCGCCCCGCGTTATCTGCACAACAAACACAAAATGTACTAATCTATACTAATATTACAAATACGAAAGTAACTCTGTCTGTCTGTCTCGCTTTCACGCGTAATACACTGAACCGATTTTGATGAAATTTGTTATAGAGATAGTTTGAAACCCGGGAAAGGACATACGATAGTTTTTATCCCGGTTTTTGAAAGATTTTCTGTGACGGATGAAATTCCACGCGGGCGAAGCCGCGGGCGGAAAGCTAGTGTCTTCTAAAGGCACAACTTTTCAAAACCCCAGCCCTCAATAATAATGACGTCATTATTGTGCACTCAGTGTCAAATAGTTCGTGACACCCAAAGTGGCCAGAGTTCACAATTTTTTTTATCCACTACGATGAAGCTCTTGGCCTGTATCTCACCTGATGGTAAGTGATGATCAGGCCGAAGGTGGACAATACAACCTTATTGCACAAAGACGTATTGTGAACTTATTGGCTATTTTGGGTGTCAAAAAATATAAGAGGCTGACTGTATGTTAAAATGTCAACTGACTATAGAGTCATCAACTACCGTATCGCATCTTGTGCCAGATACATGTTGCGATAAAATGTGCCCCAACCTGAGATTTCATCAAGCCTTTTAGGGCTTTTAGCATTTTTTAAGCCTATAATTGTAAAAAATCTGTAAATAAGTTCTAAATAAAACAAACTGAGCAAGAGAACCAAATCAATACCAAATTGAAATGCTGACTGAATGCTATTTATTTCAAACTTACCAATGTGTATCTGAGTGACACCTTGCCCGATGTGCTTGAAGAAAGAGCTACGTGCGTGTTCTCCGGCGAAAGTGTGTAGCAGTTGATGTGTTGCCAACGAAAACACCTGCAAAAGAATTTTTATAATGTTAATAATGGCAAAAAATAATGTCAAAGTAAAGTTAAAAATCATGTTTATAGGATCACTTTGAAAATCTAGCAGTATTTTTAATGTATGATTTCTATTATGTATTTTTTGTAGTCCACAAATTGCCTTAATAGACAGGTCAATTAATTCTGTTGTTTTCCGAATATAATAAAAAAAATCTATCTTCGCCCTCGAGTAAGTGAGCTTAATTTTGATCTATTTTGTCCGGACCATACCAAAAGTTAAAATNAAATAAATAAAAATTAATTACATAATGATTACTCATAAAATCACTAGCAACCACATAACCATTTGATATAGTTAGACTTTAGACTACAGCTTGATATTAAATAAAAATATTAATGAATTATCTAGAAATAACACACTGTACATACCTTTACCTACTCATTTAACTTTCACATTAATTTAGCATTTTGGCTAATCTCCATTTCCTAAACAGAAAACAATGACAAAAAACGTTTAATGCATGCAATCCCATGTTATAATTCATGTATTTTTAGTTTTTTTATAATTTACATTGTAAAAAAAATTATTAAAAATAAGAAGGAAATTGAATAAAGAGATAATAATAATAATATAAGCCTTTATTCAGACATACAGAGTTTAAAATTGATTGAGTTTAATATTATTCTAATTGACACGTCTTGTCTGTGTGCCTTTTTTGGCAAAGGCCTCCTCCAACTGTTTCCACTGATATAAAACCGATGACTGTACCTACTTGATATAAAACCACACTTAACAGCTTTGGCGCATATAACTTCTACAGATATAAACTGTATAGATAACACTGTCGCTTAACTTCAAACTCGGATAAATCCACTCTACACTGTTCGGAGATATTTAATAAAAAGTGTTTATAGTCTTATTTTCATGAATTAAAAGGCAGTTTTTTTTTTTATTATGGCACTACTATTGAAATAAATGATCCTGTTTATTCATTTCAGTATTTTAATCACGCATTCTCCCAAAAATTTAATATTTAGTTTGGATTTACCTTCATTTGATATAATGGAATGCAATTTATCCAACTTTGAAAAAACGCAATGAGGATTTATCTAATTTTGATTTAATAGATTCGGATTTATCTAGTTATGAAAAAACACGATTAGAGCTAGGGATGTGGTAGCACATGTGGTAGTGACGAAATCACGGTATACCTACCATCGACAGTCAAATTAGTAGCAACAAACTGAATAGAATAATAAAACAAAATAGGAAAATCTAGTTTTTATTTTATAAAAATGGGAAGTACCCAATTTAATAATTTTAAACAAAATTCAATATTTCTTCAGTCATCTTCTTCAATTTCTTCTTCGTGAATTGGTCGCCCAATCACATTTTCAATATTAAGTATTTTTTATAATATTTCAATTCAACCAACAATGCCCATTATGCCCAATTGGCTAAAGTGCGTTTCCAGCCCCTAACTTAAAGGAAAAAAAATGTTAGTTTATAATAAATCATTTAGTTAAATAGATCAATATTTTATTTCACATAATTACACTTACAAATTTATTATATTTAGCAAAAAACTGCAAAACATATCCAGACGACCCAACTCCACAAAGCACGTCTTATATTCTAAAACTTACATGATCATACCTACACAAATTTGATCGGAGAAATAAATGTACCTACTCAATATTAGGTATATCATAAACATACTTATGTCAAAAATATTCTGTAACAATAGAAGGACAAAATAATAATCGAAAATGGTTAACACATCACTAGTGCCAACTCTAAATTCCAAACGACACACAGGGATAGGTATTTCAAATTTACCGAGTTTTCGCTCTTTCCTCTTTCTTATGGCGAACTTTTATATTAAGCCGCTTGCGGGCTTTAGTTGGTGACACAATTTTAATATAATTATCCATGGGAACTGTCTGAATATCGCAAAGAAACGATAAAAAGCGGGAGCGCATGGTGCCACTGGTCGCTGAGTTTTCGTCAACTGGCGGCCATGTTGAAGAAACGCAATTACCTGATTGGCTCTCATGGACTTAGCTACGTTTGAAAAAAAATGTCTCATGGATCTATCTCTCTTAGATAAAATATTACGACTTTAACGGCTTATTTCTCAAGAACCACGCTGATTTATACACGNGGCAAGATAGAAATGGGTCTATAATTGCCAGGGTCGGTTTTACTACCAGACTTAAATAATGGCATTAGTCTACTATGTTTCATGAGGTCGGGGAAGATTCCCTTCTCTATGCAATTATTGAATATTATCGCTAACTGTGGGGAAATTATATCAATAATGTGTTTGACTATCTTGACAGAGATGCCCCAGATATCAGTTGTACTCTTTACATTTAAAAGATTAAAAGTTTTAGTGATATCTAAAGGAGTAATATGTTTAAAAGAGAAGTGCGAGTCACAGGGTGTCACGTGGGCTTTCAATATTTCTTCAGCCTCGGAGGGAGATGACTTTAAGTTGGCAGTTGTTGCTGAAGCTATATTACCAAAAAATTTATCAAAAGCTTCTGCTACATCTTTATCTGCAGATATCAAATTATCGTGAACTTTGAGAGAAAAGTCATTATCTCTTGGTTTTAGTTTACCAGTCTCTCGGTTGATAACATTCCAAGTTTCTTTTATTTTATTACTGGCGTTCCCTATCTTGTCCCGAATATAAAAAGACTTAGCCATGAAGCAAACTTTCTTAAAAAATTTTGAATACTTTTTTACATGCTCAAGAAAAGATATACTATTATTATACTTGTTCATGCCATAAAGTTCATATAACGTATTTCGACTTTTGTATATTAAGCCGCTTGCGGGCTTTACTTGGTGACACAATTTTAATATAATTATCCATGGGAACTGTCTGAATATCGCAAATAAACGATAAAAAGCGGGAGCGCATGGTGCCACTGGTCGCTGAGTTTTCGTCAACTGGCGGCCATGTTGAAGAAACGCAATTACCTGATTGGCTCTCATGGACTTAGCTACGTTTGAAAAAAAATGTCTCATGGATCTATCTGTCTTAGATAAAATATTACGACTTTAACGGCTTATTTCTCAAGAACCACGCTGATTTATACACGACTGATAAAAATGTTTAAAACATATTTTTTTTCTCTTTCATTTGACACCAAAATCTCAAAAAATCTTAGAATTGGATTTATCCGAGTTTGAAGTTAAGCGACACAAATTCAAATCAAAATTATCTTTATTTGTTTAGACTATTTAAATTAGTACTTACAAATCGTCAAATGCTCTTAAGGAGCCTATACATGTCTAATTCTTTTTTGCCCTACCAGCGCTTCGAGACAAACATTTAGCAAGTGCTGAGAAGAAGCGCCGCAATAAACTCAGTCACCACCGTCTGCCGGTTTAAAAATATAAAAAAAGTAGGAAGTTACAATATTCAGAAGAAAGTTACTTACCACGTTAGGAGTAGCCACTCGCACACATCCTACGAAACATAGAATTTATATGTGTGACTTCATACCTTGATGTCTCCATCAGCGGCTCCGATCGCATACATGTCCTCCCTCGGCGCGAGCGCGACGCACTTGATGGGCGCGTGGTGCGCGTGCAGCTTGTGGCGGGGCGCGCGCGCGCGCAGGTCCCACACCAGCACGTCGCCGCGCCGCCCACAAGACACCAGCGCGCCGCCCGCGCCCGCCCAAGCGACACACGCTGCGCCGCCCTCGTGGCACGTCCACGCTAAGTGATTTAAAGTCTCGATTTAACAAACGAAAGGTTTGAGAACCGCTGGAATAGACTAATGAGGGCTATCGTTTTTATACTTAACAGTTGGCACCCCTGCCGATTGACAGGACCTTACTCTACAGTGGCGCCATCTTGATGAGTGCAAATGCGATAGTCCTCCTACCACTTTAGCGCTCACAAGTTGGCGCCACTGTCTTCGCTACTAGCAAGTGACAGGACCTTACTCTACAGTGGCGCTAACTGGTGAGCGCTAAAACGATAGCCCTCATTGGGAGCATTCGCAGGAACGTAACATTACAATATAATGCTCAATCATCACGTTTTTTACATCACGTGGAAATGTTTATCTCTCAGGTTAGAAAGTAACGGTCCCAGAACCCTGGGAATACACTAGAGGGCTATCATTTTGCCCTAACAAGTTGGCGCTAATGTAGAGTAAGTGAGGCCCTATCACTTGCTAGTGACTAAGATAGTAACATCAACTGGTGAGCACTGAAGCGGTAGGACTATCGCATTTTCCCTCTCCAGGATGACGCCACTGCAGATTAAAGACCTGTTACTTGCCAGAAGTGCAAACTGTTAAATTTAAAAACAATAGCCCTCATTGCAAGCATACGAAGAAGACTGGAACCTGATTGCTAGAATGCCAAAAAATCAACAAACGTTTGATTTTCGCGAAGGTTGCATAGGTTGCCTAACGAGTATTTCACAAATAAAAACAAAATAAAAAATAAACTTACAAACGACAAGGGCCTTCTTTATGGGCATCAAAGTGTCCCAGATGGCAACGTTCTTGCTCTCGGAACTGTGTCCAGCTGAAACAACATTTTCAACATTAACATTTTAACATCGAACCAAAGACATTACTTTGTGAACAACACAAAACTACTGACCTGTCGCAACCAAACTGCAGGAGCCCAGGAATACGAAGTCGCTGATTCCTTTACTATGGCATTGGTGAGTCTGAAAACCAAAGTTTATGAAGAATAAAACTCTATATGTATTAAAACAAAACATGAGCAATTAATGAAGCTGAAACGATACGATGATTGCGCGTCAGCGGTATCGTCTACTCAGGCCTTTAGATTATACAGGACGCGTCACATAAAAAGCGTTCTGTTTGAGGCTAATCCTGCGCATTAGACGATTAATCGATCTAACGTAACTCGGGTCTCATGGTATTGGGCATCTCTATTGTGACAAGGTAGTCACCGTCACTGCTCAGTTTTGCAGCACACTTTTCTTAATAATTGACGATTCTTATTATGTTTATCAACTCACGAAGAAAGGTCTCGGCGACGCATGCACCTGTCCCGCGTGGCTGTTTGCCGGGGGATGCAGCTACCACATCGCCAGGTTGCCGTCGGCGTCGCCGGCCGCGAACTTATTCCAGTAGGCGCTGAAGCGCACGCACGTGACTTTAAAGACTATAATATGTTAAATAACTCACGAAGAAAGGCCTCGGCGACGCGTGCGCCTGTCCCGCGTGGCTGTTAGCCGGTGGATGCAGCTGCCACATGGCCAGATTGCCGTCAGCGTCGGCGGCCGCGAACTTATTCCCGTAGTCGCTGAAGCGCACGCGCGTGACTTTGTCGACTCTAATATTATGTTAAATAACTCACGAAGAAAGGTCTCGGCGACGCGTGCGCCTGTCCCGCGTGGCTGTTAGCCGGTGGATGCAGCTGCCACATGGCCAGATTGCCGTCAGCGTCGGCGGCCGCGAACTTATTCCCGTAGTCGCTGAAGCGCACGCGCGTGACTTTGGCGAAGGCCCCGGGAGCGCGCGGCGACCACACGCACGAGCCGTGGCCCCACTCCCAGAGTTGGACCGAGCCGTCAGCACCACCGGTTAGATCTGGGCAAATATTTTACATGTCAATGTCAAAATCAGCTTACTGCTCGATATAAGCCTTGTCCAAAGCATCGAGCCCAATCTTGACATTAGTGACATCTTAAGTTATTTTACTGTTGGATCTCTTGACTGATCTTTGCTAATATTCTTGACCAACTTTGTTTTCCTGTGAGGGTGTGACTGAAAAGAAACTTTCGTGTTTCAACTTACACAATGGTTGCGAAGGATGAGCTGCCATTCGTTTGATGTTGTCAATTTTGTGTTTCAGCACCTATGCATTAAATATTTATATTAGTCCACGGAAAATAATATTGGAATCTAGACCGACTGAACCAAAATATCTACATAAAGTATTAACTAAACATTTAACAGAACATGCTTCACAAGGCAGGCGACATATACACATACACGTAGCAAACAGATTTCGAGCTTTTACAAGGAAATATGGTTTTTAATTAACTATAAACCTAAAACAACAAAAGGCCGTCTCCACAAAATAATCGAATACTACAATGAACAAATTCACGACATAAATAAAATAAATCTCACTTGCTCTACGAGGAAGTAAATCAATGGAAAAGAAAGGAACCAAAACTGGTACGTAAAAGATGCGCCTGGTGAACAGAAAGGGCTGGTTCTATAAAAGAGAACAAGAAACAAAAATGTAAAATAAAGAAACGGTCGGCTAACAACGATTACAAATAAAAAGTGAACATCGAGCTGAAAAACAAAAGTTGGTGCGGATCACTGGTTTAGGAAGTGACATGTAACATGGTGGGGGTGAGGGTTGTCACTGACCGGTTTCATGAGAAGTTTCGAGCGGTGCAGCACCAGGCGACAGTATTTCGGGTCGTGGCAACCCGGGAACTGCAGGCCCTTCACCTGCGACCAACATTTGGTTACGCCGCGCACATAGTGGGTCACAGTGCAAGTGATGTCATGACACGTGTTCATAGAAACAATTCCTAAAAACCTACGGAACTTTTCCTTACGAAATTGATCCTATATTAATTAACCTATTAGATAAAAAAAACAGCTTTTTCGGTATTTAATCAGTCCTTGATAGTAATAAGAGAGGATTTAGAAGCGCGAGCGAAGCGCTGCGAGGCACAACGCAAACACGAGACAACGAACGTACACAATACCCACACCTTAAAAAACCCGGCAATCGCTGAACGAATAAATGCATTCCTATTCTAATAAACCATCTTAACTTTCAAGACAACAATAAAAAGTAATAAACTCTTAGATTATGTTCTCGTATCTCTCCCCTCCACCATATAGTTCGTGCCATCATATCCATGCTTAAAAGACCTTTTGATATTTGTATATGCTGTTGTCAGCATCAATGAGAGAATTGAGAATCAACATTTCGTTTAATGAGACAGTGTCGGTTAATTTATGACATTACAGGCCCATAAATTAGAATAATTGGAAAGATAAATGTCAATTTCATTTGCCTTATAGCTGAAAGAATTGCGTTTCCGTCTACCTTGTTTTCTATGAAAAGTTATAAAAAGGCATTTATTCATCCAGCTAGCCCATCAGTTAGTGCATTAGTTACGATCGTCCACATACTGTGTGCACAAAGGCTTCGTGTCCAATCGGGACCGAGATCGACGCGCTCGAACGCCGCTCGTGCTGTGGATAGCATCGTCACGACAGTTAATCCGCTTACCAGCTACGTTACCACCGTATTAACACCTCTGGCTTTTGTGTTAGCTTATAAAGGTGTTATAAGTTAGAGATTATTGTGATATTCAGATTATTGAACCTGTATGTATTAGATCCATGATTCAATAAATTGCCCCTTTAACATTAATACAAGGGTTATTTACGACGATTAATTAGTTACCCATTTTATGACAGATTAGTAAGGAATAATTATTAACATGGTTAAAAATATTAATTAAATTAATACATACATACATATTGTATAGGATAATTTGAAATGTACATACCTAAATAAATAAACCATACGAGAGATAAGAGTAATAAGTATCTCATTTTATACATGCATATTTATAAAGTGTAAAGGATTTTATATTTCAAGTTGTATTGTAATTTAACAATATATTGTTAATAGTTTATGAGCGTTTAATATACGTATTTACGGGCGTATAATTGTGTATGTTAAACCGATGTGTATAATGTACATTATGCAGTGTGCGTATATTATGTGTGCTAAATTCGCATTTTTTATGGGATAGTTTTTTGTTTTATGTGTGTAAATCATGTGTATAATGTCTTTATTTGTGCTCCTACGGAACATTCGTACATTTGTATTATGAATTCTATGTATAGCTGCATATGTATACGTGTGAACATGTGTGTGTAGTCTGGTCTGTGAGCACGTAGAATTTTGTTCAATGACCCCAAGCTACCCATCCTTATCGCTCGAGCGTAATTATGTTGCTGTCGCGCTCACTGCGGACGCCCGTCGCACAGTCGCGACAGCAATATAATTACGCGCGAGCGATAAGGATGAGTAGCTTGGGGTCATTGGGCAAAATTCTACGGGCTCACAGACCGGGCTTTAGTATGAACGTAAGCAATACTCACGACACTAGCGCCGCGGCCGGTTTGGCTGGCCATGCCGATGGGTACTTGCGGCGCGTTGGGGTTCAGCGGCGAACTGTTACCCGTGCCGGGCACTGAACCGTTGTTGGGCCTGAGTGAGTTACGATATTTTATTAATTAGACTATTTCCGTCTTTAAATCTGTACTTAAATACCTAGTACAGCCCTTGTACGTATATAGGAAGACGTAGCGTGGGCAGGCCTCTTACTAGGTGGACCGACGATCTGGTGAAGGTCGCGGGAGGTGCCTGGATGCGAGCGGCGCAGGACCGGTCTTTGTGGAAATCCTTGGGGGGGGCCTTTGTCCAGCAGTGGACGTCATTTGGCTGAAACGAACGAGGATTACTCTAAGCTTGACGTTTCGGCTGTGGTGGCAAGCAGACTAGTCATTTACTTTTGTCAGTATACATCACTTACTTGTCCTGGTGTTGGATGAGCAGGAAGCCGGTATCTGGTAATGTAGCGGGGTCTGTGCCCAGTCCCATGAGGTCTACGTCGCATTCGTCCTCCGACCAGCTGACTCCTCCACGCAACAGCAGGGACACATCCATCTCTTGGACTTCGCGGGCTGTCGCGACAGCTAGGAGGCCACCGCCAACCTATAACATATTATAGTAAATTGTAATCGAAGCACATGATGTCGTGCCCTGCCTGCCCAAACAACTGCACGCAGGAAGATTTAATGAAGACTAGTGACAACGCCATTCTTGTGGCGGAGTTTTGGGCCGACGCGACGGTGTGTAGGTTTGTTGTCGACACGACAAGAAGAAGAAAATAGTAATTTGTTGTCAAAAAAGATTTAGTACAAAAACCTACATCTAAAAAAAGTGTAAGTGACTCTTTCTTTAAAAAATGTTAAAGCTGATTTGTAGGAAGTCACAACATACAACCTGCATGCCTAAGATGCGCGATAAGCTGTTATCACGGCATTTTATCGATTTTTCCCATACATTTTGACGTCGATAAAAGTTATCACGGCGCGCATCTTAGGCCTACAGTTCGGGTAAACTGCGCACCTGGCAGCCGTGACGTCACATCGATGCTCTAGTACAGACGAGACGAACGTGCGGAGTTGTGGGGTTAACTGGTAGTAATAGTTGCATTCCAGCGAGGTGAGCAGTTAGCTCGCTCGGATTGTAGTATAGTATCCCGCTATAGCTTGCTCTATTGAGGCACAAGGTGTTGCGAGCGCGCGGAGAACACTACTCCTTGTGGTTGTCGCTGATTATCACAACCATCTCACAAGTCCCACTACAAATGAGACTATTCCCACCTCTCGTTCTCACCGCTGCAACTCCTGTATAGCCAGCATCTACAGCATGACCGCCAATAAATTCTAGTTCCACTACAACTCACCCGGTTGAGGCAGAAGGCGGCGATGGAGTCCTGCTCCTTGTGGATGATTCGCACGGGGCTATACATGTCGTCATCGCGGCGTGTAGGCGCTCCGCCCGGTCGTGTCTCACCCACGCCTTCCGCCACCGATTGAGCGCGTCGCCGGGAGAATACCGCGCGGATGAATAGGTCCTGTATAGCAATGACGTCGAAAATTATACACTTCTGTAGGTACACATTAATCAGAGTAATAAATTAACTTTATGAATGAACAGAGCGTATTGAGTAGCGTCCTGCGTTCCCACATCATTGCCCAATACAATCAATAATAGAAAACAATAGTTATACTGTTCCTTATATGTGTCGGCGGCTGAGCCCGCCAGTTTTATTTTAGTCGCAAATACATCTTTAAAGAAATCACATGTTTTACTGTTCCAACCTTCTGACGTGCGTTTTGTGGACTTAACTTATAAAGTGGACAACAACAATAATATACCTGAACATAACTATATTATATAGTAACATATTACGTAAATTGATATTTTAACGTTGNATGTTGCCTGGGTCAAAAAGCAAGAGTTTTAATTAGTCCGTCAGTTAACTTATCAAAAAATACTCTACACGTATTTTTCACTTTTTCAAACTAATGAAAATTTAAAGAGATAAAGCGCCCCAAAGTTCATAAGAAGAGGCCCGTGACGTCAACGCTTGCTTAAAAATGCCGCACGTTGTGACGTCGTGCGCAACTTCAACGCACCATAACTATGTAATTATTTGTTAGATTGACAAATAAAAATATATGTGTCCAATATTTTTTGATATTAAACATTACGGACTAAAAAAATTTTTTTAGGCAACTAGCCTATTACCTGATTGGCTCTCATGGACTTAGCTACGTTTGAAAAAAAATTACTCATGGATCTATCTGTCTTAGATAAAATATTACGACTTTAACGGCTTATTTCTCAAGAACCACGCTGATTTATACACGACTGATAAAAATGTTTAAAACATTTTTTTTTTCTCTTTCATTTGACACCAAAATCTCAAAAAATCTTAGAATTGGATTTATCCGAGTTTGAAGTTAAGCGACTCTTAGATTGCTTTTCCTGTCATACCGATTGCCGCCACACCAACAGTTTCGCTCGCTTCAAAGTCAGCGTGCCACGCCCACAGATCTCGAATTCTCGAGAGTCTTTAAAGAAGAAAATCAGCATGGGCAAAATAGCACGATGTCTGTCTTGCGGCTCAAGTGTACATGCTGTTATCGAAATATTTTGCACATAGTGATATGAGCATGTGCAAAAGTAAAATCCAAATTCTTTATTGCTAATCCACACCTTACATAGGATCTTAAAAAAAAATGTTACGGTAAGATTTTCACATCAAGCCTTCAAACCTGTGCCCTACCCTCTTACACCGGTATCTTATGTACATTCAGCGTCAAAAAGTTCCGTGACATCCAAAGTAGGCAAAAAGTTCCGTGACATCCAAAGTAGGCAAAAAGTACGCAACACGCAAGTTTTTGGCCACTTTGAGTGTCACAACACAACACGAACTATATGACGCCGACTACACCTAGTCGTCGTAATTGATGCTATTTTTCAATAAAAATTGTACACTTATTTAGAAGAGATTATTGCCATCATTTCCGCCAGTTGCAAACCTGTTTAAAAATGTAAGATATTATGCAAATTGCATATTACATACGCCATCAAAAAGGGCACATGTGGTAATCTAAACGCTATTACATAGAAGAGGTGTGGTCATGTAGTCTCTCAGTTAGAAAATAAAAGGTAAATCATACCGTGGCTGGTGTGTATTATGATTTCTCAATAAAAAACAAGGAAATAGCTCTTAGCTCATAGCTATAATTCATTAATATTTTGCTCATCATCCTATAATCACTCTGATTAGCTGATTGATGTCATCATCCTATTCATTAAATTCACTACAATGATGTTACCTTCGTTACCATATTATACTTAAGCATATAAAGACAGGAAAGAAGTGAAAAACTTGAGTTTTTCGTCCTAAATCCTAACTATCAGAAGATATAATTTTCCACGACAAATATCATCCAGTTTATATGCGATTTCAGTGGACCAGTGAACTTTCTGTTTTGCGATTGCCAAACTCCGAAGCAAGAGTGTGAATCGCCACACACATGCGATTGTGAAATAAGCGCGTTCACCCACGACGCGACTAATCGCATGGTAAACGTTAAAGAAAGGGCCTTGAATTTCCCAGTGAAACTGTGCTGTCCTATTTTTGGAATCAAGAGGTATTTTGTACAAATGTCCATCACCCACCATGTTATTAACGCAATTTAACAATATACCTACTTATATGTACAGCTTAACGAAAAGGGGAACAAAATTAAAAAAAAAACATTTCCTCTCACATAGGACTGCTTCCTACTTTGTCCTACTAAAATCTTTTTATAAAGGCCGTAGAAAAAAAGATGGTGAACAATAGTTTTATACTATATTTCAATATGTACTTATTTAGCCTTGTGTCATTTAAGTTTACGGCAAAAATACGAGGTAGTTAGTAACCAAGTAAAAAATTTAAATTGATGTAAAAAAAACTAAGCAAAAACATCGCATTATTCTCGCTTTTTGTGTCTAACATTTTTAACGCTAGTCGCGATTCTGTGGCGGCCAAGAATTTACAATGTTGCGGAATCGGATATGAGCGGTTTATAAATAGCTTTATTTGGCACCAACATCCTCATGTTTATGAAAGTAATGCGAAATAAAAATCCACGCTTATCTAAAACATATTAGGTAGACTTAGGGCCGTTTTCACCATCAATCCCTAATTTTTAAGTGACCCCTATGTAAACAAAATTCATATTATCCGTCATCATAGGGGTCACTTAAAAATTAGGTATTGATGGTGAAAACGGGCATTACTATACTCTTTACCTGGTCTAGGCCTTAGGTTCTTTTCAGTGGTGGAATATTCTATAAATCGCTTCACAACAATTGGGAAGTACTAGAGTAACAATAATACCTAACTAATGCCAAATATCGCATAGTGGACATCATTAACAAACTGTAGGCAGCAAGAATAAATCACCATGGTGCACACACAAAAAAATAATACAAAGAATCGCATGTGTATCCATTAGAGTAGGCGCACACCGTTGATTTTTCGTCGGCCGATAGTTTAGTCGGGCTGTTGATCAGTATGGGCATGTATGGGAGTGCGCACACTACGCCGATTCTTCATACAATTTAAAATCGGGCACAACTATCGGCCAACTAAAAATCAACGGTGTGCGCCGCCTACTCTTAGTTGGAACTTATTTTTTACAATTCTTTACTGGGTCCTTAGACAGAACAGCTGGCTTGGTCATCATTATCAGGTCAATTAGTCTCCACTTCAGGAGCACGGCCTTCTAAATTACCAGAGACAAATTGAGAATGTGGTCTATACTCCCCACCATTGCTTCATTATTATCATTTCAGCCATAGGACGTCCACTGCTGAACATAGGCCTCCCACAATGCTTTCCATGTTGCCCGGTTGGTAGCGGCCTGCGTCCAGCGCCTTCCTGCTACCTTTATGACGTCGTCGGTCCACCTTGTGGGTGAACGTCCCACGCTGTGTTTTCCGGTACGCGGCCTCCACTCCAGAACCTTACTGCCCCATCGGCCGTCAGTTCTGCGTACGATGTGCCCTGCCCATTGACACTTCAGCTTGCTAATCCGTCTGGCTATGTCAGCGACTTTAGTTCGTTTACGGATCTCCTCATTTCCAATTCGATCTCGTAAAGAAACAGCGAGCATAGCCTTCTCCATAGCACGTTGTGCAACTTTGAGCTTTTGTATAAGGCCTATAATAGTGGCCACCCTGGCTTGCTTCTTGATATAATCTCGCCCATGTGATCTATGATGAAGTGAGCTTGCCCAGAAGATACCTTTTTCCTCGTGCCTATAGGCCTGGTATCCACCAGAGCGGAGCGGACAAGTTTTTGAATAACCAATCACATTTCATTGTTTCTACTTCTCTCCGCTCTGCCTTGGTGGAAAGCGGGCCTTTAGGAGGATTAGAGAGCAGATTTATTTTATCTTATACGGACCCACACCACAACGTAATGCGCCTGGACTGGTGGACCCATTAGGATCTTTTGAGCTTCACTCATTCTTCTATCCGCAAAAATTATATCCATCTTATGAATTATGTATACCTGGAAGAGGGACTTTTTACGAGTATAGTCCGGATATACCGACCTCAGAGAGCAAGTTAAATAATGTTTCAATTTTTTTAGCATCGACGACATACAAGACAATTCCATCCTCCGGCGGGGTATCCCAGTGGCCCATTCCATCTACGGCGTGGCTAGCACAATCAACGCAGCTAACTACGTCATGGTCATAGCTTTGGAGAAGAGCCTGGAGTTGGGTCATCCTTTGGTAAGGAACTGACTAGTGACTGATGCTTGTTTTCAACTACGTGTAAATATCACCCAAGTGCTGAAAATATGCCCTTAGGGACTCGATTGTTCGATTTCCTTGATAAGTCATGATCATATAGCTTTGGAGAAGAACCTGAAATTAGGGAATCCTTTGGTAAGGAACTTACTAGTGACTGACTACGACCGTTTCCACCAACAACACTCTTGCCTAGTTCAGGCAACGAGAACCGCGCGGTTTGTGGGTGCTTCTAAAAACGCGATGTTTGAGGATTCAGATTTTTTCGCCGCCCGATCTCGGTTTGATTAAAAAATATATGAGAACTGCTCAAGAACCGCTCGACAGTCGCTGTCTGAGCAAGGCCTAATAAGTAACCCCTGCTGGTCATCGGTCCACTGAGTGAGAGGTCTGCTTACATGTCGTTTTCCTATTAAAGCTGTTTATTACCATACATTAAGTTAATTACTTCAATGAACTCTTTTTTATTGAGGAATCCTTTTCTCATTATTTATTTATTTATGAGAGTATATTACTTGCGTGGCAATTAGTTATATTTATTTCTAAACCCATAACCGTGCTAGGTACATTATTCTTCATTAACTATTAACAGTTAATTTACGCATTCGCATGCTTTTAAACGAAATAAAAAATCACAGTTGTACATCATCAATTTGCGTCATTCACAAGGAAAATTTGCCATAATTGGTTTATCTGCCGCTCTCTAATTAGCCGAGTTTGTTATGGACCAGGGATGTTATGGATATCCGTAACCGTAACCGAAACTTTCGGATATCCGAAATAAAAAAAATATCCGAAACCGTAACCGATTCAAAAGTTTTGGATAGTTTCGGATGTAGGCAGTGTAAATTGTTTTTTGTATAGCATTAGGTATATGTAAATGCATAACAGCCTGATTTACGTTTATAATGCCATCTAGTATCAATTTTAATTTTTTTATTACTTTTTATTCGATGTTTAGACCAGGGATGTTATGGATATCCGTAACCGATATCCGAAATAAAAAAATATCCGTAACCGTAACCGAAACCGGTATATTATTTCTCTATCCGTAACCGAAACTACATATCCATAACAGTCGGCCGTTTGGTGTAGTGGTTCAGAACGGACTACTATGCCGAGAGGTCCCGGGTTCGATTCCCGGCCGGGCAGAAATTGAAATGATGAATTTTAATTTCTGTGACGGGTCTGGGAGTGACTATGTATAATATGTATGTATTTAAAAAAAAAAAGTATATAAGTAGTATATCCGTTAAGTTAGCACCCATAACACAAGCATTAAGTTGCTTACTTTGGGGCTAGCTGGCGCTGTGTGAAATTGTCCAAAGATTTATTTATTATTATTTATAACATCCCTATTATGGACACTGCCAATTAGCTTTCGTTTCAGGCCACTGTGGTGTATACCGAGCAATTATTGGAACTGCACAGAGGGCAAGGTCTAGAAATCTACTGGAGGGACAACTTCCAATGTCCGTCTGAAGAGGAGTACAAGGAAATGACCATCAAAAGTAAGTTAATCGTAACTGTAACAATAACCGGTTCCTTTTGTATGGAGTTTGACAGATTTTTGACGTTTGTTAAATTTAAAGTAAGATGCAACTCAGCCTTAAACTCGTTATTAAAACTGCATTGATTTCAATTTTGAAACATTTATCCTCGTCGTTTGTTTCGCTTATCTTTTTGTATTTTTTCGACGCTATCAAACGTTCGAGAAAAACGAAAAATTGTTAATAAATGAATCAGAAAAGTTGCTTAATTTTAATCATGTCATAGTGATTTTGTCGCCGTTTCGTCTCATTATAGGTATGCAAGTAAAAATAAGGTTTTTTGAATCTATAATTTAAAATTTTAACGAAGAAAAATAAGAATATGTCGCAAATGATTGTAGTTTCTAAATAAAACCATTAAATCAATGTACTACAGAGTATTCTTATGACTAGCGGCTTCTGCACTAAGCATAGCTTGTGTCGCAGTAGCCTTTTAGTTTTTACAAGAAGGTCTTTACTTTGGGGTTTGAGAACACACAAGTCAGGCAATTTAATGCTACAAGAAGTTAAGATATAAAACAAAATAATATAAAATAAAATATGCATAATATCTTACTTCGATTAACTTAGCTGAGGTATTAAAAAAGTACTTTTTTCAGAAACCGGCGGGCTTTTCATGCTTGCCATAAGACTGATGCAGCTGTTTAGCGACAACAAGTCTGACTTTAGCCGGTTGGCGGCCATCTTCGGCTTGTACTTCCAGATAAGGGATGACTACTGCAACTTATGCTTACAAGAGGTATGTTTAACTCTTATTTCAAGGTAAAAAAGTTTAAAATGTAGTGCGCAAGTATTTAATTTAACCACTTTGTAATCCTTAACAGGGTTTTTGTTTTTATAACGGGGTAAAAAGGTTGAATATGTAATTTAGTAAGGTAGTAATTTATTTAATTTAAACACTGACTGTCTAACGGCTGACGTAGTAGTTGAATAATGATCTATGATTGGACTGATAGGTACTTATAGTACGCAGCATGTTGCGGATTTAAATACCGCCGAGGGCAAATTTTAGTGTGATGATCACAAGCATTTTCTATGAAATTGCAGATGTATCTAAATTATTGATGTATTATTTACACTGGACGACAAAGAAAATGGGTCGGTTAGAAAATCAATATCTTCAAAAGTACCTGACCTAGCTTTATGAAATAAATACTAAATTAATTCAAGCTTTTTATATTGTATTTTCTTCAGTATGTTTTGTTTCATAAAACCAGGTACTTTTGAAGATATAGAAGATTTTCTAACCGACCATTTTTCTTTGCGGTCCAGTGTAACCGCCACTTGCACATACCCTATGTACCTACCTATTTAATATGAATGAAGACATGAAAAATATTTATTGTTAAAATGAACACGCGCTTTCTTCACAAGGAGACACGCAAATCATTCAGTACTTTTCCATTAAAAGCACCTGCACAACTAGAAAGTTGACAGAGGACTACAATTACTGTCTACTTGTGCATGAAATTTCTAAATGTTGTAAATTTAATGAAAAACAATACCTATTTATGTTAAACATTGACGATAATTGTATTGTAATCACTAAAAACAAGGTTCATTTTCTTTTCTCGGGTTACGATATACGTAAATGTGGAGTCAATAGTTGTGTACCTACCCAAGTTCAACGCTTCAAACTTCGTAATACACTTTTTTCTGAAATTCAAAATAATATTTGAATTTTAAATTACTTTTGTTTTTGAATGCAGATTGGATACTTGAGCGTCATCATTTCGTGTTAAAAACCTAAAGCTCGGTTTCCACCGAGGCGTAGCGGAGATTGGAGATTTGATTGGTTATTCAAGACATTTCTCCGCTCTGCTCCGCCTTGATAGACTACTTAGTTTAACATAACAATGTCTTTATTATTATTGCATCTGATTATATCGCCAAGAATCAATTTGTAAAAAAACAACAATTTTGGTTTCGATTTTACAGTACCTATCCAATGAACAAACATATTGTGTGTATTATTGATATCTTTTCTAATAACTCCATCTTGTTTCAGTACTCAGAGAACAAAAGTTACTGCGAGGATCTGACTGAAGGCAAATTCAGTTTCCCCATCATCCACGCCATAAGGAACCAGAAGGGCGACAACCAAGTGCTTCGTATCCTTTTAAAAATATAACCAAAAGAAAACGGGACCTCTCGTTCCCACCGCTGCAACTCCTGTGTAGCCAGGATCTACAGCTTGACCGCCAATAAAAACACAACCAGTGCAGGTCAAGTTTGTCCCGGGGGAAAGTTAAACTGTCACTGACCCGCAACGAAAATTAATCAGAAGAAGATAGAATATAGGAGTTCGAAGTTAAAATTCGATAACAACCAAAAGTGAACTAACAACTACATAAGCGTGTGGTTAATTGGGTAACAAGATAATGAATTTTTCACAGTTAGTAATACAATTGGAATAACGTTTCATTGTACTATGCTAATTTTGGCAAGAAAATTTGGTACGCTCAACACTTGTAAACGTATTTTAAAGTAGATCTTCAATCTAAAAAGGACGTTCGTTATAAATAAAGGTCAAAACCCTATTGTCCTGTTTATCCTCGATTTTATAATATTCCATGCTTCATTCAACTATCAGACGCCTATGGGGCTCATTGAGTCTGACACTGTTAGGACTTATTTTTTTCTAGTGGAAAATCTGATTTAAATGTACAACTACAAATGGCTAGACAAGTCTAGTGATTCACATACCAGAGATTGTGAGTTTGGTCCCCGCACAGTACAAACATTAAACGTGATACATGAATGTTGCAAACGTTTTTTATACTAAAGCCCGGTCTGTGAGCACGTAGAATTTTGTCTAATGACCCCAAGCTACCCATCCTTATCGCTCGCGCGTAATTATGTTGCTGTCGCGCTCGCACACTCACTGAGGGCGCCCGTCGCACAGTCGCGACAGCAATATAATTACGCGCGAGCGATAAGGATGGGTAGCTTGGGGTCATTGGACAAAATTCTACGTGCTCACAGACCAGACTATAGAGTACCTACTTATGTTTAATGTCACAAAAAGTGTTTAATTATTTTAAAAAGGTCATCTGTTGTCTAATACCCACAGTTCAAGCATTGTTTAGTTTGAGACAAGCCCTGTAAAATTATGTTAAAGGATATTGATCCATTTATGTTCATCAAGATATGTTTCCTGAACCATACCAGATATACTCCGCCAGCGGACTCGCGATGTAGAAGTGAAGCGATACTGCATATCGCTTCTAGAACGACTGGGCAGTTTTGCGTACACCCGTGATACGCTCACCGAGCTCGATGCACAGGCTAGGGCTGAGGTAAGACGTAATACACTAACCCCCTTACTAATAAAAAATTACACAGTTGTTTAGGGGTCATCCATAAAGTACGTCACACGTAAAGAGGGGGGGAGGGGGTCAACAAAGTGTGACATGGTGTGACAAGGGGTGGGAGGGGTCCTAAGTTTCGTGACATCACATTTCTAGAGGTACTTACTAATCGCGTAATTTGAAATATAAATTAAACTAAAATATACCCCCACCACTTAAGCACAACTCCGTCGAAGTCGAAAACCTAGGAGAGTTTTAATGGGCAACCAATGAAGCCATTAAATCAATAAAATCTTTTGTAGGAATTATTTCAGATTTAAAATCTAATTCTACTGGCCTATAATGCCGCCAAATGCACCGTACCTCGCGCGTGATTTTATTGTTTCTATTTGTTGCTATTTTTTTGTTAATTTCATAATTTTTCGATGTGAAATTGCAAAACATGTGACGTCACACTAGGGAGGGGGGGGTCTCAGAAATGTGACCACCTGTGACAAGGACGGGGGAGGGGTCAAAAAATCATGAAATTCGTGTGACGTACTTTATGGATGGCCCCTTATTACTGTTTTAAAATGACATTTTCATACTAAACGTCACTTTAAAACACTGATCAACGAGCGTGTAAGTTTTATTAGTAAGGGGGTATAATTTTAGTTACTTTTTGTCTCTAGAAATTAAAGGCCCCTCATCGAACTGTAAGGAAAATAGCGACGATCACAGATCGATAACGGTCGCAGTGATACTAGGACTTTATTGAACTAAAATAGCCGCTCAACACAATTAAAAAAAAAGCTCATCGTTCCAATCGAATTTCGTCCACTGCCGGACAAAAACTTCCCCCTACGAATTTCCGCAACGACCGGTCATACACTGCCCGCCCGAATCGAGGTTGCTCCCTCGCTCTGAATTAGAAGGGGTTAATAAGCTCTTAACACTTATTCTGTCGTGTAGAACTGTAGACCACCGGTGACTGGATACTGCCTTGTATCAACACTACCGGCAGAGAAGGTGTTTATTTTATTTTATTTATTTATTTAAGGATAGTGTTAATGTTAGTCTCAAAGCAAACGTTGTTTTCGTCAACGTCAGCCCCACGCTGCGCTTACAAATACATCTGACAGCATTTCTAGTGCAAAAAGAGTATGTTTGGGCTCGAACCGATAATGTTTAGTGCACCATAACATCTGCATCAATCCCACAAAAACGTCAAAGTACTACCGCTGGTCTAATCGGTAAAATATCTGTATACTAAGCACTCAACCACCAACCCATTGCTGTCCTGCCTAGCTACACAAATATCGAAATCAAAAGTTATCTTAGAAAAGTCATTAACCAAAAGTTAATTTTATACATAGGTGGCAGCACTGGGCGGCAACCCTTACTTAGAAGCGCTCCTCGACGACCTCTTGAGCTGGCGGCGAGACAAACAGCACGACGACACCCTCCCAAACAACATTTAAACTACCCTCAAAACTTCGTTTCGCTTGAATCATTTCTTCTAGCATAATATTAGAGGTTAGTATTAACTTAAATACCTCTTTGAAATCAGATTATGGTAGATTAGCCCCATCCTACGGCCGGGTAAATAATGTGCAAGTTTAGTAACAAAGACTCATATTATTATGTGTAAAGATATGAGATTACGACCAAATTGCAATATTGCCGGTACTCGTTTGTCATGTCATAAAGAAGTATAGATTAAGGATTCTTTTTAATTAAAGCAGTCAAAGTTACAAGGCTTGAAACATTCGTATTTGAACTCCAGTTAAAAATTTAAAATTCAACCTCAATGGTGGTTTATTGTTTGGTTTTTCACTAAAAGCATTGGGTCCAAATGTTTGTTTATTTTCTCTCGAATGAACAATGTAGAATAACATGAGGCATAGACTTCTGTCCGCAAAAAATATTGCGAGACACATTACACGCTCAAAAATTGTGTTACAAATATATTCAGATATTGACAGCCGATAGTCAAGTTTCATATTAACATAATAATAAAAATGTAAATTGGAATATGATTGTCAGTAGATAACCGGGTGCCAGGATCCTTGGATAATAATAAGTTCACAATGTTGGAAATTCCGTAGCTAATTTTCACTTGTTAAAGTGTTTTTCTGTAGATGTTTGTTGTTACAAGATTTTTCTTAATGTGTAAACTTCTCATTGTACTGTTTAACATGTGTATTGTGTAATTTGTTAGTTAATTGATTTTACACGAATCATTATTTGTCATATTATTTATTCTCATGATACTAAAACATTAAGAAAAAAAAATTATGATTGATCGTTACTTGAGGGATCTAAAGATCTACAAAGTATAATAAGATAGTGAAAAATTGATCTTCGGTTCTATTACTCTATAAACATTAATTGGAAATCAATTAGATGTCATAACTTCACTTATTTCATTGGTGTAGTAATTTTCTAAAAGGTTCAGGATGATCTCTAGTAAAATTCTATGTAACTTATTTTATTTTAAATGCTTTATTTTTGTAATTACGGTGTGTGTAAGCTTAAAAGACAATGCTTTGAATGAGTAAAACAAGTTGTGTATCATTTCTTGGTTTTACATAATTTATAAAGAGTGTAAGAGACAGGTTCGGAAAAACTTGACAGTGAATAAACTTTCTATCTTATCACCCAATGCAGTCAGTATAAATCCATTGCCAATCAAAAACATTTTCAGAGATAACCATAATGGTATTAATTCTAAAGGAAAATATGTGTTTTTTATATTTTAAATCTCGAAGCAGATTTGTCAAAAAGATGAAATTAAAGGAAATATTTTCATCTGGATCGGTTCACCCACTGTTTAAGTGTTTTTCCTAACATGTTCTTACACAGATCGCTAGTACTTACACTTAAATTTGTGAAATATTATTTTGGTGCCATTTTGTAGCAGGATAATTAAGTGATACAATATTAAGTAACCAAAGTCACATTGATAGGTTAACATTCCATCGTATGGTTTTAAAGTAACTAGGCATAAACGTACTTATAAGGCGTACCGTCAGATTGTATCTAGCGGTTGGCAGAATTGCGTCAAGTCAGAGATGCGATATTTGCCTGTCCATAGATTTACTTGTATTACTTAACGAGTGAAATGCTTTCATTTGTGTCAGTCTAAAATGGACCTAATTACAGTGTGTGTAAGCTTGACGCTCGACAAATTGTGAAACGTCACATTGAGTAGGTACCATATTACATTAGGTACCATAAGAAGCACGAATTTTCAGGTTTGTTGTCTACGCTGCTCTGAGGCGATAAGTCAGCATATCTAGGTATAGAGTCAGTGTGAATTTTTTCCACCCAAAGTAGTAAAAGAGTTCGCAAGATACTTAAAATAAGATTGTTGTCAACTTTTTACCCACTTTGGGTGTCGTCATGAACTATTTGAAGTCGGGCGAGAGTGAATAAGCACTTACAGGGCAGATATGTACCATCCTAGACTGCATCCCACTTAACATCAGGTGCGATTGTGGTCAAATACCTGACATGTTATGCATAAAAAAAAGGTGACTCTATAGCCTGACCAGGAACATAAAAACCCTCGCCATGTTGCGGAAAACTAATGGTACTAATTTCTTTTAATGGCAACAGTAACTGAAAACTTCATTGACATGTCACCTTGCATGTCAGTCTATTGCTGTCAAAGTGTAAACTATTTTAAATGTGCGCAATTGATTTTGTGAATGAAATTGCTAAAATCTTTTTATAGTGGTGAAAGAAAAGGGGTTCACAATGTGTTAAAGTATTTGTCGAAGAGAAATACCAAGGGTTCGGACAATATTTTCATTGAATAATGTTTCCAACAAAGGTTGTCAAATTGACTGACATGTTTATCGTATAGTACAGTCCACTATGAAAATTAGCTGTGGTTTGTTTCAACTACCTATTTTAAAGTCACTTACTAAGTGTTGAATTTTATGGAATTGGGAAAGAAGTACCGAGTTTGAAGCGTTCATGAGCAGACATTGCAGTTGAATATTCAAGTTCTGAATTTGATTATTGATGAATAATAAAATAAATCCTACTAGCTCAATTGATGGTTTCATTTAATTTATTTAAACCAAGTTACCTATAATAATATTTTTTCGTTAATTTATGAAAATATCAAATTAGCCCGTAATCCTGAATCATGATACATAAAGTTAGCCTATTAATTTAACACAGGTACGACTGCACTCAGTGTTGCACTATCAAATGCAATTGACGCGCCTCTATGCCAGGGTTTTTATGTTCCTGGTCAGGCTATACTTATGAAACTACATAAAAGTCGCAATGATTACAACAAGGTGTGGAAATTATCCTCAACTCTAGATTCGTTTTACAGCAACATTGTGTTTATAATATTGTTTTTGTAAGCTTTTGTCGTTAATTTAGTCGTTAGTGTTAGATATTATTATTGTAATTATGCTAAAATAAAATAGGCGTAACGTTTTTGTTGCTACAATTGATTAATGTTAATCGCTTTTGATTGAAGTACTTATTTTGGTTGTTTAATAAATGATTCCAATTAATTCAATAACTAAGCATTGCACACTACGAAAACAATAATTTAAAAACAAGTATCTATTGTGCCTGTTATCAAAGTTGTATTTATATATTTTGCAGTGATCTGACACGATATTAATGCAGTGTGTTGTGTATTATAAGTTAATATGATTTTAATTTTACCAGTGGCAATACTTACAAAAATTGTAATAAAACATTTATGTTAATATTTAAATCACGGATATCTACGATAGTTCATGTTATACGAAAGTGTAAATCTAGATAAAAATTTTTTGCTCATTTATAAATGCTTGTATAGATGTTATAATATCATGAATTTGCTATTATATTGATATTATTAAATTGGATTTATCAAAGTACAGTCGACCACACAGCACATCAAACTATTGTTGCAAATTGGTCTTTATTAAAACCACATGGGATATAAAGCCCGGCTGTGAGCACGTAGAATTTTGTCTATGTGCTCACAGCCGGGTAAGGATGGGTAGCTTGGGGTCATTGGACTAAATTTTACGTGCTCACAGACCGGGCTTTACATAGGACCCTACATGTATGTAATCTTGATGTGCCGTGTTTTGCCGTACTGACATTTATCTCATTAGTTTGAAATGTGATTTCACGTTTTATTTTAAATTTATTATCGTTGTTTGGTTGTAAAATAAATTTTATAATTTTAATTTCATTTTCATTTTTCCATTCAGTTTCATAGTTTTATCGAAAATTGTCTTCCATGATATGACAATAATATCTAATAATTAATTTAGAAAACTATGCGTAATGCTAATAAGTAGTTTCTTTTTGTGGTGCAACATTTTGGAAGTGATTTTCTACAACTTCTAAGTACGTCACTCCGTACATGGTACTACGCCTCACTTTTTATGTGGCTCATTGTATGCCAATAACAAATAGAAACCAACTTTTGTAACAATAAAAAACAGCTTGTATGGATATTATCTCAAACATCTTATAACAAAACTACTGGAAATTTTTGTGGCAAAAAATTGTTACGACTAAAGGCTAAAGGTTATTACGACTGTTTATTATTAGGCACTAAATAAACAGAACTCTTAAGAACCTATTCCATTGTTGTTTTCTATTTACCTACAAGATGTAGCTCTACAAAAAGTTACTTTGGTGTGAATGCACTATAAGAAATACATTAGAATGTTATCGAATTCACATATCCAGCAAAAATAAAGTTGTGTGCTTGAATTGTCCGTTTTATTTCAAACTTTTGCCCGCGTCTTCATTAGGTACACTTCTACTGATATTTTCAAAATCGGTTTATTAATTCTAGAGATTACACGCAAATAGAATAAATGAAAATCGGTAGCGTTTCGTTTATGTACTTTATTTATTTTTTACATTTGTCACAAACTACAGAACTGCGACTCTACTAGTCAAGGTTTTCGTTGGACCAAAATGCTCCTGAACCGAATATCAACATAAATAAATCTATTATTAAGATAAAATTATATAATTTAAATTTAATTTCGTAAATCTTCACGATAAACGAATATTACATTAAAAAAACTAAAATCATATACAAATAATCTCTCTTATTGAAACTACAGACGAAAAAAAAATCGAAGCAGTATTTTTTAAATGGAAAAACATGATGTTTTATCACAATGTTATGGACACTTACTTCCCCCAGTAGATTCACTATCAAATATACATAAAGTTACATTTAAAGATAAGCAAATATATTTTTTTACTTTCAAGAAAGCAAGAGGTTGCGTTGCTCCTCAGTGTGACTGGATGCAAATGCGCTGAAGCTAGGCACAAATACAACCGCGTCTCAAACCTGGTGCTTTATTGAAAATTTAAAGTTAACGTTACTACTCCATTGACGCAGAACATTACTTCCTTGTTTCTGTCTTGAAATCAAGATTTTGATTCAGTATACATAAATCGATTTCTAATTGTTTCGCGAATAAAGGTGTATTCGCATTACGTGAGGAGGCGTGGCCTGTGTGTGCCACGTTTGAACATGACAGGCCGACGCTTGCGCATGTCGCTACTGTATCATTCAAAATGTTCGTATACACCACGCCATGCAGCAATATAAATACACCTTTACCCAACAGAGACATAAGCGTAAAGTTTTTAAAAACTACAACCAAATATTTGAATAAATAAATAGAGCAAATAAAAACACGAAAACTAAAGAAGCATGTTTTGCATTAATGGAATGTGCACATTTATAAAATATATTACAAATTATGAGTAAAATTAATACGATTTCATTAGCACACTAGAATAAAAATTAATATTAAAAAACGTTCAGTCTCCAACCAACCTCGACAAGAATTGAACAATACATTAATTCCACGATCAATTTAGTTCACTATGTGAAAAGTTCAAAGTAATTTATGTCAAAATGACGTCATTGCCTTCGAAAAAAATAATGGTGGTCCTGCCACCAATAGCCATAACTTTCATTTATGTTTTTGTGTATAAAATTCCAATTCTTGTCTTCACACAGACCCACACTTAGCAAACACACATACACTCTGTGCCTAGGTATTTGTGATGGTGTAATAAAACATCGCATAAAATGCTGAATATAAAATTTGCCACAAATGCATTGATAATTTTGTAATACAAAATTCGAATAAGATATAATAATTGTACTTATTTAGAAACATTTTGCAGTTCGAGTCAATATAAACTTGATACATGTCGCATCTAATGGTACTTTACAAAAGCTAAACTGTATAAAATTTGAGCTTACATTTTTCGTTGGTGTGCTGCAAACTTACAAAATTGTCCAGGTTACATAAGCCTTACCAGCTTCTAAAGGTAGCACATTAAGCTAATATAAACGTTACACCTATGTAAGGAAGTTTAAAATTAGCAATAACATTTCTAATCTGTATGACTTCGCAAATGTTGGTAAAATGTTGCGACATTTGTAATTTCTCTTAATTTTAATTACGTTGATGGTTGTAGGGAGCATAATACAGTAGAGTGCTAGATATAAAAAAATTAACGAAGGCAATACAGATTAGAAACATTACAAAAATACGAACGGCCAGTCTCATAAAGGTACAACGAGACTAATATGATCCTTACAAATCTTGCCATCGAAGTAAATGTTTATGCTGTGGTCAATTCGTCGTAGATTTTAGAAATTATTTCACGGTCTTATCTTAAATGGACTCTAGCAACCATAGTGACAGATCTCGGAGATTAAAATTTCTAGTTGGAATAATTTATGGAGTAACTACGTGTCATATTGATAATAGAAACTCACAAAATGATTGGTTAATAAAACTCAGTTACCATTAGATCATCTAGCTAGGTGTTTAGATCATCGCGCATAAGCGCGAGTGTACACCTCCTTTCCATTGAAAAGGCATAACAAGTCAAGTCGCTATTATTTTAAGCCAAATGTGGTTTAAAATATGGTGGCAATGCCCGGTTTAAGTCTCGTTTTCATCGTTTTAAATCAATAAAGTTCCAAATACAGTGGAAATATCTGTTTTAAGGCAATAAGGTAGCAATATAGTTTTTAAGGCAACATTAGTCCCGTTTGTACCTTACAGAGCTTGACTAGGGCTCTCAAGCGGCACATTACACGATCACAAACGCCAGGCGCGGCCTAAGGGATCCAGCCCACGACGTAGCTGCGGCTTCGCGTGAACTGCGTCAAGCGCCGGACGCGACCGCCTGCGGGAAACACGACTGTGTTACAAGATGCATAGGGATGGTATTTGGATAACAAGTAAAGTCAATTTTACCAGCCCGTGATGTTCACCTATAGTCTGGTCTGTGAGCACGTAGAGTTTTGTCCAATGACCCCAAGCTACCCATCCTTATCGCTCGCGCGTAATTATGTTGCTATCGCGCTCGCACACTCACTGCGGGCGCCCGTCGCACAGTCGCGACAGCAATATAATTACGCGCGAGCGATAAGGATGGGTAGCTAGGGGTCATTGGACAAAATTCTACGTGCTCACAGACCGGGCTTTACATAGCTCAAAACTTCTATAAGTTGCGTTCATACATTTTCATTGTTGAAGCCACAGCAGATAAACGGAACTCTATCTAAAAGGTTAAGATTATTCCAAAACTGTTTTGGTTTTTTATAAGTACCTACTTAATCAAGATAGTGCTCAATCGATCATTCGATTGATGATATTGGTTATCGAGTTGGTATATCAATTTCAACAGAGGCACAATTGTCATTGACTTTACTTGTAAAATTGGCTCATTACTTATAATACAATAAAAAATATAAACACATAATTATCTTTGTTTAGAATAGCTACAAAACTTAAATTCGCACTGCAAATTGTCAAAAACTCATTAATACACTCTATACAATATTATTGAAGCAAATAAGCAGTTTATACACAATAAAGCGACTAAAACATTACATTATTGAAAGTTACGCCTAAATCCCTAAAAAATTTAACAAAAAATACAGTAAAAAAAAAACAAAACAAAGAAGATTTAAAAGAAGACACTATTGACAAAGAAAAAGAGTATTTTTTATGAAAACATATTAAATAATAGCGATATTAAAACTAAAAGCGAAGATTAATGTTCTGCGAAGCTGAAATGGAAATATTAATGATTTGTTAATCTGTTCTCATTCCTGAAAAAATATTAGAAATAGATTTCTGGTAAAGAGAAGTGTAGTGCCTAGTTAAAGTTTATGCACATCCAACAGCACATCACTCGTAAAGATTGTTAGTGTGCTGAGTGCGAGTTTACATTAAACGATATAGCTAGCGACTGCGTAAAAAAATGACATTAAGGCTGAGTTGCACCATCTTATTTTGACATTAACAAACGTCAAAAATCTGTCAAACTCCATACTAAAAGCACCGTTTATTGTTAAAGTTACGGTCAAAGTAAGTTGGTGCAACTCAGCCTAAATGTATAATAGATTGTACAGCGTCCCTAGCCGATATTTTCAAGAACTAAAAACTTCTCAGATTTTTTGACGCACTCGCTAGCGATGATGTTTAATGTAAACTCGCACTAAGCACACAGATCGTCCTTATTTTGATTGAAATAAGAGCGACTTTAGCAGTGCAGCAGTTACGTTGATGTAATGTCGAATGTGCATAAAAGTGCAGTGGGTAATCGCAATATGCAGGACTTATTTATAGCCTGACCGGGAACATAAAAACCCTGGCATAGAGGCGCCTCAATTGCATTTGATAGTGCAACACTGAGTACAGTCGTACCTGTGTTAAATTAATAGGCTAACTTTATGTATCAGGATTCAGGATTACGGGCTAATTTAATATTTTCATAAATTAACGAAAACATATTATTATAGGTAACCTGGTTTAAATAAATTAAATGAAACCATCAATCGAGCTAGTAGGATTTATTTTATTATTCATCAATAATCAAATTCAGAACTTGAATATTCAACTGCAATGTCTGCTCATGAACGCTTCAAACTCGGTACTTCTTTCCCAATTCCATAAAATTCAACACTTAGAAAGTGACAAAAAACTTTAAAATAGGTAGTTGAAACAAACCACAGCTAATTTTCATAGTGGACTGTACTATACGATAAACATGTCAGTCAATTTGACAACCTTTGTTGGAAACATTATTCAATGAAAATATTGTCCGAACCCTTGGTATTTCTCTTCGACAAATACTTTAACACATAGTGAACCATTTTTCTTTCACGACTATAAAAAGATTTTAGCAATTTCATTCACAAAATCAATTGCGCACATTTAAAATAAAGTTTGTTTACACTTTGACAGCAATAGACTGACATGCAATGTGACATGTCAATGAAGTTTTTAGTTATTGTTGCCATTAAAAGAAATTAGTACCATTAGATTTCCGCAACATGGCGAGGGTTTTTATGTTCCTGGTCGGGCTATACAATGGATGAACACAGTGGGTCATAAAGCATGCATGTTATGCAAAAACAAAGTTTCTATACAATATAGGATTAAAATTATTTAGAACTTTGCAGCTGCAGAAATTGTTAGGTAGAAATTGCATTTTGTAAATATCTTTTTTAATATTTTTAACAAAAATTAATTAAGAACAAAAACAAATTCTATATTTTTCAATTCTTCGGTTACTAAAAAAAAACTGAATGCCAATTAGAACGAAACTATGAAGCAAACATGACCAATTTTCTAGCATTAATCGAGCCAATGGTGTCGAAAAGATGTCAAATCGATTATGAATTTTGAATGCGTTCTTCTAAGACTAAATGAGCCAATTATGTCAAATCGATTGTGAATTTTGAATGATCGATATGTCACTTACCACTCACAATAGTTCAGGGCTCTAAGCGTTGTTCTGGCTCCGGCGCTGCTGGCGTACTGCAATGCACACACACCGAAAAACGTCAAGGGATTGTATACATACAACGAGAATCACTGATATTCACTATATGGAATGTTATAAGAAATGCTGGCTGAAGGCCAAAAAATGCTGAACTGTTTGTTCGATTTCAAATTATTCTTACAACAGTCGTGGTACATTTCTCGATAGTTTGATCTAGAATTGAATTTTGTTCAAATAATTGTGAATATCAGTCAAATTTCAGGTAAAATAGGGTAAAATCAAACATTTCATAAAGGTTCAAAACTTAACATTTAACAAATCACATAACGATCAAAAATGAAAATCATGCTTAATTATTTAACGGTCACATCAGTGGTTTTTTAGTTCAAACGCTCATTCCTTGCATTAATGTTAGTATCACTCGGACATGCTTTAGTTAATCGTTTTTTGGTAGAATTATTTTACTCAGTTGGAGCACTGGGCATAAATGCACACTTAGGTATCACAAACAGTATCTATCCTGTCACAATTGGGACCCATTAATAGTCGAACGCTCTCTAAGCTGTGGTTAAGAAGCCTTCGCTGTAAAAATAACGTTATTTTCCGCAAAAAAACTAATAGCAAAATAACGCAACGGCCATCATATTACAGCACTGCGTTACAAAATAAAACTGGGTCGTTACCGATAACTGTGGCCGATTCTACATATTATCATTCGGTTCTACGCTCCCCTCTCGGCTAAAAATTAAATTGTTAACGGTTAAAATATATAATTACACATCAAAACATTAGTTTTTGTTGAGTACGACAAGAATTTTGTTGTAAGAATGAGAGCAGATTTCATAGACAAGAATTTGACAGAATTATTCGAAGATAGAATAGATTGTAAAACGTGTTACCAAAGTCTAAAAAACACGTCGCTTTAATTTTGTTTCTTTTTTTATTTTTATTGGTGCAGTTTTATGTAAATTTCAAAATTTATAAAATTGAGTTTCAGTCTAAACTAATTAAAAAAAATACATCTGCAAACGTAACTAGGTTAACTTAAAAATTTTAGAGCTTGAGATATACTAAAAGGCCATATTAAGGTTTATTATAAAAAATATAGGAAAAGGATTTAAAAAAATCCAAATTGATAGATTTCAGAGAAGCAAGGGTAGCTAATGAAAAGCCAGAAAATTGAGATTTCATATGATTCTAAAGAAATCGGGAATCTAAGAGGAATGGGGCATAGCTGTAGCTTGTTCCAAATTGACAAAATGTACAAAATTGCCTTTATTTACCAATTAAAAGCGAATAATTCTGACTGATGATTTATTTCATTATTGATCAAATTATTATTTTACGAATAGGGAACAAGCTAATAAATAATTCTAGTTACGTTCACAGACTATAGAAAATAAAACTGCACCGTTAGTCAGTCTGCCACTCAAAATATCACTAACAATATAAGCTTTTCAAGCGAAGTGTTGTTAGGGCTGTGCTAAAATGCGCCCAGTGGGGCCTGACCTTTACAGTCTATTGGCTACGCGCGCCCTTTTGCAGGTTGTTAAAGAATCTGAACTGTAGTCGCAGCGTTAGGTCTTTCCGTACTGTAATTGAACAACACAATACTGTGACTATACACAAACACACGTGTTGCACCGGACCTGTGTATGCTCGAACACAGTTTTGGGAGAGATAGCATTTTTAGGTAAACTGTCTATCAAGTAGTTTGCGTGTTTTTATGTGTAAAAACTTTGAAAACAAACTTATGATTGGTGATAACTATTTATGTTGTAATGTTTAGATTACAATATGAGATGACGCTTTTTGGGACTACTGCCTCTAGATGCGTCATTGTGAATAATTACGTCATTCGTTGAAAACGTAAAACGCATTACATGTAAATTGTTTGTTACGCGATATTGCTCCATAAATACTATCTCCCACAAAACAATATTCAAGCGGTGTGTAAACACTAAAACTACAAGTATTGGGGGCACGCGTGGCGTGTGAGTGGCGTGGCGGCTACTCACGAGTGCGGGTTGGGGCTATAGTCCGGCCGCTGGGCCAGCACGATCGAGTCATCTATCCTCGCCACCTCTGGGTTCTCCAGAGGCTTCTCACTCGGCACACTCTCTACTGGTCTATCAGACACGGCATCTGAAACTGGCGTCTCCGCCGGCTTTTCGACGTCAATCGGTATCTGTCTCTCTCCGTTCGGTATTTCGGCTTCCTTAGCCGGTACGAGCACTGACCCTTCGACAGTTTCCGTGATCACAGGTTTCGGTTCGTCTTTGGTGGGCGTGACGGCTTCGGCGCTGGGAGGGGTCATGTTGAAAAAATCTCCGCTGATGCCGACGGCGGGCGGGCGGCCGCGCGGCAGCCGCAAGCTAAGCGACGCGCTAGCCCGCTTTTGGACTCGACAATCTGACACATTTCAATTATCCCGATTGATGTCTCTGTTATATCTCTGAATGACTCTGGCTTAGATTAACTCGTTTAGCAGCCGTTCTTGTGTTTCACACGTTTGCAGTGGCATCTCTGAAACGGCCTCGCGCGGTGTGTCGTTAATCCAAGCCGTCTAGTGGGCGTTAATAAGCGAGGATGTTCCAACCAAATGGCCCGATGCGTTATAGATGCACGTGAGGGCGCGGACATGTTTCGATATACTACGCTCTGTGTATACGTAATTTTGGGACAAACATTTGAGGCATAAACTGGACAAATTTTCTTGAAAACGCGACTTTTTTATTAAGATGACGCATTTCGGGACATTCATCTCAAAATGCGTCATCTTAGGTCATCAAATTCAACTTCTCGCGGAAACTTAATAAGTGTTAGATTATATTCGTATACCCAGCGCGCAGTCTCCAAGTGGTATGGGGTGAACAAAGTGTTTACTATCGAGCTGCGTGGAGGCGCGGCGCGGCGCGGCGACGCGCGGACTGCACACCTGCGCCATACTTCACTTATAGCAGCGGTACGTGGAACGGTAAGTCGAGACTAAGGCAGTATTCTACGCGTTTAACCTTTGAAGTGCCTAGGCATTGCCCTGTAGACTTCCCTGAATGTCTGTGTCACGGTACCTTTGATAAATTTTATAGTGCGTGAAGGTGCCAAAATCCAGACATTTTTAGCACATTTTAAGGACTCATCTACTGTCAAGTTCAACAAACAAGAGCCACTAATATGTGAGCAATATTTGGCATTGCAAAGATTAACGATCCTTTTAGCATGACTTTATAGCACGCTACATTTAACGCTTCAATAAAATTATAGTCGCCGAAAAAAAGTTACTTTGATAGTCTAATATTAATTACAAAAAAATACAGCAAGTTCAATGCAAAAGTAACCTACGGGTTGTCTAATTTGACAAAACTGAAACCAAATAGTCTCGGCTTACAGAACTTAAAAATAATAACTATATTTGATGTGCGCGAAGTAATATACACAGTGATGTCGTAGTGCCAGATGACGTCATGAAAGCTCCTCAATGTGTGTACAAACATGATCTTGAGATATGATTTTAAGCTTATACTGACATACATGTATGTAAGAATATAATAAAAAAATACATGATTGAATCTTTGAGCAATAAACATAAATCGCTAAAAGATTCAACATACAATAATAAATGGTCCCTTAACAAATTCATAAAATACTAAAAAATATACATAGAATAATGTATTAAGAGGCCATAGTACACAAAGAAAATTACAAAAAAATGTAAAATATAAAATAATGTCAGTCTTATCACATTAAATTAAATATTCTAATATTAAACAACCAAGTAAAAATAACTACTAGTATCATCTACGCGTGGTCCCATTGACACCCATTTTCCACTATCGCATGAAAAATATTTCCCGGTATTTCAAAAATACAAAAAGAAATCATCACAATTTCACTTCAGTTCAAATATGAATCATTCGTTCCATTCACACATCATCTTATCAATAAAACAAACATTTAGATATTATAAGTGAATCCTCTTTTTATATCAATCCTACTACCCACATATAACTTCAACTTTTCAATAGTACCCACCCTGATCATTAGTCTCTGTCCATTCATTCATTCATTATTCAAAAGCTTATTCATTCACTCTCTAACACTTTGTGAAACGAGCCTTATACTTATCTGAAAACGGGATTTTGTGTACGAATCGGCAACATGACATTTGAAATCATTTTTAAAATGATACTATACTCGAAGTGCAGGAGCGTGGGATTCTGTTCTGTTCCACCAGGGACGTGATCTATGGTCCCGCGCGTCAAGTTTATCATCATCATCATTTCAGCCACAGGACGTCCACTGCTGAACATAGGTCTCCCCAATGACTTCCATCGCACGGTTGGTAGCGGCCTGCATCCAGCGCCTTCCTGCTACCTTTATCAGGTCGTCGGTCCACCTTGTGGGTGGACGTCAAGTTGCCGACAGCCTACTACTCTACAACACTCACTTCTGTCGATGTTGCGCTGCAGATGGCTGGCAACGCGGTGGCGCGCGTCGCTGTACTCGAGGTGCAGGCCGAGGCGTAGGAGCGTGGGGTTCTGTTCCACCAGAGACGTGATCTCCATTTCGATCTTGTTGCCGAGCACTTGCGACCGCTGCGGGCGAAAATATACGGTTATTTTCTGCATTGAAATTGGCGTCTTATTCCACTATTCCCCGTTGACAATCCCCGTCAACGGGGATTAGTGAACAAAAAGTTCATTGATCCCCATTATAATAGGATTTTATTTTGATTTTATAAGTTCCAATTGGCGTTCAATTCCAGTTGACGGGGATTGTCAATAGGGAATAGTGGAATAAGCCGAAATTGGCGATTTCCGATGGGACAGAGACAAGAGACCGAGACAGAAGACTGCGACCGTTACTTGTCTCTGTTTCTGAATCGCCGCCTTTACGCTGCTAAATAGCATTTTTAGTATCCTCATACTGTAATTTGCTTGTCCAGTGCTAAAATAAGATGCAGCACATGAAACTGTCTCAGTCAGCCTCTAATTTTAAACTTTACAAAGCAGTAACACCACAGTTGCAATGAGGTTGAAAATCCACCAAACCGTGCAAGTCATTTTCATGCTGAAATCAAACAACCTTACTAATAATTTTCAACCCTAACACCCTGTCTTAAAGTCCAAAATCAACCATCGTACCTGGTTGGAGGCGCGGAACTCCTCGACGCTGGTGGTGGGCAGCAGCGCGCGCATATTTTGAACCATATTGTCACGCCATACTGTCTAAATTCAAATATCCTACCTGGTTGGAGGCGTGGAACTTGTCATTCTGCCATAAGGTCAAATGTAACATCTCCAACAAGCAATTTTGAACCCTATTCCCTTTGTCTTAAAGTCCATAATCAACCGTCTTACATGGTTGGAGGCGCGTAACTTGTCATTCTATCATAAGGTCAAATGTAACATCCCCAACAAGCAATTTTAAACCCTATCACCTTGTCTTAAGGTCCATAATCGCACCTGGTTGGAGGCGCGGAACTCCTCGACGCTGGTGGCGGGCAGCAGCGCGCGCACGAGCGCCACGACGCCGCCCGGGCTGATGAAGTTCGTCTCCACGTTCACCACGCGAACCATTACAAGCCAATTTGAACCCTATCACCTTACATTAAAGTCCAAAATCAACCACCGTACCTGGTTGGAGGCGCGGTACTCCTCGACGCTGATGTTAGGCAGCAGCGCGCACGCATTTTGAACCATATTGCCACGCTATACAGTTCAATCCAATATCAAACAACAAACTTGCATCACATACCTGGTTGGAGGCGCGGAACTTATCACCAGAGTAGATACAAATGAGTAGGTTATCTTCATAGAAACGCACTGATCAACCACTACTGGCTCCCCGATAATCCACGCAAAATTTTGTCAGTGTGTGCGTGCGCGCTCACATACACACCGTGCTCGGTGCGTTTCTATGAAGATAACCTACTCATTTGTATTTACTCTGTTATCACTCTGTCATAAGGTCCAAAATCAAACGTTCCCAGCGAGCCATTTTGAAACTCAACACCTTGTCATAAGGTACAAAATAAAACATTTCCAACAAGTCATTTTGAACCCTATCTCCGTGCTAAAAATCAAACATTCCCAACAAGCCATTTTGAACCCTATTCCCTTTGTCTTAAAGTCCATAATCAACCGTCTTACATGGTTGGAGGCGCGGAACTTGTCACTCAGTGATAAGGTCAAAATGAAACATCCCTAACAAGCCATTTTAAACCCTATTCCCTTGCCCTAAAGTCCATAATCCCACCTGGTTGGAGGCGCGGAACTCCTCGACGCTGGTGGCGGGCAGCAGCGCGCGCACGAGCGCCACGACGCCGCCCGGGCTGATGAAGTTCGTCTCCACGTTCACCACGCGAACCATTACAAGCCAATTTGAACCCTATCACCTTACATTAAAGTCCAAAATCAACCGTCTTACATGGTTGGAGGTGCGGAACTCCTCGACGCTGACACGCTGTGACAGACTTAGGTAAGATGGTGGTAGCTAGCCAGGCGGACTTAAAACAAGCCCTACCACCAACCAAACCGAACAGAAAAATCTGCCCCCACTGGGAATCGAACCCGGGACCTCTGCGTCTGAAGCAGGTGGTCTTACCACAAGACCACAGAGGCAGTTGTTTGCAATGAGAGCTGTCGTGTTTATACTTAACAGTTGGCACCCCTGGCGATTGACAGGACCTTACTCTACAGTGGCGCCATCTTGATGAGTGCAAATGCGATAGTCCTCCTACCACTTTAGCGCTCACAAGCTGGCGCCACTGTCTTCGCTACTAGCAAGTGACAGGACCTTACTCTACAGTGGCGCTAACTGGTGAGCGCTAAAACGATAGCCCTCATTATGAACTCTATCGCCTTGTATTAAAGTCCATAATCGTACCTGGTTGGAGGCGCGGAACTCCTCGACGCTGGTGGTGGGCAGCAGCGCGCGCACGAGCGCCACGACGCCGCCCGGGCTGATGAAGTTCGTCTCCACGTTCACCACGCGAAGCGTGCTGTTCACCTGCAAGGGATAATGACTCTTATGGGTAGGTAATAAGGTATAGTTCAGTTTGCATAGTGCGAAGAATCTGCGGTATATTTTCTTAAACACATTTAAAGAAATAACGTGTTTAACAACTACGCTATAAAGTGCAATTCAGTTTGCTGTGCTGCGAAACTACCGATATAGTATCCTATGCAAATTTAAAGAAGGAACGTGTACCACCACTGCGTAATAATTGCAATTTAGTTAAGAGCCAATATTCTTGTACAACATGCAGTCTCTTTTTATCGTGTAAGTTCCATCTTTTCGACACGACAGGGTTGTATTTTTGCGGAGCGGCAACTAACTGAAATGTATGAAATACGCATCCCGGAAAGAACAGCTGCGATACACATGCCAGTAAAAGGGAACAATCTGCATTGTGCAAGTAACTTAATACACTTACATGCAGTTTGCGTCTATGTATCCTACTAAAAAAAGTAAACAAATGGTGTGTGATTTACTTTCTTGAAGTCTCTTGACAGATACTGGCATGTGTATCGTCTCCTTTACATGCATCAGTCTGCCGATGTTAGACTCAAGTTCTACTTCGACCGCTGGGCTATTATGGTGACGGTGCTTCAGTCTTACCACAGAATAATAATAAGTACTACGTACAGAAGTTTTACTTCGCGAAGGTATTTAAAAAAATGTATGCTCAATGTCATTAACAATATGGTGTAATTTAGCCTGTCTCAAGAGTCAAGCACCATTTTGTTGACAAACGTCAGTGATCGGCACTGCGCCGAAGCTATAGGGCTGACTATACTTTACTGACTTCGGTAAAATGATGTGACGTGAGGTGCCAAACTGCGGAAAATGGCGGAGGAATTTTAACTACTTAAAAAAGTACATTCTGTGTTTTTATTATTATTTAGGCAGTTAAATACTGCACAGTATTTAGTACACCATTTTCTTTATTTTCTTCCATCATACACAAGAATACGCGTGCGTGAGTCAATGTTCGCTCGTATGTGAGGCCTTGTCGAATAGTATCCTGTAGGTGGGCCATCGTGCGTGTTTTGTTTTCGATGTAAACTCGCGGAGATGAACAGGCCTGGTCTTACCTGCAGTGCATCAGCCAGAAGCTGTGCGGTGCGGTCGTTGAGGCCGACGTTAACGAGCGACAGCACCTCGAGGTGTGTGTTCGTCTTCAGCGCTTCGAACAGCTTCTCGAACTTCTCGTCGCTTATGTTCTGGAAGGAATGGGAACGTTACAGCTGGGACATAGATGGTGAGACTGTGAGGCGACGTGACTGACGCAATGTGAACGTGACGCGAAATGGGGTCTGACGCAGAATGTGCACTACGCAAAATGTATTTATTCGAGGCATACAAATGCACACATTTCCGTAGTAATATTAAACAAATAAACTATTCAGCACTATTGTATACTATTGATACTAACAAAATCTACTAACACCAAAAATTTATTTCTGTATTGTCACACATGTTCTGATAAATAAAAATATCTTTATCTTTATCACTATCACTGTACAAATGTAAAGGCTGAATTATTTGTATAATATTAATACAGAAAAGTGCAAATTTTGCGAAGTGCCCATTCTGCGTCAGACCAGCGACATGACCATGACGCTTCTAAGGCTGAGTTGCACCATCTTACTTTAACTTTGACAAATGTCAAAAATCCGTCCAAACTCCATACAAAAACACCGGTTATTGTTCTTATACTAAGCTAAATATGCTTGTGTCACGAACACGAGTGGGCTCACCACAATAGTCGAGCGGCGAGTCCGATCCCTTCACCGTTCGGCTATCGTGGATTCAATTGATAAATGGACAATACCTACATGTAAATTATAAAAAAAAATATGTTCAGTATAATAGCAAACAAAATTAGAATGCTATTTGCTAACAATAACAACTAAATAATAAATACACAATAAATAAATATGACACCGAANTCTCGAATTCCGAGGTGAACTTACTATAATGACTGGACTATTAGCCAATCAAATGCCGCGTAATTTGCGAACAAACGGACGTGGTATTTAACGTGTTGTCTTGGCACGATGCGGCGACGCGCCGTCATTCAATTACAAGAGCGTCGCAGCTTTCGACGCAACGTCAACGTGTCGTGACATGTAACGTCAGTCACGTCGCGAGAACGAATGCAAATGCAAAACGGAAATATGCAGCTCATTTTATTTTATCCTGCGAGTGCCAGACTTTGTGCACGAATTGCGAGTTACGAAATCATTAACACTATCACAGAATCTTTGGTTGAGCAGAAAACGTCAAGTTAAATACTGTGGCATCGACTATCGCCAGCACATCTACAAAATGTCAGTTATTTCTGTAAATCATTTTGAGTCCTACGTCAAAAACACCACCCCACCAGTGGGTTGCACCATCCCACCTTAACTTTGACAAACGTCAAAAATCTGTCAAATTCCATACAAAAAAACACCGGTCATCGTTATAGTTACGGTCAAAGTTAGGTGGTGCAACTCAGCCTAAGGTAAATCTCCATTGGTGAATCTTTTTCACTGTGCTTGGTGCTCGAAAATGAGACTTATTACATTACGTGCAGTGAAATACAGTGAATAAATGTTTCTCACCTTAATATTATTCCAATTGAGATCAGTTAACTTCTGGTCATTCTCCTGCACCCTCTTCACCGTGTCGTCCGGGTCCGTGTCGTTGGGGGGGTCCATTGGGAAAACCTAGAAAGGCAGATAATAATCACATTTCAGTAAGTTTTCTTTTTATTCGGTTAATTTGCATGCACTAAAACTAAATTCACCATTCATTAAAAATTAACTAATAATTTAATCAACAAAAAAAAACAAGAACAAAATTTTAGAAACTGATAAAATATTAAAAAATGTAATAATTTAATCATGTCTCTCTCTGCCGTGACAATGCCATCAATGCCGCATCCATTTTCAATGCTTCGTGCATTCGTGTTCAAGTTTCTACACGCACTCGCAGGGAATGGTCCGCGCTGTGACTGTTTGGTTGGGTTTTTTAAGACTACCGTCTTTTATGAAATATTAGTTTAGTGATATTATTTCTTTGTTTTTAGCGAAGCTCGTGTCGCTTATAAAAAATGTATTAAAATATTAGTTTCTCAGTAAGTGAATCAATTGTATTCTTATGAGAAATAAAGTGTCTTTAACCATAATTTTGGTAATATCATAGGTGTGAAAGAAATCATAAAAAAAACTCATAAAACTAATTTATTTCTGTAATAGGCTTAAAAAAGCACTTTTACACGTCCCAGTATTAACCCTACCACTGCTTCAGGACAATAATTGGGCCAGTGCTGAGAAGAAGCAGCGCAAGAAACTCAGCCACTATTGTCAGCCTCTTTTTCAAAGGTTCACAGGCTTTCAAATGTACAAAGTCAAAATCATTTATTCATTCATCTTATTGCTTTGTTTTTTTTTTACGGGAAGCGCAAGACCTGTCGTTGTGGATGGTAACCTTAGGGTTCCACAACGACCGATCCCACCCTTTCCATCAGTGAACTGAAAGACGTCCACTGCTGGACAAATGCCTCTTCATTTCCACAAATAATTGTCTAACCGAGCATCTAGGTGCTTCCCGAAATCTTTGCCAGAACATCTGTACACTAAACCGAGTAGAAAACCTGGCACGGCTCAAGAACTTTCCTGTCCAAAAAGTCATTCCTTTCTATGAGCTATGCTTTGCCCACTGTCACTGATTATCATTGACTGTTTAGTTATATGGTCAAATAAGTATAATGTAAATGGCAATGCCAGATTTTGTATGGAAGGTGGCGTCTTTTTTTTTTTCGCGCGGCCATCGACCNGGCCATCGACCACACTTTGTTTTTTGATTACAAAATAGTGTAATAAACCAAACTTACTAGGACATGTATACCTCTAAACTCAGTCTGAACTGAGTTACGAGCATTAGAAGTTTGATGATTTTCATACTAGATTTGCTTTTTGCGCGCAAGTTTTGTAAGAAATTGCAACAAAATATTGCGCTATTTTTTTATTGCGCTGATCTGCTGCATACTGATGTCTGGAGCCTTTAATGGATGGTATTGTTTGTTTTCACATACAATGTCACTATTTTGTTGCAATTTCTTACAAAACTTGCGCGCAAAAAGCAAATCTAGTATGAAAATCATCAAACTTCTAATGCTCGTAACTCAGTTCAGACTGAGTTTAGAGGTATACATGTCCTAGTAAGTTTGGTTTATTACACTATTTTGTAATCAAAAAACAAAGTGTGGTCGATGGCCGCGCGAAAAAAAAAAAGACGCCAATTTCCGGCATTGTCTTTTAAAGTAAGTTTAAAAGACAAGTTACCTTTTGTTTGGTGGCCTTGGTGATGCCGTCCCAGCCGAGGCCGACGGGCTGGCCCTTGTTGAGCAGCGACGCGTGGTACTGGTCCTGGTTCATCATCGAGTGGAAGCCCAGGATGGCTGGAAAACGATAAAAAATTGTTTTAACGCGTTCTTGTAACGTTTACCTTAAAATTCACACCCTGTAGAAATTCTGTTCCACGGTCGCATTAGAAACAAGTAAAATAATAACGATGATATCAAAGTTTGTCCCAAATCACAATCGGGGGAAGATGACACGAAAATTCCTGCCTATCCCTATTCGGAAGTCTGTCGGGGACAGATGGGAATACCCTGTAGTTTTGAAGTTGTTACTATTCTAGTATTCTTTAAGATAATATGTATTTGTATTGCATGATCCACAAATAACAACCAAGTAATTGTTTAATTAAAGAAAGTAAAACTTTTATTGATTAAGCAGCCAACAATAAAATAAAAGTAAAATTGTTTGCAACTAACAACGATAAATACTTTTTTAATCCAGGAAGATATTTCTTCTGAATGATACATAATAACGAATTTTGTATTTAATTTCATTGGACGGAACGGATATAAGCAATTTAATTCAGTTCAACCAAATAATAATTCTAAATCACTTATCTAAAAAAAAACTTCATAAATGTACTTCAATTTATTGATTGCTGCAATAGATAAGAGCCACTGTGAATGAAATATTATTGAGGAAAATCACTGGCTGATTAACTGTGTTTTTGTACCTACTGATTGTCTACATAGAAATAAACGTGATACCATCTGTTTGTATTGGCATATACACTACGCAGGAAATGGAGCGAACAAAAGCGCGAATACGCACACCGAAGTATGGGCGACACACGGCGAAACGAACTGAAATGCATGTTTACACTGTCTCGATCAATTTCGCGTAACTGCGCTATACTAGGTAGGTACAATATGTGACTGACATTAATGTTCAGATCAGAAGAAGGGTTCCAAACAAAGTAAAGACTGACGCATCTCCCCATCTGTAAATGTCTTAACGAAGGGTTCTTTTGTCCCTTTTTGACGTGTGTCATACAACGCTTTGTCCCTTTTACTTGTGTGTCGTCATAGTTTTCTTTTTGTGCAACGTTTTACTTCAGCAAAACAAAACAAATGTTTACAGTCACAATAACCAACAAGAGCATTTTGGCCACCTGCCAGAGATTCATAAATACCCCAAAACAATAACTATTGTAGGGCATTCATAATCATACTAATTCACATGTTGAACACTAAACAACGCTTTTTTTATGGCACTAGGTTTGGGGTATTTGTTATTTTATTTCGAAGACAATGAAATGGTTACAAATGTTCATGTTCTTCATACTATATTCCTTTGCGGAATTTGAATCCAAAACCGCTATCTTTCGTCGTAGCACAACGTAGCTAAACGATTAAGATATTTAACCAAAATCGAATGTTTTCTTTGTACCGACACAGATTTTCCGAACTACTGACACAGACAGGTATTCTTCTACATTACTTTAGCTTTGAAACCGTGACCTATAAATAAGAGCCATTGTGTATGCATTTTACAGTGTCAATGTATTTCTTTGATGTCAGCGAATTACTCCGTAGCTATACGATTGTCACAGAAAAAGATCTGGGGCAAAAACAACAATAACAACCATCCACTTTGATCGTTTTGATGGAAATACTGGCACTCTTTTTGTCAAGTTGTGGGAGGGAATGCGGAACTCTCAAGTTTTTCTTTAAAGAGGGACAGTGATCTGGTTATAGAAAAGACAAAAACTTTGACGGCCTCTGTTAGACAGTTGACTTGTGAAAGTGCGTCGGTAAGTGGTTTTTTCTGTATTTTTGAAAGCAAAATCAACCTAATTGGTTGGTAAGGAAGTTGATAAAAGTCTAGACCTATAGGCCTAAGATGCGCGCATCGACAATGACATGATATGATAAGACAATTTTCGATCACGTAGATAATTTTATCATTTTCCCTAACATGGAACCATCGATAGAAAAGTCTATCGACCGCTATCGCGTGATAACCGAATTGTTGCCATATTAAGAAAAAATTGCGTTATTATGTTGGCCAACCTTGAAATATTTTAGCTCATTCGTTCAATCTCGTTCATTTCTGCTACTAATTCGGCTAAAAACACATATCTTGAAGCAGTGAGAACGTCATTAAAAAAAAGTTATGTCAATTTTGTTCACTCTCTAATCTGTGATTTTGTTGACATTACATGACTGCTTGATTGTATTTGTTTGTGTTTTTAAAATTGTATTTTTATGTTTCCAGTCTTATTTTTAATATTTCTAAAGTACGGAAAATATCAAACGAAGAGATAACCAAGTTAATGAAAAACAATGAAGAATTCCTAATCATACCGACAGTATTAAAGAATGAAGTCTTCAAAATTAACAGAATAACCGAACTCAAATACTGAACTGTCCTATGCATGACATTGACAGTGGGGCGCCACCGTCAATACCGGATCGCTGGTTCTGATTTTTGCCATGTTTGAAACCATATAGTTGAACGATGGTAGCGCCCCCCTGTCATTGAGTTTGGTGGGACAGTTCAGCGTGGGTCATCTATACCCCATAATGCGAGGTTTACAGTAATTATTCAACTTACATGAAGCAGTCAGAAAGTTTATTGAGATTTACTTAAATCAAGCTAAACACTGTGGGGTATCTCACGACATTTGCAACTTAATATGTATTGTCTGATGTACTGTTGACTGCCTACCTAAGTAGGTAAGTAATGGTTATTTTACAAGGTAGGTAATGTAATAATTAATATGTAGGTGGGACTGTGGGAGCACTAAGATTTTGCAGCTAGCGATTATAAACTGTCGCAAGATTCGCCTCACACTGATAAACTCTTGAACTAGAACTCAATCTCCACCTAGAAGTAAAAGTATCACAAAGGTGCTAGATTCCTTTCTTTGAATTTTACTAGCCTCAAATTAGTCGTAAAATGTAATTTACCATTATAAATGATAAATAAATAGAGTTAAAGTAGCTTGCAAAAAAGTTAATCTCCTATCGTCTTGCTATCGTGGGCAAGGATCGAGGACGATAAAAACACCACATCCTATCCTATCGTGATGTCAAAATATGATATAGTTAGCGCTTCATGTTAGGGCTTGCCAGGTTTATCACAAAAAAAAAAAAACAAATCTATCACTATCACATTTTGACAGATGACATGATAATTTTCGGGGTGCCATGTTAGCGCCGGTAGATAAAACGATATAGTGACGTCAAAATCGATATAACGCCGCGATAGCAGTTTATCACGGCGCGCATCTTAGCCCTGCAGATATCACCATTATTGCTATAAAAAAATGTAGAAAGAAAATCACACTTCTCTTTCCCGCCATGAAGTAGGATAAAAGCTCCTGTATATTATGTAATTTACACCATTACAAATTATTGTCACTTAGTAAGCAATAAATATTTTGAATTTGAATTTGAAAATTGCTTGACCAATAAAAATCGTTTTATATCTAACCTAAACAAATAATGCTGGATCCACGCTAGATGCAGCATTGCATAATAGTATCTAGATTGAGAATACTTAACATTGCATACTTATCAGCAGCGGGGTAGCTAGCAGTAGTTATGTGGGCTAAATAAAAGTTTGTACTGGCTTTTCTTCTCAGCACTTGCCATATGTTTGTCTCGAAGCGCTGGTAGGGCCCAAAAGATAAGGAGACATGTAAAGTGCCCCTTAAGGGCTACCTTTTTTGGCTGTATTTTGACGTTCATAAGTGCCTTTAGTGCAGCGTTTCCCGAATGGTGGTCCGCGGAACCCTGGGGTTCCGTGGAAAGGCCGCAAGGGTTCCGTAAAAAATATTATCCCACGTTTCGTAACCGACGTTGTTCGCTCGCACCGACTTGTTTACGCACAAGGGAGGGGCAGGGCGTGCGGGCGGAGTAGTACGGGGGTTCCGCTAGGAAAAGTATAATCAATTAGGGTTCCTTGGCAAAAAAAAATTGGGAAACCCTGCTTTAGTGGTCTAAATTGAATAAAATATTTTTGATTTGATTTGAAAGGAACAAAAGTAGTCTACGAACCAGCCAGGTCGATGATCTCCTCCTGCGAGGCGGTGTTGAGCGCTTGCTCGTACTCGTCGCCGAGGTCGATCGAAATCTGCTCCTCCGCGTCGCGCATTTTTTCCGGGACGGGTGGCGGTATCCACTGCAATGCATAACAATTATTTATTTTATCATTATTATCAAGGCATTTACACCTGTATTCACAAACATTACTATGAGGTCTCACAGTGCGCATAGAAACAGGGTCCCAAAAACCTATTCATTGACAATACTTGAGTGACGTAGTGACACACACGAAACAATCGCATGGCTCTATTCAACGCTGTGCGTTCGACTTCGCATGTTTCACTTAATGGAGAAATCGGATGGAGGATTCGGCCATCACTCCCTATACGGGTAAGGGAGGTTTATTTCATCACATAAAATCGTGCGAATGGCGTGAAATTCGCGTAATGCCCCTGAGACATTATCTAACCCCATTATTATTGTCCATAGTCATTGTAATTCTATCGATGTTGATCATCAAGATTCCAGTGTTTAATAATTAAGACTGTTTCTACAGTCTCTGTGATGTGGTAAAACTTTTTACTAGGTACCTACATATTTTATTCATTTATTTGATTTTCAACAAACTCAACAAATATCAAAGTAAAATAGTATCATCGTTTATCAATAATTCAATATCTTCAATAATAATCTTATTAATCATTTGTCTAGACAAGTAATTAACTCACACAACAATACAAATACATCAATTCACTCACCTTCTTCCCCCGAATGACACCAGGTACGTAAGGTTTGACCTCGGGCCGGTCTGGTGTCTCTAGGGCCTGTTTGTTGATGTGTTCTATTAACTTCTTACGGTTTAATGGACCCGTGGGGTCCTTTTCACACTGATAGTTGTTCCTCTGGTTCGGTGGGAGAAAATTGTCCTGAAAAGCATAAGAAGAAAATTTTGGTAATCATATTCTTATAAGAACAGTATTCTGATTTAAGTTGATGATTAAAAACCACTTCACATGGCAAATGAGAAAAAGATAAGAAAAATTTCGTACTGCATTTGATTGGTGATGTCATTTTAAGTGATTCTGTCTGAATAACAACATTAAATATTTTATTATTCTATCATAATGACAGTAACAAGATAATAACCAGCATTAAGACACTTTTTGTAAACATAATTGATTTATTAGGTATGTATTGCCTATTTTGTTGTCATTTATTCATTCCAAACAAAACAACTGCATCTGCATCATCATCAGTTTGCAAATTCATTTGCAATTTTACATTCCTCATGAATAAATCAATTGACATTAAAAGAAAGATATTTCTGATAATTTGATAAATGAAGTAAATTGAACAGTTTTATCAGTAGCAAACATTAACTATCTACTTTATTAATAACGATAAACTTGCACCAAAGCTGATAATATCAAGGACTATATCAACTTCAATAATGCTAAACAACATAAAAACAATTTTGAAATCTGTAATAAGGAAAAATATGTTGCAGTTATTATTTTTAACTGTCTGAGTCACTAAGGACAGTAATATAATAATTATATGTGCTCATTTGTATTAATAAATACATTTTCTTTAACATTGGAAATAAATGAATAGTTGTATTGTTTACACAAAAATAATTTGCAATGATTAAGACAGACATTAAATAATAGACAGTCAAACTATTTGATGAGCATTAACACTATATTACCTTTGGTTTCAAGTAAGCATATTTTTTTAGAATAATTAATATGACAGCTTGATGAAGACAACTTTAATATTTACACATTATGTAAACAACTAAAGGCTATAAATGGGTTTATAAATTTCTCATCATCTAACCAAATGCAAATGCTGACCTCTTACTTAGCACAAGTTTTACGTACAACTTATGTAAATTAAGGGTATTCAGTACAGTTGTGTGCGGTTATTGGTGCATTAAAGTGAAATATGTACTAAAAACTACTTAGGAAAGTTAAGTGACATTATGTTTGCAATTAATTATGTGCAAATACCTATTTCATAATTTGGTTAATAGCTCACAGTTGTTGCTTTACTTACATAATATTATTTGGGTCAAAATATTGTTGTAATTGGACACAGTGAAATTTGGACAGGGGCATTAAGTTTAGTAACAGCACTTTGTATAGTACACATTACACAATTAATGGTTATGTAAACAGTTTTGTTGATATATTAAAATACTAGGCTAAATAAGAGTTTATCTACAACAAGCAAAAGGTTAAATTTAATGGAGTAAGTAGCTAACTTTATGGCATTAAATGAAAACAGTGTAGGTCCTACATGATAGATAAAAAGATTATATTTGCTGGTTCACAGCCTGAGGCACTGATATAACAGTGCTGACAGAATCAAAACAGAAGGGCATAGTGAAGCAAGACATCCAAGCAAGTGTTATTTCATTCACTTTAGAAAATAAGCTAGCTTTGAAATGGGAATTTTAACCGCCTCTGTGGTCTAGTGGTAAGACCACCTGCTTCAGACGCAGAGGTCCCGGGTTCGATTCCCAGTGGGGGCAGATTTTTCTGTTCGGTTTGGTTGGTGGTAGGGCTTGTTCTAAGTCCGCCTGGCTAGCTACCACCATCTTACCTAAGTCTGTCGCCATAACAACAATGTTAACAGCATTGTTGTGTTCCGGCAGTTAGAGGTAAGATAGCCAGTTCCTCCGTGGTTGAGGATTCCGGGTGAAGCTCGCTTCCACCTTCGGCCTGATCATCACTTACCATCAGGTGAGATACAGGCCAAGAGCTTCCTCGTTGTGGATAAAAAAAAAAAAAAAAAAATTCTTTTCCCACTTTATAGCCCTATGAAATTTGGCTACGAAATGCTCCAAAGGCATAATGAATATTTCAATGTTTACAATAAATGGCTTTATTATTCTTATGAGCCATACTTCTGAGTGCACGTAAAATAATTATTTTACCGCACCAGCAAGGTCTCGCCATTGTAGCATTGCTCAAGCCGACAATACAACACATGCTTGTGACCTTCAGCCTATTCATTGCTGGCTGGCAATTTAACAGATGACTACAACGTAATGTATGAATCTTGCGTGATAATTTGAGTCTCATGACTGTGCTATTTGATTGACTTGTTTATTTGAAGCAACTAGTCTTATTTGATGATATCTTGTGCTATTTTCAGAGATGAAAAAAGTTTGTATGTGTAAATGCATTTAAATCAATATTTGCATGAGATTCTTTTGAGTTTTAGAAATATAAACAGGAAAACAAAAAACTTTGCTTGATATTCTTATAAACTTTAGAAAAAATACCAGGAATTCTAAGAATATTGATGAGGAAAATTCTAGTTTAATAGTTTTATCATGTCTTCAAGTTTCCCTACATTACAAGATTGTAAATCTCATAACCTCAATCATATAACTTCTTGATTACCTATTTGATTGATTGTTGAGTATTTTGTCTGTCAATTTGAGAAACTTTTCCAATACTAAGGTGCTTCAAGCTTAGGTTATGAGAATTCCTAAGACATGCAAAGAAAGAGAGTCAACTTACGTCTGGGTCTACTTCTTTGGCCAACATTGTGAGTTCCTCTTGCGTGAGTTTCGACAGGAGTTCGTCCACATCCACCTCGTCATAGGAGGAGAGCTCCCGCCCAAACAGCTTGGCCGGTGTCGTCATGGTAGTCGTCTTTGTAGTAGACGACTTCTGCAAAACGAAACACCGCACTCAGAAATCGATCTTGATTTTGACACTTGGTGGAAACTTTTGGCGTTTTGGATCACGAATTTTCAGTCTTTATGGGAATTATTACTTATTCTTACACTTGGTAACTTTGAAAACGCAAGGGATTAATGCAAGTTCCAAAGAAATCAGATTACAAGATTACGGATTTTGACAACCAAGTTTCGGCGTTCACCACACCCACATTTTTAATTGATCGACCGATTTATTACGTCACAACCACTGCAATGGTAACTTTCTGTAATTATTTAACACCGGATTTGTTTAATCAAAACTGAAACCAGTTTTTCTTACACGAGAAACTTTAGCAAGTTGTATTCCAACACACGACCGTAATTGCAGCGCCACGAACGCCCCCTACGAATGACAGTTCCAAACTAAACAATAAATGGAAAGAGTAGGACAGAGGTATACGATTACCATAAAAGGTGTAAAAGAGATAGCCATAGTTAGAGAGGGGACCGATGAGTCGGCCGACGGTAACTTGAGGGCTTGAGGGTCATAACCATAGAGAAAAGTAATACATAGGAAATAGAGAACCCTCTCTGTCAAATTTTTGAGCCTACTAATTGACAGCCTGGTGTTAAATTCGCTGTACTTAACCTACGTACGTAACGCTCACATACACACATAGTACACGCACACATACATACATAAAGTCCACGCATACATACACACAGTTCACGCACACATAGGCCCTCATAACCTTCAAAGAATTATTGTTTTTTTGATGTACAATGTAGAATTTTTTCAAATCCATTATTTTGAAAGTATTTATCTTTATGGTGTACGTATTGTATTATTTTCAAAACAATGGATTTGGAAAAATTCTACATTGCACATGGAAATGCAAATAAACAAAAACTTTTCAATTTAATAATTTTACTTTATTTATGAACACACATAATATTATACACCAAAAGCGTCTTTTCGCAAAGTTTTCAACAACACTAAAAAAGCATTTGCACTTTGAGAAAACTCAGATCACTTGTTAACATAACAGAAAGTTTCTTCGCGATTCACGAAGGAACGAACAAAACTCCGATGAACCAGAACAGCAGCAGGTACGAAGGAATGAACTTGAATTTGACTCGACTCTTCAATACTTTAATAGGGCCACAGAACTCATAAACGATGGCTAAGAAAACAAGAATGCATTCAACCTAACAAAAACAACACCGGCCATTTTGGAGGAAAAACAAAGTTGCCATATGTTAAATAGTAATTTCTACTACTCTATTAAGTAAATTATAACAAAAAATGTCACCGTTCAGTTTTAAATTAAAACAAATTAATTTCATTTTAAAAAAAGTTTAGCCCTTCCCAAAGCTTATCTCAAATCTGCCTGGGATGAGAATTGGGAGTTCACTAGCCAATCTAAGGGGAAACATTACAAGCTCATTCAACCATCCATCCTTTGTAAACCATGGTTTGTTAAAATGAATCTTTCCAAAACAGTTACTACCATTTTAACTAGAATGCGACTTGGTCACGTGTGCACTCCAGCACACTTGGCTAAAATTCATGTACTTGATAATGATTCGTGCATTTGTGGTTCTGGCGTCGGAGACTTAAATCACATATTTTTTTACTGTTGCCTATATGATCGTTCCTCTTTTATTAGTTCTCTTTTAGCCATTAAAATTCCTTTTCCTACATCCATCACTTGCCTATTATATACCAATAACATTGATGTTTATAATATCCTAGCCGAATTTATTACCCATAATAATATAAAATTGTAAATAGTAATGTATATTGTACTTATGTAAATATTATTTTATTTTTATTATTTTGTAATTATATCACACCTAAATTGATCCTATGAAAACCATCCTTTGTTCCGTTTCCATCCGTAATTGATTCGTTTCCCTACCTTTTAACTTTAACCCAATCCCACCCTGTCTAAACGCAATGTCCGCAAAACTTATGGCAAAACTGAACGCAAAAATCAAGAACCCTGTCGTGGCTAAACGCAATCCGCGAGAGCCATAAAGAAAAAAAAAAGTATTGGAATTTATCGACTGAAGTCGCTGTTTGGAAGCAAGTTTGATCGTAGTATGGAAGTTTCCGTACCCTGGTCATAACCGGTTTCTTATCGAGGCAAAAGATAAATATTATTTTCTAGCATGACAACAGAACAAATACATTGAAACAAAGTTGGAAAATACAATCACGTAAATTTAGATTTCTGTACACACAATTTTGAGACATAATGTCCAGTTGTAAGGTAACTTCCTTTTTATGGTTTCTTTCCAAACCGGAAGTGATAGACTGGTTTCCCAATCGCAGTAACAGAGTTCCAAAAATGCTCATTCTTTATTCAGTCTTCTTAATTGATTTTCTTGTACGGTTATAATAACATTAAGATGTGTTACTAAGAAGACCACTACATTAACGCAGTGAGACTAACGCGATACATAATCAATAACTTAACGTATTGGGTATCCTGGTTTTCCCAGGCTACTTAGGTACCTACCTGGCTACTAAGTTTACTGAACTTACCTACACATTCCTCACTACCCTACGAAACATGCCATTACTATGAAATGGTAAACAATGACAAAATGGTGTCATTTTCCTCGGTCAGACTGCAGTGGCTCTATAAAAGGATGATTACGCAATAGATATCATGCCTCGCCTACCTAATGGTTGCTGTTATTGAACCCGTGACCTTTTTAATAATAGCGAGCATTGTGTGGCACCGCACCGTTACTATTCTGATAGTTGACCGCTTACTTAATACAATTCTTACTAATACTCTACTATAAATATTACAAAACCTGTGTACTTACCTACCTATCGCTAGGTAATGACTAGTGATATTATTTATCAATGAAATGGGTATGTACGTGTCTAAATAGGTACACCAACACTAATGTGGTTTCCCAGTAGCGTGTTCTGTGTTTGGTGGTATAAATAAGTATCGTAGGTATTTTGACACAAAGCATACCTGCAGTTACAAAACTCGATACAAGTTGTTGGGTTAAGGTCTTAACCGTCACGTTTGTGAAATAGAAAGGGCAGCATTACTGATTCTATTTCAATATCTCCTTAACCTTATGAATTGTTGAACCAAATATGTCAATTGTTAACCACAGTGTTGCCAGTCGGGTCTAGTCAGAAATTACCAGAAATATAAAAAAAAGTAACCTTTTTGAATAAAAAGTAACCTTCATACGTGGGGGGGGGGGGGGGGGGGGCGATGATTGTGTAAGGTTGTTCATGTATGGAAAATGAATACAATTGATAATCTAAATTCGAAAAGTGACCAGTCGTATAAAAACGTTTCATGGATTTGCGTTTTATTATCGAAAAACATTCGCTAAAACTCATTTTTAAATCAAATTCAAGTTTAAATGCACTTTATGACATAATTTTTAAATTGTTACTATTAATATTTTTTACTGAATAACCTGTAAAGTTAATTCTACAAATTTGAAAATTATAAATAACTTGAAAAAATCGAACTGCCTAAGGCGGGAATTGAACCCACGACCTTCCGCTTGCCGGGCGACTGCTCTTCCAACTGAGCTACTTAGACACTGGATGAACCCGTCGAAATTTTCAAGTTTAATACGCTGTTACAGCCAGCGTTTGTTTCATCAATGTTAAGTATACCTACCCTACATGTAACAGAAATATTGTTGCAAATATTTAACTGTCAGTTAAGATGAAACAGCTCTTTTACATAGTTATTAAATTTTTAGCGTTTGGAGTCGCATCTCAAACTAATTTGAAAATTATAAATATTATTTATAATTTTCAAATTAATTCTACAATTTCTGAAAAATCACCTAAAAGTAACCTTTTCATTAGTGTAACCTAAAAGTAACCACAGCAGTTCAAAAGTAACCTAAAAGGTTACAAAAGTAACCTTCTGGCAACACTGGTTAACCACTTCTCTGTATTCTAGACTAGTATTATATTATCTGTGATTCTAGTTAGTACAGGACCACGTGTCTCAGATTCAGAGGGTTGGATTCCCAGTCGGGGAATCTTATAGTCTTAAATAATGGAGTAGGGCTTTCTTGGTTTGTTGGTGGCTAAGCCAAGCTAGCTACCACGATTTTACCTGAGTTTCAGAAGATAAAACTAAGCTTAGTTCCTCGACTGTACTTACTTGATCCCAGGTAAAGTTCGCTACCAAAATTGATAAATCACTTTCTATTATGGAGATGAGGTGAACAGAAAGATTATTTAACAAAGGTAGAGCACTCAAAGGTGATCCTTTAAATAAAAGATGTAAATAACTAGAACTTAGACTTCAACATCACCTGTACAAACTAAACCATGTGATTATGATAAGGCTGTTGCATGTTTAGAAAACATACACTAAAACAATAGATGGCACAGAACAAGTTACAAAAAGCACAACAATTAACACGATCTGTACACAGATTTCAGAATCATGTAAAGGAGAAAGTAATGTATGTTTACTATCTATTGTTTGAGAAATAATTGTGGAATCTTTCATGGGAGATCTTCTAAATGGAGCTATTCATTTCATAATTGTCTGTTTCAATGATATCCTCAATTACTTAACTTAATGAAGATCTACAAATAAACCAATTAATTATGATTTGGACATGACGTAGAAGACAAGTCTTCCCTAAATAAGTGAGCGTTTATAAATAGATATTTCTTATTTCCGAAAAAGCGATCAGACCGACTACCTAGTTTGGAACTGCAACTAGGTACTTTAAGTGTTAAATCTTTCATCAAATCAGCATTGAAACTAGGTAGTTGTTCGGTGTAATATGACCGAACAAACTGAATCAGCGCACTCGTTCGCGATGCATCGATTTTACCTCAAATAACAAATTAGTGCAAATCACGGAACCATCGCGACCGGGTGCGCTCATAACATTTTTAACATTTTAACATAACATTTTAACATAAGTCTAACATTTTTAACATTAATGTGGAACAGTGAATAGAACAATATTTTTAACATACAAACT